AGGTTACAAGGAAATGTTACGCAGCAGCGTCGAGGCAGGGAATCTGCGAGGTTCCCTCCAGTGCAGGGGGGCTCAGGAAGGCTCATCGACTCCAGCGGCCAACTGACTCTCAACGGCGGTCGCCATAACGGTCGCCGCACAGGCAGCAACTGTGACCAGCCTCTGAATCGGCGAGGCATTTGACGATTTTGCAGACCAGTTCCGCATTCGTTCAGTAGTGTGCTGATCAGCCAACGACTTACTTTGACATTTCCTGCCTCCCTGTCGGTGTTGTTGCCTACGAAATGGTTGGCTCTCGATGATCGATAATAGCCACCCTCCAGTTTCATAAGAGGCACGGACCCTAGGATCCGGCCAACAGCTGTTAGATGCAAACGGGAGGCGTAGGAGGTGTGATTGTCATGATTTGCATGTCTATTGGCCCTCTCCATATGTTGAGAATATTACGTCCTCTTTCGACACGCTGCCTTGGTCACATTCCGTGCTCCATCACCTAGTGGCTTTCGTGGCAGATCCGAATGAATGGGACAAAAAGCAGAAGGCTGGGTAGCAAGGCTCAGTGATCACATGCCGAGCGCATGGCCCTCTACTGTGGCGTGGGAATGGGAGGCCTGGTCAACTCACTGCAGCCAGGCAAGCAGGGGTCATCGACAGCCTGCGGCTGTCCCCCCAGTTCTCCTATATAACCCATCGCCTGCCCAAGCCCCCTCCCTGCATTTATGTCAGCCAAAGCCTCTTATTCATCTTATCAACAGTGCCATTGACCTCAAAAGCCTGTCCCTAAAGCGTCGAACCCATAACAAATTCTACGGCACAGGATATATTTTGATATTGAGGTCCGCATTCCCCTTGTTCACATCTTCTCCTGTCTGTCGTACAGGCCTCCTTTGCCACCTCCCCATTCGTACAATTCGGCAAACGGCATCGGGTCAACGTTCAGGAGGATGGGAGAGATGGTACCACAGTATTCGACGACTCTTCAAACCCAAATAAGTCCAGGACCTTTTCCAGGAGGAATAAGGTATCAACCAAATCCGTATCCTGCTCGCAGCAGTCCAGCGTTTTCTTTCCCAGCCCAAGAGGGTTCATACCCAGGCCAAAACATGTCAGCGTATTGCCATGAAAGCCCGAGCACTACACAGCAAGATGGGCCTTCATTTCACGAAACCACTGTTCTCTATCCTATGTTGACACTCCGAAATCAACGTTTGATGCCAGAAATTATGGCTTCCATACAGAAAGGATTTTTCCAGGTGGACAGAAAATGGACTTGCTACCGCCGAAACTACTTTACAGTAACATGTTCTTTTGGATTCCGAAATGGCATCGTGGATGGGCCATTCTATCTCAATAGAAATGGCTCCGAAGAGTTGATCCATCAGTTTACTGTGTCAGTCACTGCAAAGACCGCCATAACCAGTAACGGTGAGAGTAAAGCCCGAGGTCTCGTTCAACATACCCCTAAACGGGACAAGGCGACAGTTCCTGGCCGCCATCCTATTGCGCCGTCCCCCAACCATGCTGTTGGTCCCAACGGCACATACCCGAGTGCCGGGCATGTTTATGGGGGGCCAAACCATCTCCATCCAGGTATCATGGGCCCCTTTTCAGGCTTCGAAAACCCCGGCACCAATTCGATTCCGACTTCACATACATTTGAGAGAATCCAGTTCCAGAAAGCCACCGCCAACAACGTCAACAACGGTAAACGGCGTGCGCAGCAGCAATATTTTTTGGTGGTGGTTGAGCTTTCCGCAAATATCGGAAGGCAGAGTGACGAAAACTGGGTCGTGATAGCGACCAAGGAATCTGACCCTATAGTGGTGCGTGGCCGATCGCCCGTCCATTACAAGGACAATGGACGGCGAGATAGCCAGGCTAGCATGGATCCCGACCGCGGAACAGGGCATGGGAGCGATGGGCATGCCGGTCCACTTTCATCAGGCAGCTACGGGCACACTCATACTTCAATGGATTGGATGGGAAGTCATCGACAGGGAGGCCATTTCGGAGGCTCCAACTACCGTCACGGCCACGCCTCCACTACTCGCTATTTCCCGGCGAGCTTGGTGTCCTCAAACACCCTGGCTGGAACGTCAACAGAAGTTGAAGTCAGCCTCTGTGATTCCCGTACTGTAAAGTCGGCTTGCACCCTATCGTTGGAAGCCAGTGACGATGTTATGTTCAGCAGCCTTGACCGCGAGGGCACAAGCCGCAAGAGGCCTTTCGAGGACGCCGGAGAGGGGGAGCATCTGCGCTTCCCATTACCGGGGCCATTCACCGATAGCATGACATCGCTCGTCGACTTTTCGGCCAAGCGCTTTAAGCTGAAACGTAAAGAGGCGGAAGATGCCGACATAATCTTCTTCTAACTGAACTTCGAGCTCATAGAGAAAACACTGAAGACTCGCAATAGCCCTTCGCGCAGAGAATGTGTTAATCCCAATAAGTATCGTCTCTTCGTCCCTCACCAGTCATTCGATGTGACAGCACGTCCCCTCCCCGAACCATGGGATGCCTGCAGGTATGCGAGCATCAGCGGACATTATGATATGTAGGGTGACAATATCAGCCATGTTCAAAGGACCCCTGAAGGTTGGCGGACTGTACACATAACACAATCCCGGCATGACGACTTGGAGGCAGCTAGGGTACATGTTGGGTTGTTTCAACGTCTTTGACTGGACAATTAGGAATTCAAGAGGCTGGAACTTGATGCCCAATTGCCGCTCACATCGAATAGTGTGGATGGGAGACGAGGAGCGAGCACCACCAAGGCCATCATTGTTGTGGAGCTTATGTGTAGCTAAGGCAACTCGTCGAAAGAGGAGACTGGAGGGTGGTTGGTATTTTTCATCGAGAGCCAACCATTTCCTAGGGGGGCAATACCGATAGTAAGGTAGGAAGTGTCAAAGCTTAAATAGTTGGCTGGTATGAGACATTAAGCGAAGGCCCGTACAGTCTATGCGGCACTGTGCTTCAAACCTCAGAACGCCTCACCGGTTGAGAGGCTGGTCATCGCAGTTGCCTGTTCGGCAACCGTTATCCGTAAAACTTGTTAGATTCCCAACCGTAACCCATAAGTGGCCAAAGGTCACTCAGGACCCACCAGTGCATTGTACAACCCGATTCACAGAAGGGGGATGCGTGTCAACAGTTTTTGAAAGCCAACCAACACAGACCGGGTGGCGTTGAGATCAAACCAGTAAGGCTTACGATACAGGACGAAAGCAGTGCCGGTACTGACCTAGACGCCAACAGGAGGACGACGGCAAAAAGTGTCAGTTAAAGTGATAGTTAAGGATCAAGCTGGTTGTGACCTCGACGCTTTTTGCTTCCTTTCCACACAAGGCGGCAGCACAAAGTAACAGCCATCTTTTGGCAAGACATGCGATCTCCATTCTGAGAATATCCTTTCGACGAGTTGTCTTTGTTAGATCGCTTTCCTTCATCAGCGGCGGCATCGTCCTGGGTATCGACTGGGTTGTCATCGCCCAGCACAATCGGGTTGTCTAGGAGAATGCGTCAGAATACACCTTGCGCGTACGTGCACGAAAGATCTCCTTTTACGCACCTTGAGTAGAGCTAACTACCTTCAGCGACTCTTTGATGATCTTCAGTCGATTTAGGTCGACTTTGGTAACTTTTCTCGTCCTCCCGCTTGCAGTCCTTTGCAGTTCTATCTGTGATCATATGGGGTTTATTCTTATAGGCTCCGCAGCAAGGTCGAAACTGGTCCGCGTCTGTAGGACACTGCCAATTTGGATGGATATTATTGCCGCAAAACTCGCATTTGGAGGTCTCTTCCGTAGGCATATTGCCTGCGGATTGCTCGGTGGATATTTGACAGGTAGTGGGAAGTTGAGAACTGTTCTAGTGTGCTTGTACGCAAAAATGCATAAAGGAGAGTTGATATAGTTGAATTACGCGCGCAGAGAGGACAATACCGATCATCCACATAGGGACCTGCGTTTGTCCCAAGATAAAGGGCGTCACCGCCGTGTTCGTATGCGACTCCGTGGCCAGAAGAAGACGATCCTATTGGGTGAAGATTGAAATCTGGCCCAACCTCGCAAGCAGCACATTTGGCTCCCTGGTTGTTCCATAATCAAACGTGGGTTGGTTTCTGTCTCTCCCCTTTTCGCGTTGCCACATTGTCTAACAACAAATCCTTTGAGGGTCTAGCCGATCTTGGCGGCATGGGAGGGTCCATTCTGTCGCAGCCTGGAATCGACTATGCTTTGTTTACTTACGGTGACAACTCGAAACTGGCCGAATGACAATTCCCTAGAGGATACGTGCCTCCCTGTCGGTAAATGCTGGTAGATACTGATATGTCGAGTCCTAGTGGGTTACAAAAAGCTGAGTCGTACCGGATTTTGGTGGTTGTCACGCCCAAAAAAATCCACTCTGGCAATCGGCACGGGATGCGACTGAGGAGGTTTTTCAGCAGCAGCCCAAAACTTTAAGCAATCCCCCTTTTCACAAGACAGTCTACGCTCTATATAACTCTTTTGAACTGGTCAAGAGTAGATATGTCCAACGAGAAGATAATAGAATTCAGGAGCTCAAGGGCGATCTGATCAAGGGCACCGAGAGTTGCACGACGTCTCGTCCACCAACATTTCTCGAAGGGTGACTTGTCACACACGCTGGCGAGGTTTGGAGCTGCTTCTTCCGACAGCGGCGGGGCGATATGCTTGCTATCGCTGGCATCCGCAAGACACCAGTAAACTGCCAAGAGATGTAAAACCTTCCGAATCGACCACCATCCGCCCACTTCCACTCTCGGTTGACTTTGATTCCAGTCACAGGCAAACGTGATCCAGTAAGGGACCGCGAAATGGTGGTTGGGGCCGATATAATCGATGTTGCAGGAATGAGGGACGTGGATAACTATTCAACAGATCCTGTAAAATCCCCAAGGAATAGCATTCGTTCGTCTGTCAATGTCTTATCCCTCAATAAGCAGGATCATTGGGATCGAACATTCAGAGTATCTCAAGGACAATTCTTTTAGATTTCACTCACTGATCTCGTCAATGAAGATCACTAGATGACCAATTGTGGATTCTTAATATCGCTCGAGGGTAATACTAGAGAGTGCAGAAGTATATGGACTTCTTCCAAAAACCTAGGGTCCTTCTCCGTCTTCATTCACCAAGGGATCCCGGACCCTTGACATCCTGCCACGTTGAACATGTGCCGTAACGCCGTTCGCATACAAATCAGTCACCGTCCTCATTTCCCACATTTGCCTCTTCTCCGACTGTTGGAGTATTTGGAGGTGCTGTATCTCCGAGCCTTTTGATTAGGCTTGCCACCTCCTGCCACAGGCAGGTGATCCATTCACCACTGTGTAGCTGAACTGCGATGAGGGATTCATCCGCAGAGCAGACCTGAAACTTCTTCGTGGCCATGCAAGACAGCTTTACCCGCCAGTAGAGGCGTGCCGGTGCGCTTGTCGTATGAACTTCTCCGGTTTGAAGTTCTAATTCGGGAGTCTCATGCCAGCGATCAATGAAGGTCATTGCGATGGCTTGCGCTTCAGAGAGGGCGTCGTCAATGTGTGTACCCAGTATACGGTGCAGGTCAACCAACGTGTTGATTGCATCCTGAATGAATATCGGTGCATACGGTGGTGGTGTGGGTCGATATGCTGATAGTGTCATAAAATCACGACATAGAGGACTTTTGAGTATGACCGAGGGGGGCTGCCACAGTTGCGCATGCCACAGGACTTCGAAATACTTGTAATCCATTTTAATAATGACGTGGACTCAGAAAATCAAGGAGGAAGAAAAGAAAAGAAAAAGCAAAAGCAATTGCCAGTCTCGAAGCTTCAGAAGAGCTGTTCCATACTTGTGGGCATATTAAATAGGGATCCAGGTTGAACTCCTCAGTGAAACAGGAGTAACCTCCCGCCACCTCATTTCTCATGGCGTGTAAATATCGCCGTCGCCGCGCAGGCAACAACCATGACCAGCCTTTCGTGAGGCATTTAATAGCTTGAAGTGCGCTGCGACAGTGGTGTGCTAGGACTGTACAGCCAACGATCTGCCCTTTGACACTTCCTGCCACCCCGTGGGTATTTGCTTCCTGCAAAATGGTTGGCCCTCGATGATCGATAATAACCATCCTCTAGTTTCGTAAAGACCTGTGGACACTAGCATCTGGCCACCGACTTTCCAGATGCATACGAGAGGAGTCAAACGTCATGGTTGGCGGCTCTATATCGGAGAATTTCATTTTGTCACATCCTAAACTAAACCTGATGTTGCCTGTCACATCATTGAGGTAAATATTCGGTTATGATTGGCTTTTAGTTTTAAACTTTGTTTTGGGCTTTTATGCAGAAGACTGGACCGGAAAGATTCGATTCCTGCTATTTGTTCTATTGCGTCTCAGAGCAGCGCCCGGGAACAGTTAACTTACTAGTCGTCGCATTGGGAACAGCGTCGACCAACCTCAATCGCTGAGGTACTCATGCTAGTTAGGTATTTCATCCGTTCCGCAACACAGGGTTGTTTGAATGGTACTAGTCGACGGGCTCCAGCCCCTGGGATTCTCACCAGCTGAATCCATGTCATCTGAAATGGTTGGCTGTGGTTGGCTGTGGTTGGCTGTGGTTGGCTGTGGTTGGCTGTGGTTGGCTGTGGTTGGCTGTGGTTGGCTCGGCCGTTCCATGCAGGCCGCTGAATTCGCCTTTCCGTAGCTCTTAAGAATGCGAAAGGCTGGATCAACAGCAGACTAGAAGACGATAGGCTGCCGGGCAACAACGATGACTAGCCTCTCAAACCGTGAGGCATTTAATGGTTTAGAGCACAGTGAGGTCCAGGCTTGTCCAGGTTTTCGTTCAGTGGTGTGTTAAGACCAGCCGTCCATTTGCCTTTGACACTCCCTGCCTCCCTGTCGGCATTACGTCCTGGGAAATGGTTGGCTCTCGATGATCGATAACAACCACCCTTCAGTTTCATCACCTGCTCTTCAGACAAGTTGCCCCGCTGGTTGGGCACTCGTGACACTTTGAACCCAATGATCACAGTTCGTCCGTCAATCTTAACCCTGCTACATATCTGCCATGCCAACCAAAGTCGTATTGCTCCCCTGTAAATGGTTTGGCTCTCGATGACAGATACAGTATCCTCCTCTAGTTGTTTTAGAGCCTGGCTCGTGTTCACCCTCGTCCCTCGCCTGCCGGCTTTTAAAAATGGACGTCGTGACGGTCGCCGAACAGGCATTGCAATGCGCTCTGGGTGCTAACACCAGCTAACGATTGCTGCTGACGCCTATCTCCCTGCCGGTATCGCTCCCTGCGGAAGTGGCTGGCTCTCGGTGATCAATCAAAAATCACCTCTAGTTTCGCAAGAGGCACGGACCCTATGGTCCGGCCACCAGTATTTCACAGTTGAGATGATTGTCAGTCCTTGTTGGGCTGATCTTGTGTTGGCCATGCAAGCTCCGCTTTCTTTCACGAGACGAGCAACTGTTGCAACACCCAGGTAGATCAGCCCTAATCCGGGCTCCTACTAGTGCTTCATATTAGCTGTAGGTTACACCCTATATAGGCTCCCCATTTGATTTATTTCTGGCGCGGAGACAGAAGATGTATACAGGGTGGAGAATTGCGGAAGTAGGTAATCCGCTCACCTCTGCAGCAATACGGATAGAGAGGCAGGAAATGTAAATTGCTAATGGTTGTCAGGCATTGGCAGACTAGCGAGCGAAGGCCTGCTTGAAACGCATGCCTGTGCGGCGACCACAGGTCTGCAGGGAAAGAGCAACCCCGCAAGGAACAAGAAGTCGTACAAGGCTAGGTCACGTGATGCCACGTGATCTCCAAGAGATGGTATGGCGACCCGAACGGTATGGGCAGCATACCAACATACCAACACACCATTCCCAGTCGCCTGTTCGGGAAATACCTCACAAGTATATAGCTACGCTCATTACCCTTCCATAGTTACACTCTCTCGTAGCCAACTCATGTCATCTAACTGACTAAAATGTTCTTCAGTTACTTGACTACTCATACCTTGCGCCTACTGGACCCAGCTCATGCAGTAAAGGATCTGTGACTGTCTTCACAATGAAACATGTTGAACACGAGCAGCTGTCGCATTGCTATTGCGCTGCAATAAGAACTATCTAGCGAGCTGGAAAAAGTAGTCTTTCATTACCCCAAAATTTTGGCTTTGCCATACTTGGGCCTTCGTTTATAGGAATCTAGCTCAATTAATTCGTGGCTTGACAAATCCATCAGAACTCACTTGAAATCTCAAACCCCAGCTCAAAGTCGACGACGTATCGGGCCAGCGACTGTTACGAGAACTTAGGGGTTCCAGGTGCGTCGTTTTCCTGCCTTGTTGTTTCCATCCGTGTTCTGATTGAGGACTTTACGGAGTCTGGGGTCAAGACGATCTTCAGCCGAGTGATGTTGCCGTACGTGACGCTTCAAGTTGTCGGGCCGAGGATACCTGTGTTGCTGATCGGGACAAAAAGGACATATATACCCAGGAGACCTATGAACCAAGCCATGTCTGTTGGGGAGTGGAAGCAGTTAGCAATGGATTGAGAGTCTGTTTTCAAAATGGATCGTCCCACCTGATCATCTCGTTCTTCCTCTTAAAGCCCAGACCACCATACCCTCGAGGACAATCTTTGACAGGACAGAAGTGAGTTCGCTCGTTAGAATGGACATTCATATGGCTGTTTAACAGGTATTGAGTGTGAAATGGCGGGGCATTACATCCTTCGGATGTGCACTTGAAACGGCCTAGCGAAAAGTGGGCTCTTGCGGCGGCGTTGCCGGCCACCCCGGACTGAGACACAGATGGACATTTTGGTTGCGATTTAGACTGTGGCTCGGGCTCAAGCTCCGGCTGAGATTCAAGCTCAGATTCAAGTTCGGAGAATTGGGATTCGGTGTCGGGATTAGTCTGCGATTCAGCTGAGGTTGAAGGTTGAGGTTCGGGCTCCGGAGGAGACTGATGGTGGGACTGAGGCTTCGATCGCGCTGTAGGCTGAGTCTGAGGTATGAATCGAACTTCACCTTGAGATTTCAGATCGGTTTCTTGGGCAGAGAAGTGCTGCGTCCTGCTGTCCTCCTCTTGCTCCTCTCGATCGCGCTCATGTAGAGCCGTCAACGAAGAGGGACCAGAGGAGGGCGTGATGATTGACGAAGTATAATCTGGAAATGCTGACGCTTTGGAATTCCCAGCTGTTGTCCATGAGTTGCTGTAAGACGGCGGACCCGGAGATGCATGAGTGGCAAATTGGCTCGATAAAGGCCGAATCATGCTCGGACACAGGCCAAGTCTGTCTAGAGATGGGAGCGTCATGTAATTCGCTAGACCTGCGGGTGAATAACGTGCTGGAGACCGCTGTTGTATGGCTGGCAAGGTGGAATCTGGATGTGCATCACGGGGCGATATTGCATACTTCCCAAGAATATGTGACTTGAGGATTGAGTCGTCATCTTGATCGCCGTGGATTATGTTGAATTGAGTTTTAAACAGATCTACTTGCTTGGACGCTGTATGGAAAGCTTGAGCCTGTCTTTTGGGCTTTTGGATAGCTTGCTCAGGCTTTGGAGGCGGCCGTACCCGTTGCTCTTCAGGCACAACGACTGGGCTGCTAATCATGGGGAAGTCATCGTCGTCGTCAGGACCATCAGGGTTGGCGAGTAAGGCCGTCCTCGTAACCGGCCTTGATTTGGTTCGGACCAAGTTTGCTCCATGTCGAATCACCCTCCTGGGCCCCTTCCTTTGTCTTTGGCTGGCCTGAGCCTCACCCTCCTCCTGCTCCTCCTCTTCTGATTGACTTCTTGCGTCCATCGGCTCTTGCTGTGCCTGGCTAGCGAGTGTGCACAAGGAAAGATTCAGTAAGCCGTCGGCAAAGGTGCGGTTGGCTCGACCCTTCCGAGCTATCGGTCTCGCCTGATGCCTCACCGCTTTTGTATCCTCCGCCTCCGAGGAATCCGAGGATTGTTCGCTGACGCCTACAAGAGGTGCAGGGCTATATCGTGGTTCGTACTTCGGGTTTACTGGCTCAAGTAATGGACTTCGAGAAGGTGCAAGGATGTCCCGCTCCAAGTCGAAAAAGGTGTCTTGATCCCGAGACATGAGTGAATCTGACAGACCGTCCAACAAACCGGTTGAGGTTGCAGCCCTAAGATAAGCAGGAGAAAATGTTGACTATCGAGGCAAACGTCGATGTCTCTAGCTCATGTCAGTGTGAGAAAATTTTCAATAAGGATCTGGACGTGCTATTGCCCGTGTTCGATGGACCGCAGGATGTTCCAATTCACCGCAACAAGGAAAAGGTAGTGAGGGAGGGGAAGGGAAGAAACCCCAAACTCAAAATGTTCCAGTGTCTTTCGTACTCGGAGCAAAGACGAAAGAGGAAGGGAAGACAATCATACCTGAAGCAAAAAAGGGTCCTTAGCGGCAAGAGTGATCAGCCACTTGGGATGAGGTTCTTGAGGCTCTGGCGGGGCGGTAGAGTATAAGGGCCAGTTCGGGCTCAAGTTAAAGCGTGAAGGGTAGAAATGAGAATTATATGGTGACTGGTAGCTAATAAGTAGACGTACAAGCGCCCAGACCCCACCTGTTTGGGGCGTGACCCTGGGAAGAGTGGTTGTCACTCGCGGACGGACAAAAGCTTGTCGTTCCCCGTCGACGCAGTCGGTCATATATCTCCGCCTATGTCTCTTTGTGACCTTACGTCGCCATTTCCCCCTCCTCTACCATGGCTTCCCTATTACCGTCGAATGCCATGTCCTCTCGGTTCGTACAGCTACCGTTCGATGTTCACCATCAAATCGCAACCAAGCTCGATGTCCGTTCTTTCGATAACTTGGCCAGGACATGTAAGTCTCTACGTCGACATCTCCAGGATGAGAATACCGCAAAACATGCTATACAGGTGCAATTCCCCTTCTGACTTCATCTGCAAATTTGGGGGTTTTGCCCCTTTAACTGACCATGTCAGGCGAGTCTACGGCAACGTCTTTGGGTCCAGCTCGCCCTATCTCCAGCGCAACCCGGGCCCAGGCAGACCCTCGCTCGCGTCGTCGACTCCCAATCGGCTTTGCAACAGGCATCTCCATACTCAGCCTGTATTATAGCATATGCGAGTAGTTTCTCGTACAATTTCGGAATTTTATGTTATACCTCTGCGAATAGTCTCCGCATTCTAAACTTCAACAATCGTCGAGGCACCGAGGTCTTTGATAGCAGCGTCTTCACCGATCCTGCAGGCGATTATGTCGGTCCAGGTCCAGAGTTACGCCGAGGGCATAGTGGTTCTCCTGTGTGACTTTGGGCCCTTTGGCCAGTACGCTTTTGCATTGAATATAGCGGATAACAGATCCTCCATTCTCTTGGGGAACAATGGCCATCCTCGCGTCCTCTTATGTACGCGAATCCGCTCCAGTAACAAGCTTTTCGTCAGGAACAATGACCACTTTATGGTCTTGGGCTGGCACTCGGCGACCGGCAGCCACAACCACGAATGGCTACTGGATGTCTACAGTCTCTACAGTCTGGACACGGGCGATGCTATGAAGGCCCGGCCGCTGCAGCTGCCGGATTTCTACGGCTCCGAGATAGGGTCCACGGTCTGCTTCACCATCCACCAGGGCGAATTCTACGCGATCACGAGCCAGACGAACTGCGAGAGCGAGGAGGTCGACTGGACGAGCTACTACCACGTTGTCAAGTTCCGGCTGGACGACCCAGACCCGGAACTGACTATCAAGCTCATCTGGCGGAGACAGCACCTCGAGGCCCCCATCAACGATGCCTGGAACGACCTGGGCTTCCAGATCGACCGCTCGACGGGCGAGCTCCTGGTGGTCGAGGAGAGGAAGGAGTGGCTCAACGGCGGCAGCCGGTCCATCAGGACGTACTACACGCAACCCATCGGCCGCGCGGACTTTAAGGACCTGAAGGAAGGGCTGCGGCATCCGCCTAACGATCGCCTCAGCGTCACACTCGACGAGCACAGTAACAGTCGATGCGAGGAGCCTATAGTGCGTGCAGATAGATACGTTCAGGCCGAGTTCCAAGCAGATGCGAGTGAGGAGCAGACGGCTAAAGAATACATCCGATCCCGGACCAAGTGGAACGGATACTCGTTCAACGCGCAGGCTTTTATCGATCTCGTGACGGACGAGGCGGTCATGGAAGGCGAATGGCGGCCCCGGCAACGCATCAAGTTACGCGTGGTCAGCAGGCAGGAACTCAGTCCTCTGGTGCGAGACGCGACGAACGGGGGTTCTGTAGCTTTGGTGCTTCGCAAGCGCACACGGAATCGCGAGGGCCAGGAGATGGAGGACGGAGAGCGAGCCTTCACACCGAGCACCGTCTCTCTTTGGCCCCCGGACGACGCACCCCAGGGTTTGGACGCAATCCTCTGCCCCGAGGGTCGAGCCGGAGACGTCAAAGCCATGCTGGGAGACGAGGGCATCGTATACATGGCCGGTCCGCCTCGCGAGCCGGGGTCGGCGGAGCGGGCTCTGGTCTTTGTCTGCTTCGACCCGACCTTCGGGTTCCAGGGGATGCAGCGGCTCGATGGGAGGTCGGCCGTGCCGAAATCGGAAAGGAAGAGAAAGATGGAGTGCTACGAATATGACGAGACACAGCATACTGTCCATTTGGGCGGCCAGGACCAGCGCCAGAGCCAGGGAATTGACGTCGATCTCACGGATCCCACGGAGAGGCAGAAGCTGGAAGCCCGAGATGTGGGGGATTCAACTTCTTCCCCGTCTAGGAGCGACGAGCCGGAAATCACCGCCGGCGGGCAACGAAATAAGTTGGTACGAGCTGACTTGGCCGAGGACTTACCTTCGACGTTGCAGTCTAAGAGTTCGTTGCTGGCGAGCGCGAACTCGAGGTTACCGCCATCATCAGCCGGGCGTCCTCAGCCCGCCTCAAAATCAATTCCACTCCAGAGTTCCACGACAGGAGAGGCGCCTCTAGTTACCTGACAATGTGTCTCCCCCACCCAAACCTAGGAGACAAGGTGTTTTCTCTCATTTGCTTAGCCACCGATGTGCAGAGCTTCCTGCAACGCAGCCGCCAGGGAAGCGGCATCTCAACGGTTGCACTACAAAAGCAAGCAGATTGACTTGACCAAATGTTTAGAGCCATTCGGCGGCTGCACCAGCTCGCGAAAACATCCGCAATCACCGAGAGACAGTTCGTCAGCACCCAGGCTACCAGAATGAACTTCTCACAACCTTTCGAAGAGGAGCGACTTCCGTGGTACGACTCAGATCAATTTTATCCCGTGCGCATCGGCGAGATATTCCACTCCAAATATAAAGTGGTGGGGAAGCTCGGGTACGGTGCGCACTCTACAGTTTGGCTTTGCCGAAACATGAAGTATGTGATACTTTCGGATCTAGTCTCATACACCGCTGACTTCTTGTACAGAGCTACTGGCTTTGTGGCCATAAAAGTCTGCACCCGAGAAGTTGCCAAATCCCCACGCATTCATCGAGAGCTGCAATTTTACGAGCATGTCAGCTCCCTCAATTCGGAGCATTATGGCCAAGCTTACATTCGTGGCCTCTTTGAGACATTCACAATTAACGGTCCCACCGGTCAACACTTGTGCCTAGTCCACCCCCCGATGCACATGACTATTCGAGAACTTCAGCACCAAAATCCGTCCCATCGGCTCAATGAGCAGATTTTGAAGTGGACTCTGTTCAATTTACTCAGCGCGCTTTCCTTTCTACATGATGAAGCTAAGGTGACACATACAGGTAACTTATTGTGGCCACGATATCCCGTCGACCTTTGTGACAGAGCAGGCGATGAAGCGACTGCACGGGCCGATATCATGTCCATCATTGCGGGCGAATCGAGGAAAAAGCATTATTACGCGTCCGACCGCCTATTCAACCACCTGAAGCCGCTCGCCGACGACCTACCCCAACCCAAACCAGACTTGTATGACGGCGCTTTTCCCCAACAAATCGATCGGAGAGTCCGCCGTGATCTCGGAAAGCACATTGTCCCATGCAACAACACCTCTCTGCCGGCAGCGCCAAACTTTTTCCTGGAGGGAAAGAGTGAGGGTGGGCGTGCCGACGTCGCCAAGCGGCAAGCCTGTCACGACGGGGCGATCGGCGCCCGAGTGATGCACAGTCTCCAGAATTACCAATCGGCAGAACCCATATACGACGGCAACGCCTACAGTTTCTCGGCCACTTACCACCAAGGCACCGCAACGCTACAACTCTATGCTCACCATCTGACGCCGCCCAAGGCGCCTGGAGAACCTCCCGAGTGTCATATGAGTCAGCTGAAGGGATTTCAAATGACCAGCGATAGGGAAACATTTGTGAAGGGAGCCGGTGGTTTCCGCTACAACCGGGATCGGGCCAAAACCGATCGAGACAATTTCATCGATCACGCAAACCAGATAGCCCGACGGGCACCTGCGGAAACTCCGTCAACCACATTGACGGACAGCCGTACGTCCCTGTCAGTGCTCCAAGAAGACGAATCTGATACTTCTGCCGATGAACTCGTTGCCGAACAAACGACTGCCAAACGCACGAGACATGCTACTGTGGAGCAATCAAGGCATGCCGCTATGCCACCAGCAGCGGCGTCCTACTCCGCCAGACACCTCAGTATCATCTCTCGGCAACCAACGACGAGCGCACACTATGTGCAATCCAGTGCACGTTCGGGGCAAGCACTTGAGGGTGGAAAAAGTCGGAGGCAAATCAGGCCTACGCGGAAGGTCCTGGATAACACTTACACCGATAGTATACGTTAGAGACGATAAGGTGGTTATAAGTGCCTTACACAATTATCTCGTGATAGGGGAGACAAATTGCTTACTCGCCCTTCCCATCTTCGACATAATTACCACTACCATTTGCAAGGCACCGTTGCTGCAGTTATTACCCTAGGCGTCCTGGCCAATAGCTGTCTAGATCATTACCATATAGAGCCCGAACTGAAACCTAGCCGTGTGGACACGCCCTGGCGTACAAGGCTCCTTCACGTGATCAGACGTATGCCTCCCTTTTTGTAGGGTTTGAGGTAGAAAAATGAAAATGAGAGGGGGAGGGCCGGTTGACCCTGACAACCATTTGAAAACACCACGGTTATCTGTAGTTGACCTCGACTATGTCAATCACGTAACAGGGATCCTTTGAGTTTTCTAGTTCTGGTGAACCTCGGAAAGTAGGTGACTTCCAGAGGACGCGTTGGAGAAACAGACATCACATTCGAGATTTAAGGAGGCAGGGGAGTTCTCGAGATTTACCATCTCTAGCCTGATTGGGGAGTGTGGAACGTCGAATTAATAGCAGCAACAAAATACTATCGGAATCTTTTCATCTACATGCACCATGTAGTTGTTAGCAGATGCCTGAATTTCCTTATAAATAGAGATTCAAATTTAACGAGAGCGAAGACGCACCACAGCTTCCAGTCCGCGTACTACTTTGCTTCGACATTGAGTTGTTTCCACCATGCAAGAAGGATAGAAAATCAAATCCACCTCAGCGTTCAACCAACTTGACCTGACAAAGGCCGTAAACACCAGGTCCACCAAATCATTCTGGAAGGCATAGCTCACAGTCCAATACTGTCCTCTTCGAGATTACCAGTGTTCTCAGTTCATCCTCATCCTCGAACTCCTTTTGCGCATCCCCTTGGGCTTTCATGCACGATTTTCCGCAGGCTGAAGGGTTGCCTCTGTGACTATAAATGCCTCTCGGGCAGATATAGACCTTTCTGGTTATCCAAGTTGGATTATACTCCACCCGCAAATCTGAATAGCACGATTTGGCTAGTTGCTTGGATCCCTCATACTCTTGAGCTGAATATTCAATTTTCACCGCCTTTTCGTATTCTTTGTTTCTAAGCCAGTCCATCAGGCGCTCGATCTGGAATTGCTGGGCCTCTCCTAGCAATGCTTGATACATGCCGTAATCGTGCCCTCCGAAGCTACTATAGAAGATCGGGAGGGCACCAGAGCGAAGATAGCGGAGAATATAAGGGAACAGAGCCCCGTCGGCATCGACAAAATATGATCCGTCAGCTTGGACGCGTTGCCATTGAGGCGAGAGCAGACTGGCGAAAAAAGGACTTTTAGCTGTTAAGGTGGAGCGGAAGGTGGTGAAGCGTTGCTCGCCCACCTGGAGAGTAATCGGGTTACCTGTCGTAGGGGGGAAGGGTGTATTCTGTTGGTCATCTAAGATGTTGATATTGTCGTCGCTTTGGTCCTGAGGCTGCTCATCTGTCGACATCTTCAGGCACAATGGTTCCGTAGAGGTGGGAGGAGAGATAGAATAAATCGGGAAATATTTCTTGCGGAAACTGCTGTGATAGATGTTTTACTAAATTTGATGTCTAGATCCAAGGCTTCCTTCGGTAGAAGCTAAATCTCGAGGGTACAGTACAGTGTCGTATTGATCGCTCAGCTGGCCTACTGTAAAGCGTTCCGGTGATCTCTTCCACCAGCAAGGGGACCGACTCTTGTTGTGGTGGCCCATTATCGATCATTGAGATCCAACCATTGGAGAGGCATTGTCGCAAGTCCGGGCGGCTAGGATGGCACCAGCAGGCAACAGTGTTTCAATTTCGACGCAAGGGGACCAATGGAAGGTCCCCTCCAGGCAACTCCTTCCTTTGCCGTGCGTAGGTGAACAGGCAGTTTTCAGACGACCAGGATCCGGAGACGTTAATGTACGAGGTAGGTTGGCCGAGGAACAGACCCTTAATGATCGCTTCAATCGTGTTGAGTTCGTAGTCCGCGTCTTGACAGAAGTATAAACAAAGTCTCTTTATAGGCTAGCGCTAATTGTGGCTGCTTTAGGCGACAGCTCTCCAATGCCAAGATGTTAAGTTGATTCGTTCCGAGGTAGGTACGGAGTAGATCATCTGCATCTATGGCTTCCTCGCCACCGCCTGAAGACGCTCGAACTCTTGGCGTTGTCAAAATGGAAAGTAAAGCGAGGCGCCGACTTATTGTAATTAAACGTGCCTGCCCGACACAGCTTGTCGCCACATATTCCTGAATTCAATTACACACTTAGGAGTGAGTCCCTCCCTGTCGGTAAATGCTGGTAGATACTGATATGTCGAGCCCTAGTGGGTGACAAAAAGCCTGAGGCGTACCGGATTTTGGTGGTTGTCACACCCAAAAGCCCACTCTGGCAATCGGCGACTGAGGAGGTTATTTCATCAGCAGCCCAAAACCTCAAGCAATCGCCCTTTTCACAAGAATATAAAGGCGACATACCGACTCAACTCCTGGCAGTGCATAAATGGCCCTGTATGATAAATATCGTGTTCGACATCTTCAACGATTCCTACAATCCAAGATTGTCTCATCTCCTAGAGCACAATAATCTTCCTGTTGCTGCGGTCCGCTTCAGCCGAACAGTCTCGGTGACAAGAGTCAATGACAGTCTACGCTCTAGAGTTAACAGGGAAATTGCCATGGCTCACAACTTTAATGGCGAGAATAGCCAGCCACCCTTTTTCGAAGATCATACAGATGGCAAGATACCAGAATATCAGGAACCGAGGGATCTTTCTCTACTCCTGGAAGAGTAATGGAGGCACTTGGGCTATCTCACTTGTGTTGAGAATGATCTGTACCTAGTCTTAATTTCTATCTGTCATCTATTCGAAGTAATTCGATTTGCTGAAAACCCATCCAGTTTCACTTCTTAGAGTCCAACCCGTAAACTCAGCTTTATCGTTGCTTTCGGCGATTATGAGGCGTAACTTGACAGTGAGGAGTTAGTTTCCATTTAATACTTGGATTTTAGCTTACCTTGTCTGAATCAGGAGGAGTGGGAAGACTGCAAGTAGCACACACTCCAGTGCGGTCCGTCGTGTTTTGGCCCGGAATAAGAGGACACATCTGACCGCAAGAAACTCGCGTAGCTCGATAGACTGTGTTACACGTTCGGCATATCCAACGGGAAAAAAGACACATCTAAATTCTTAGATTAATAGGCAGATCGCCCTTTGGGGAGACTTACTTTCGCGCACAATTTAGAAGGTCGACTTGCGTTTGCAGAACAAACCCCTTTGAAACGTTCAAAAGTCTATTTAAATATCTTTCCTCTGTCGAAGATCTGCCTCCTCGAAACATCCTAGCACCGGAAATAGCATGCTGGCAGCATGCATGTAGAAAAACTTGATGGCTGGGAAATTGTAGGCAGCAGTGTGACGCTGCCTTCTACCCGGTGACTCAATGCCATGCAGCGGATATTCGTTCTTCATTTCATGAAAATTTCGTGACAGTGTTCCGGGACTATGCGGACTGGAACCCTATGCCTCGTAGTGGTTGACGCGAGCCACACCTCTAGATGTCCCTGGTATATTCCGCAGTCCTGAGGCCATTGACGGATCAAGAACTCTTTCAACGGCTCCCCTGTGATGTGACTCAAATGGTAAAGAAAGGCTGATCTGGGTGGTGTGTCGTCAACCCACCCGACTATGACCAGTCTCAACCAGTGAGGCACTAATGCATCAGGTTCTGGAGCTGATGATGTGAACTAAGGCAACTCGTCGGAAGGAGAGCTGACATTCTCAATACGAAGGTGGAGAAGTATCTATCATCGAGAGCCAACCATTTCACAGAGGAGCATTATCGATAGGAAGGGAGGAAATGTAAATGGCCGGCATTGGCGGCCCACTGAGCGAATGCCTGTATTCCACTGTCCTTGGAACGGTCAAATGCCTCACCGGTTGAGAGGCTGGTCATCATTGTCGCCCCAGCGCCCGACGAATGTAATGGCGACCGCCCGCGAAAATTGGTAGGCTCGGTCCCAGGGGCGGATGAGAACTCGCGGCGCACTTCGCTACATCGTTCGATAGGACCTTGAAGAAGTGTAAGCGTTGACCAATCAGCATTGGTCACTTGTGCCAATGAGTTCAAAATTTTGGTTTGGTCGCCGCCAGGCTTATAAAGAGTAAGTCCGACAAATTTATATGGTGGATCGAGCAGCTGAAGTAGCCGCCTCGACCATCGCCTCACGGAACCCGTTGGGGCCATCCTACTGGCGCCTCAAGAGGGGCGTCTAGGCTCGGCCAACGCAACCTACTGCTGAAGCATTCAGTAGCGCCTACTTGTGGGTTTAGTATCTCTTGCCTTGCATCACGGCGGAACGAGGCACAAGAGACCAAGGCAACTCTCCGGAAGAGGAGACGATATCAGTGGATCGAGAGGATTGAACAATTCGGAGGGGCGCAATGCTCCAAAATCTGCGACTAGGATGGTGCGCGGCTGGCGACACGCATTCCATCCACGACTTGTCCTCGAGTGATCAGCTTCTTTGCACCGTATTCGGATTCTTGTGGGGTCACTGCTAGACAAGGGGATTCACGTCTTTGACTGGATCATGCAAAAATTCCAGCGGTTGGGGCTGGGGCTAGAGGAGGACGAGGTGAAATCACCGAGGAATCAAAGCACGTATTGAGACCGGGGACCTTCCCTCCGCAGAAGCCAAAGCGATGACAGGTATCGCCAGAGTGAAGTGCCTACCTGATGGGGATCGGCCAGACCATCAGCACCTCGGAAGATGTCCAACAAGCTTTCCCGCCGACAAGGATTCGAACTGGGCGATCCTGGAATTCCAGAGGTTGGAGCCTGACGGCTAGGAGACGACACCACCAGCTTATGGAGCCCAGGATGTGACTGAGGCAATTGGTCGAAAGGGAAGATGATGTTCTCAATATGGGGATGGAGGGTATCTGTCATCCAGAGCCAACCATTTCACCGGGATCAATACCGACAGGAGGCAGGAAATGTAAATGGCAGATGGTTGGATGGCATTGGCAGACACCTGAGCGAAAGTCTGCTTGAAACCCATTATCTCCCAGGTAAAGGCCTATAAGAGACTTATCGAAGCACGCTTATACCGCATGGCGATAGTGACGTAGGTAGCGTAGGGAATAATTCGAGACCACCAGAATCATCTTAGTTTACTGTTGACAAATCTGACTTTTCGGGACCTTCGTTTCAACGTCGATGAGTCCAGGTCAAGGCTACTGAGAAATCTAATCTGAGCACGTGACCGGACTAGAGGCGCGCGAGGAACTACTTAATTGTAGCCGCGACCAGTAACTCGATTAAGATCCTATACGATCGCATTATGGTGGGCCCTATCTCGATCCTAAAGATAGATAAGTACACCGATAGCAACCCCTATGAACTACTGACTAGGGTCTGGGACGAGTTTAGGAACTCGTAAGGTAGCCGCGTAGGCATTAACTAGTACGGGTGGCAGCTACGTTTACGGTCACGATCACGAACCTCAACATTAATATAAGACTGTAGTGTTAGAGCTCTGAGATAAGTGCCAGAAAAATACGCCGTCCCACGTTTAACAGATATCTACCTCTCGGCCCAACTCGAAATGGAGGAGACTTTACGTTATGATTTTCATGTTCAAAAAGGACCTTATTATGAGAGTATATACTAGGTCGAACTTTATTCCGTACATAGAGAGGCTTATAGATTTAACTTCCCAACAGATTGCGTAACGGTCGAGAGTTAGTCCAAATCAGCCGATTCTATTTTCTCACTAGCGGTAGATTTACCAATAGAATCAACCGAAACAGGATATGTCACCTTTCCAGGGAATAGAGACTAATCTAGTAAACAGTAATTAACAATATTTTCTAAACAGACTAGGCTCATCGGAAAGGGCGGTGGTAGGCTAGACGACCTATAACAAGTGTAAGCATATTTCAGAAAATCAGAAACTTAAATACTTATTCCGGTTAATAGTTAGTCCTCGAGCCATATGCTAACCCCTACAATCAAAGTTTAGACTCTACGACAGCCTAATACGACTAAGAGTTACAGAGTGAACCTATAATGCAAGTCGACTTTATAATTTTAAAGCGTATATCTTCAACAGCTTCGGCATGACTCCCTCCGTCGGAAGACGATGGACTACGGGGCGATTCGTAGCGAGAGCCCGCTAAGCAGGACGACTTACAATGGTTACGATCAGAAACGATATCACCTCGTGTTAAGCCAGTCTGCAATTTTACCTAGCCGAAATCCCTACAACTTATTCAGTTAGGACTTCGCTTACGCACCTCTATCAAGACAGATGTAAGTGTTCGAAGCTCCCAGCCTCAACATCATATCGAGAGAGAGTAGTTCTGCAAACCGCCTAGAAGGTTCTGCATTAGCTCTTAGTTAAGTCTTAAGCTCCTCGTCCTAGACAGTGTGCCAGGCGGCGAAATAAAGTGTCAAATGGAGCGCCCATCTGTAAAGATGTTTTTCCATACCTGCTACTGCCATCATTGCCGACAGAATGTTCAGAAAGGCGCATCGCGCACTCCCCAAGGATACAGCCATCCAACGAAAGAAACCCAACACAAGTCCAAAACGCCACATATAGCTTTGAACCGATCACTCCTAGCTGGCAACATTCGCAAAGCTCCATCGGTTTGTCGAGGAGGACCGATCAATCGAGACGGTGGTTCATGTATTAGTGAACTGCCCCAATTCGAGGACGCTCAGATAGCGGCTACAGAAGAAGGTAGGTGACGCAATGTACAGCATCGCATTTATGCTCGGGGGTTGAGGCAGGCGGCCTACCAGTTAAACCAGCAAGTAAACAGCCAGGCGAGCTTCCACACATGCATCCCTAGCAGAGATGAGGTGGGGGGGATCGTTTTCTCCCGGCCGTAGAGTCGATACAGTACGATGGCGAGAAAACGTCAGTTATAGTGATAGTTAGGGCCAAGGATCAAGCAGGTTGTGACCTCGCCGCTTTTTGCTTCCTTTCTATACGAGGCGGCAGCTCAAATGATAGCCATCTCTAGCCCAGATATGCGATCCTTCATTCTGAGAATATCCTTTCGACGAACGTCGTCGTGGGTATCAACCGGTTGGTCATCGCCCAGCACAATCTGGTTGTCTAGAAGAATGCATCAGCATGCACCGTTCACATACACGCACGACATAGTACCAACCTTGAGTAGCACCGAGCTAGCAATCCTCAGTGGTTCTTTGACGACCTTTAGTTCATTTAGGTCGATTTTGGAAACTTTTCTCATCCTCCCGCTTGCAATCCTTTGCAGAACTATTTGTCGTCATATGGGGTCTCTTTTTGTAGGCTCCGCAGCAAGGTCGAAACTGGTCCGCGTTTGTAGGGCACTGCCAATTTGGATGGAGATCATTGCCGCAAAATTTGCACTCGAAGGTCTCTTCCGCAGGCATATCGCCTCTGGATTGCTCGGTGGACATTTGACAGGTAGTGGGAAGTTGAGAACTTTTCTGGTGTGCTTGTACGTAAAAGGCATAAAGGATAGAGCCGAGGCGAATACGGTTGATATAGTTGAATTTCGTGTGTAGGGCTCCAAGCTCAGCCCCCCTACAGCCAGAACTTGACCAGGAGGGCCGCAGAGAGGACAATACCCATCATCCACATAGGGACATCTTCCGTGTTCGTATACGTAAGCTCATGCACTGATGGCCCCCGAGTGACTTTGGCCACTTATGGGTTACGCTTGTACTTCCAAGAGAAGGATAAACAATGGGAAAATGCAACCCCTGTTATTGGGACAGGACTGGGTGTGTTGCAGGAGAGCCCGAATAGTAGGGCCTTTTCGACGCTGCAGCCACGTCAACTTCTCCGCCTGCTACCAAGGCTACCAACCGACTTTCAAAGGGTGGTTGCCATGATGGTCACCGCACAGGCAACAACGATGACCAGCCTCTCAACCGGTGAGGCATTTAATGGTTTAAAGCACAGTGAGGTCCAGGCTTGGTACAGGTTTTCGCTCAGTGGTGTATTAAGACCAGCGGACCATTTGCCCCTGACACTTCCTGCCTCCCTGTCGGTATTGCGCTCTGGGAAATGGTTGGCTCTCGATGATCGATAACAGCCACCCTTCAGTTTCATCATCTGCTCTCTCGACGAGTTGCCTTAGTCACACCCTGGACTCCACAAGTTGAGGGATTGGTGGTGTCCACCCCTCGCCTCCCATCCACATGTTAGCGGCAATTGGGTGTCAAGCTCCAGCCTCTGAAATTCCTGATCATTCAGTCAAAGATGTTGTCGTATTCGAACCCTTGTCGGCAGAAAGGTTTACTGAACGTTTTCCGGAGGTGCTGATATTCCGGCTGATGCTCATCACGCAAATTTTGCGAGGAGAGTTCCAGGGAAAGCATCAAGGTCTAGTGCTCGTGCATCGACAGCCCCTGAAGGACAAGGACAAGTTTCACCTTATCAGTTGCGCCGCTAAGAACACCGTGGCAGTCAGGCCGAGTAACTTGAAAGTCAACTTGAATCATATTTTTAAAGCGTCACCGGCGCATCCCAGGAGTCGCGACGCTACATTGAGGTTCAGAAAGAGAAACCCTTTTTCTGCCGAGGTTGTGCGAAGGTTCATACGTCGACTTCTCACTAGCAACGAATCTTTGTCAGTTACTTGGCTTGCCCTTGCGCCAAAGCCCTCGTTCAGCTCAAGTTAACGTGTAGCCCGAAAGGGCAAAGCGGAAGTATAATCGGAGAGAATTTATTGTCGCAACGCGAAGGACCTTCTACGGCGGCACAACCTAAAGGCATCCTAGCACAACCTGGACCAGCGAAAGAGATCAACAATGGTGACAACTCAGGCCCAGACATGACTATCTCCGAGGTCGATAGGCTATTGGATGTTTCTCAGCCGTCCTTCTTTAATCACCTGAGGCGTCCTTATGTCCTGTGCCTGTGTGCGCTCCAGGTCTTGGAGCTGGGGAAGGATATCTCGAGCCTGTCGAACTAGGTTCAAAACAATCCACAAAAGTGAGAACCTTGGTCAGTTGTGTAGATCGAGCCTGTGCATCGATGATCCGTAAGGGTTCATAGGTCCAGCGAGGCCCTGCTGGAGGAGGCAAATTTTTGTATGGTGCCAGGAAGAGCCACCCTCGAATTCTTCGAATCGTCCCAGTCAAAGACGTTGTCACGCTATGATTCGTTCGCATCAGCTCTTCTTCGACGCCTCTTTCGGTCACGTCTACCTGCAAGGGCCCGCTGCGTCGTTTGCTCCTCAACGTTAGGACAGGGCATAGGACAGGATATGCTACTCTTGAGCAATCAAGGTATGCCGCTATGCCACCCATAGCGGGGTCCTACTCCACCAGACATCTCAGTACTATCTCTCGGTAACTAACCGAGCGGTGACCACCCTCTCTTACAATACTGGAGGATGGCTGCTATAGTTATCGAGAGCCAACCATTTCGCAGGCACATACCGACAGTGAGGCAGTAAGTGTCAAAGGTAGATCGTTAGCTGGGATTCGCATTACTGAGCGCCTTGCTGGTTGAGAGGCTGGTCACGGTTGTTGCCTGCGCGACGACCGTTACGGTGACCACCCTTGAAAGTTATTGGGCTGAAAGACGACGTTACAACCAGCAAAACAAATAAGAGTCTGTAGAGATATAGGCGGAACAATGTCCTGGGCATAGTGAGTGAAATCTCTCAATCAGCCAAGCATGTCGTTAGCTGGCGTCTCCTCCGCCACCATCAGTGACCTTGATAGTTACATCTTCGACGACTACCAGTTCTCTTTCGACTCTAGTTATATCCTTCAAGACGAGGCCTTTAGCTTTGACCCACCACAGAATCACTCAGCACTCAATGACTACCAAGTCTACAGCCAATCCAACGACTATCCTATGTCGAAATGGCCTGAGTTCGAGCGTGTGGATGACTTAAAGCCATCTACAGAGAATCAAGTGAAGCTCGGCTCATGCGACATAGACATATTCAATAGTCAGGTAGCACCGCCACGTTCCAACTCTGCTGCCAGCACCGGCTCCAAAGAGGACAAATTATCTCTCAAGCCTCAACCGTCCCAACCACTACGAAAGCCAGGGAAAGGTCGGCCGAGGAACTCGGAGGTAGCCATTACTCCTTCCAAGACAACAACAACAGCGGGGCGCAAGCGAAAACCCACGCGAAAGTCACCCACCACCAGCGAAGTAGGAGACTCGCCAGAAGAGAAGCGGAAACAGTGGCTCGAAAAGAACAGACTGACTGTTGCAAAGTGCAGAAACAACAAGAAAGAGAGGACGGAAAATTTACAACGTGACTTGCGGGAGAAAGAAGATAAGAATGCGTGCCTCAAGGAGCAGGTGATGCTTATGAAGGACGAGATCCAACAGATGAATGCGATCCTTGTTGCACATGCAAACTACGAAGGATGCAAGTTTCGCGAAGAGACCCAGGCCCAGCTCAATGCCCTCACCAACGACTTTTCCACCGCCCACCAGCCATCCTTCCAAGAAACCATTCTCCATCTGCCTTGGGCCAATTCCATGGGCTACAATCAGGAGCTACAGAAGAAAGAGAGGTTGATGGCGCCGGACCACCGGGAGAATATGATGGCCGACCAAGATGGACGCATCGAGCCTCTCACCTCGAACACTGGGGACAATTCGCCATGCATGCAGAAACAGTGCGCGCCTGTTCACAGTCCTCAACCGCCCGCTCTCTGGAATCAAATTCATCCTTACCCTTTTGTGGACCAGTCGACGCACGGTAATCAGGCTGGTATGCAAGACATCACCCCTGACTTTCCAGCTCGCGTACCCATGATGGAGACAGTGGCGGAGGGAGCGTCGAGATATCGATGCGACCATATTCATCCCCAAACGGGCAAACCTTGTAACTTGGGCTTCTCTCAGCGCCAGAATCTTACGCGGCATAAGAGAACCATTCACGAGGTCGATAAGCTGCGGTGCCACCTGTGCAAGAACACCTTTGGGCGAGGCGACTCGTTACTCCGCCACACACGCATGGTTCACTTAGACGACGAGTAGGTGGACAAGCGAAAGCGTAAGAGAACGGCTAGAGCTTTTGAGCTCTAACGGGGAATTTGGCAGATCGCGGCGAAGAAACCATGGTACTGGTTACAAGACAGGCAGCCGCTATCACTATGGACAGCCAGGCGAAGGAGTAAGCTAGTTAGGCCACATATCCAGAAAGGATCACGACTTTATCGACAATCGATATAGGGACGTATGTGAGCCAGCCAATGTGAACTTAAATGAATATTCGTGGCAGGCACCTAAGTCAACTGGTGCAGAGTCATCAGACTGTAAAGCAACTCGTCGAAAGGAGAGAAGATGTTCTCAATATGGGGATGGAGAGTATCTGTCGCCGCCTTCCTCTTTCAGCAACGAGGATGAAGACAACTACTTGTGCATCATCTGCGGGTATCCCTTCCAGTAACGTCCCAACTCAAGCAGATGGGGAGACCTCCCTTGCTTGGCGAGAGTTACATGATCAGTCGCCTGCTTCATATGGTGTTGAAACCTTCAATGGTTATGTCGGCAACACTTTACACAGGCAGGTTATCATTTTCAATCTCTTTGCTGCTCCTTGTGTCCCTATCGCAGCCTGGTCACGTGCCAAGAATGTTCAGTCAACTGAGACGAACTGTAAAAGCAGCCACAGCTCCTGTTCTTTGTGGTATAGTGTCAAACGATCGACCCTTTGCTGCTTCAACCACATCAAAAAGTCAAAGGAGACGTAACCAACGCACCCTCAACTCAACAATCTTTTGCATCCCTTTCTAACAAGCATGAGGAGAAAGCCTGGCAATATATCCCACCCTCATGATTGTGCGCAGCAGGAGAACGCTGCTCTACTCACTGGGAGTGATGATGCTCCTGATATACATTCTGCATCTGTGGAAGACGCCCTCGCGGCCGTTGCCGCCCATGCCAGGCACCTACCAATACTTCTCGGAGATCAACTTCGAGTACTACACACATAGCTTCGGCGCTATCAGTCATTGTGATCCGAGGTTTGCACCCTCCCAGGCTCCGGGCATCGATGAAATGAAGAAGGCGCTGTTCGCGCTGATGAAGACGTACGCCACAACGATGAAGGAGCTTCACGCCGAGAGTTGGATCGCTCACGGCACCTTGTTGGGGTGGCACTGGAACCAGAAGATTTTACCCTGGGACAACGATATCGACGTCCAGGTGTCGATAGAAACACTGGCGGCGCTGGCTGCCGCCTACAACATGAGCGAGTACCAGTACCCGGTGGCTGGGGAGGACAGGCCTCGAACCTATCTTTTGGATATCAACCCGCATTACACCATCGCGTCACCACGCGACGTGGCGAACAAGATCGACGGCCGCTGGATCGACACCACCAACGGTAAATATATCGATATCACCGCCGTCCACGTCAGCCCGGGAAAGACGGAACATACTTCGTTCGACCAGTGCGTTTTCTTCTCCAAGGATGGTCATCGATACCGAGTATGTATCAAAATCGCAACCACTGTCCCTTCCCCCTCTCCTCTCCGGGGGGCTCAGGGCGGCTCACCCCCTCTCTTCCCCCTACCCCCAAGCGCCCCCGGGGGCCGGGGGGCCTGGGGGTCCCCTCTTCGGGCTTGAAATGGACGAATATGGAGCTAACGGCGTCGAGCCAAAGAGGGAAGATTTGTTCCCCTTACAGGATACCACTTTCGAAGGCATTGACGTCAAAGTCCCGCGCGACCCAGCCAAGATTCTAGCCGAGGAGTATGGGAAGAGGTCACTGACCAAAACGCGCTTCCATTGGTACGATACATCTTAGCGCTGCTTCTCTGTGCTCTCAAGTCTTTCTAATATTGGCTCACAGGCACCGGTTCAACAAAGCCTCGAGACTATGGGAAGCCGAGTAGGCTGGGGGTGGTTGTGTCTGGAGACCTCCGGCAGGCCAATCGATCCACCACACCCCGATCTGGTGTCAGTGATCCTCTCTCACGAGCACAATCCCCGCGCCAGATGAACCCCCGTGATGCCAGCACCAAGCTACTCGGATCAGAGGCTCACTAGTCACCACGGTATGATGGCAACCCCCTTCATATACAACCGGGTGCCCCTCAAGGACGGCTGTGACGACCACTCCGTCCGCATTACACCCATGAACAGAATGACAAACCTTCGAAAGAGGAAAGAAAATGGTACACGACTGCGGGGGGGAGGGAGTGTGATAGGGAAACTATGGCGATGACAATGACAATAACCGCCCCGAACTCAGCGCATGCCAAACAACATACACTTGCAAGTACCTCCACACTTGGCCCGACGCCCTTCTCGCTCAATCCAATCTCTACGAGCCAGCATAAGCGAATGATCTCGAATGTAGCGAACAATTTCGAATCTCTCCCTCATCAATCCTCGAGGAGACAGAGGAATAGGTCCCTTTCGCGCGTCTGACAGCCGTTCAATGTCCTCCCGATCTCGTTGATGTTGGGTTCGTCTCAATGTAGACATTATTGTGCATCGAGTAGCCAGACCTTGTCGGCAGAGTGAGTGAATGAATGAACGGGACGCAGCGCAAGGCGTAGGAGGCGTATCAAAAGGGTTTTGGCCAGGACAGAGTAAAGACATGTTGTTAGGCGTTGGCCCCCACGTTACACCAGCCAGGCAGATGTTGTCACTAACACATTCCCTAGCGCCCTAGGAGACCGGGATTCCAGGCGCTTGAAAATTTGACCCAATCACGAGAAGTTCCAACACTTGCGGTGGTTAAGCTGTGCAAGAAGGTGTGGCCACAGCAGTCCATGGTCACCTTTAACACGGTGAAAACAATATATTGAATTCAATCCGCCAGAGGGGGCACATTTGCTGTTGCGCTACAGCGTTGGTGCAAGGCAGCGTGGCGGCTGCGCAGAGAGCAGGCACGGGGATGGGGGCTGAAATTTGTCGCGCGGGGAAATGATGAGTAAAATAATAGCAAATTGTAGGAACTGCTTTCAAATGATGCAGCTGCAAGATTGACGTGGTCGCGTAAATCGGATGGTTGCCCAATGCATAACAATACGAATCCACGAGCAGCATTGGGCCGACATAGAACTGTTGCAGGTTAGACAGCCTCGTCCAATTTGGCTCCGGACCTCATATACGTCTGGCCCATGGCTAACGCCCCTCTACTCACTACTGCTATCGATTGAGAGGACTTCCGTTGCCTTGTCGTCATCTCCAGGCGCAGCAGGGGGTGTACTCTCCGGCTCGAGGTAGATTTTTCGAATGTCACCCTCTTTGACGACCCGCCTACACATAGGGCAGGTCTTTTCGCCGCCGCCAGGAGGCCACTGATCTAAGCAATCATCGCAAAACCCGTGGCCACACTTGGTCACAACATTTTTGAAGCTGTCAAAGCAGATATCACACAGCAGATGGCTGACCCGTTCCAACTTCTCCCGTTTGGCTTCCAGATCGTTGCTCAGTTCTTGGTTGCGGAGGCGGAGCAATTTATTTTCTTTTTGATACTGTTGCAGGTTGTTGTTCTGCCTTCGAAGCTTCTCTCGGAGAGTCGCAGTATGTCGTTGGAGGCGTGACAGCTTTTGGTCGTGCTGAGTGGTGAGATTTTCGATTTCTTCCTGTTTGGCGAGTAATTCGGTCTTATATTGTCGCTCCCGCCTCACGATAACTCCAAATTTCCTCCTAATATCCAAGGCGAAATCTAAAATGCCGCTGCTTTCATCCCTGATGTCGTAATCTGAATCATAGACAGACTGACTGGCTTCGAAGGGCGACGGCGCTCTAGGCATCTTGGAGGATCGTTCTCTTATGACAGATTTGGGAGTGATGAGACAGGGAGAAAAGTGCTCAGGCTGAGAGGGGAAGACGACCTTTATGATTGGGAAGATCAGTCAAGTCTTGGGGCAGGCATCCAACCTTGACCCGTCGGTCCCGTGTCGGTTCAGGGGTAGATCCATGCCTCCTTGTCACAAGTCCTGTCTGCGGTTGGACACCGATGAGCTTCGCCAATCTACGTTCGAAGTAGCCATTCGCCGCCTTTGTCACGCTCAGGGATGTGCGCAATCGGACCACGCACCGCCTCCATGTCCCGTTGGGCAGTGTCTCGGTCATTCACGCGTAGATGCTCTCAGTATCCCTATATCTGAAGGTGTAGCAACCTTTAGCAAGGCACAAATCGGCCTCCTAGTAGTCTTTCATCGAGGCCAAGGGAAGCTCACTCATGCGAGACTGACCCAACTTTGGCCAGTTTGAGAGGTCGGTGAATATAAACAACGACTGAAGCCTATTCTCTCTCAAAACTCTCACATACTATCATATCCTCGTTGGCATTCAGCTGTCGGACAATTGTCCTGAGATATTTCTGTACTCCTCAACCCTCCGCAGTATTTAGCCGACGGTCATCATAATGGCTGACTGCGAGGATCAGCGTCTTTACAAAATTCTCCAGACTTCCGAAGGAACGACGAGCCCGATTTCACCAATCCATGGGCCACTTAGATCTGGTTGAGCCAGGTGCGGCGTTGCAAACAGTGTGAAAGCACCAAGCTGAGCTTGGGCAATCATTGTCCGATATGACAGAATTCGTTTAAAGAAGCCGAACGAGTGGCACGAGAGCAAAGAATCAAAGATGAGCCAAAAGTCTATGAGCAAATGCTTGAAGTTGTCAAACAATGCCTAAGAACGAGCTAATGCTATTCAACCATATGACGGTGCGGATACAGTACACGAGCTGGAGAGGAGGCGAAAGGAAACAAAGAGCACGTCGTTCACACGTTCGAAGAGCTAATTGGCGTGAAGAAACTCGGTGGCAGAGGGTAGTGAAAGACAAGCCTGAGATGAAATAGCCCGACGCAAGGCAGCCGTCACACTAACAAATTCAGGTCTTTATCAAGGACATCTTGACACCTCGATGTGAAGGTCTAGACATGCGCCTCGAAGAAACCGCCCGTTGCGAAGCTATCTACGTCCAGTTTGTTTCTATCCCTGCGTGGTGCCGTTTACACCTCCCATTGAGCTTCCGTAACCACTGCGATCCTCCCGCAGCTTCTCGACAGCAAGTCGATCCCGAGAGTGCTAGTGGAAAAATTTACCCCAACCCATGCGTTCCTGTCGTCGATCAGCCGGGTGGTTCCACCAGTCCCTAAGGAACAATGGGCATTCACGGTTTTGAAGGCCCACGAAAAGCTCAGCTCTAGTGACGTTGGTCCGCGAGAACGATTGACCATGATAGCACCGAGATACTGTAGTCGTTGCGTTTTATGCTGATAAACTGCACTGTAGGAGCAGCCCAGCTGACACGACACGACCACTCGCCAACATCATCCTTGGTCGGGCTAGTTTCACCCGGCGATATCTTACCACCGGCAAGAAAGAAGGAGATGGAACGAGTGGAATTAGCCAGGCAAATCCGGGTACCTAGTCCCTGCAAAAGCGAGCACCACACGACCGAGGATGGGCAGCACTGCCAACACCAACACCACCTGCGAGACTGCGCAACCCACTGCTTTGCAGCAGGTAAAACATCGGTAAACCGCAACGTCACGTGCCATAACTACGCCAGCGCACTTATGAGATTTGGGCAGCCTCGCAGGCATTCGCGCCGGATCCACCATCGTTTTCTTCCTGCCGAACCATTGACCTCGAACCTATTCTAATTATAACCTTTACTCATGGGTAAAAAGCGAGGAAGACATTCCTAACACATAGACTGCGTCCGAAACGGCTAACGACTCCAGTACGGCAGAGGATCGGCCAGATCTAATGCAGGCTCTGATTAGTCAATATGCGGCGTCATAGCTCGAGAAGCTATAGAAAGACGACATTTTCAAGAACATAATCTATAACGGTAGTGACATTATAAGAGGTATTATAACATTTATCTAGCTAGGGTTTCCCGATGACCCCTATTAGTCGATAACAGAGAGGATCTAAAATAGTCGACCACCGCTTTTACGAGGCGCATAATTATCTATCTAGGTTAAACACACCTCCCGGCCTTAGGGTCCCTAGTTCTCTCTCTTCGCATAACCTTCTCTTATTCCCCTCCCTAGAGTACGGGGATAACCTTACCTTGATCTTTTTCCCTCTCCCGCTTCTACATAAGGCTTCCATAAGTAGAGTCCTAATAGCCTTTAATGAGGAATATATAAGTAAGGACCTTCGAGAACTCTAGCTATCTAAGATATATTCCGCTATCCGGAAACGTCGCGATATATAATGTTCTGACAACATCACTCCATTCGGGATTATTAATATCTAGAAGTGGGAACTTCGTTAGTATCCTATTTTATATTAGCCGAGCCTCCACCGTAGTATCACAAACGGGACCTGGAAGCCGGGCACAATCAAGATCGCGCCAAGCCGGACCGCGCTAAGCCACTTTAGGCCGCACACAGTCCGCATGAGAAAAGCATGCTTCTCGCATCCGAGAAGCATCCTCTCCTCATACTATGAGTCTTTGTCACTACTGGATGTAAAAGGATACTTATTACCACGGAATATATCTATCGCTGAGTACTGCCTATCTCTAATAAGGCATCCTTGATACGTAGCTTATGCGAGAGACTTACTATAGTAACGCGAACGTAATCTTCATCGTAAGAGGCACTAATCCATCATCTTTTAACACTTTAAGCGAGTCCTCCAATTCTAGTAGACTCTTACCTATATACTCATCCTCTTTAGAAAGAGAAGTCTTATATAAGCAGACTCTACGTAGCTTAATACATCTTAGACATAGTTCAGATCCAATATACTGCATCGGCATGATCAATATAAGACTAATCTAGAGCGTAAGTGGTGGAAAGGCACATACCGCTACTCCATCTTTCTAGCACCTTTGGTAGACCTGACCCATATGAGGAGGGTAGCGCATAAGGCGTTAAGTACGTCTCAAACACTGTCATCCTTAACACGGTACCGCATATACAGCGCCGGACTCGTCAATTATATTGATTACGGACCCACGATCAGGTATTGCACAATCTGGAATGTATGGAACATTCTGTAAGGAACTAAGCTATAAATCTGCCCAAATAACAGTTCGATCACTATTTAGAGCAGAATTCGCCTAGCGAGTATAAAAGTAAAAGGAAATAGAGTTACTTTTCCTACTTTAAACATATACGCATTGAATAGAAGGGTAGATTAGAGACATATAGGAGTTCTCCTTTACGGCCTTATCGGTTTAGCCTAGTGACATTTATGTAATAACTTATAAAGGTGGCTAGGTTCCATTAATTTCGATGCATTAGTTAAGGTAGGTCTAGGGTTGCCCTATCGTAGCTTACTAGTTATGTTCATAAGGAACGAGACCATCTGTACGAAGTCTCTTTAAACCTCGGACCCACTCCCAGCTTCTGTTACAGGCCTAGTTAAAATAACACTCGAGTCCCTTTTCGTCTAGTAGTATCCTAGATACTGGAGCCTATCGTCTAAGAGGAAGGACGAGGGGTAAGGAATACGAAGCTATAGTAAGGCACCGAGTCGAAAGGAGATGTTGTCTCAGTATGGAGAGGACCAATAGGCATCCCAATCATAACTATCACTCTTTCCGTACGCATCTAAAAGCTAGTCATTGTGTGCTACGGGTCCGTACTAAAGTGGATTATTAGCTTAAATTGATGGCTAGTACTACTGCAATATAATCCGTCAGCCTTAAACGCCTCACCGGTTAAGGCTATCTAGGGTCGTTATCTTTACGATAGGGCGTTGATCCTTATTTCATCTACCTCTAAGTATACTCTCATCCCCAACATTAATTAGTTCCCGCTTCCATCAAGCTCTTTTGAGGCTTTGTCAACTCGAGGGATAACACTCTATCGCGATGCTAATCGAAGACTCGAAAAGTAAAGTCCTACCTCCCAAAATCGTTGACAAAAGAAAGGATAAGACCATCACTTCGACACAAACAGATCTATTCTTAGGGAAGGCAGAAGAGAAAACGATTAAGACCATTATCCGTGGTTCTGGAACTAGATATGAGAAGGACCACACTTTTCACCGTTGGTATGTCGAGCAACCTAATGTGGTGGTGGTATCGGCTAACACGTTTTAGACTGCTAGCAACGCATCCTGCACTACACCCAGCGGAGGCGGACACGACCTCGCCAATTTGAGATTCAGACAGTTCCGAGCACCGCGAACACTGCAAACGCTACGGATGACCAGACACCGATGATTCGCAAGCGGAAGACTCCTAGCAGAGATAACATCCTCGAACGAGAGCCTGTGGAGGAAGCCGCCGGATTCTCCAGGGAGCCTCTAGGGAGCGCCTCCATGCGGCAATGCCTCTGCTCTATTCATTCGGCCACACTAGGTGAGTTTCCTAACCCTGCCATTGACTGGTGGTTTGGAAGTTTTCTGGCTCGTCTTGCTTGAAACATGAAAGGTCGGATGGAATGATGAGGGATGACAAGTTGGGTTGGCTTATCCATTCACCTGGCTTCTGCATAGCTCCATTGTTCTGCGGATGATCCATTCCTAAGCGCGACAATTTTCTATGTAAATCTACTCATCTGACAGAGATGTACGCTGGCATGATTGAATCCTCCACAGTGTCACCATCCTTTCTCTTACCCACCCCGTCACTCTTGCCCATTCTTATTGTACACCATTTGGAAAGCCCTTACAAAGCCGTTACTATACTTGTACAACAAATAGGTTGCCAGGTCCCAACAGCTTTCTAGCTTGCTCGAGAGAAGTCTCTCTCAGTGCTAAATTTTCACCATGTCAACGTTACCCCAAGGACTGGTCCAGCCCAGATTCCCTATCGGTGATCCTACCTCCAACTCCGAAGCGATTCTGCTGTTTTGGAAAGGTTTAGATCGGGCACAGCTCTGGTCAACTGAAGACGAAGCTGATTTGGATTCCAGTCTACGCCGCACAGAGCAAGTCAATTTCGGACCCTGCTAGCATAAGAACTTGTAACCTGTTTTGGAGCTTTGGAGCAGCCACACTCTCAGGCAATCCATACCAACAGACCGTTTGGTAGGATTATGGAGACGGTGTCAACAGCATTCAGATACACCCCCATACCGCCGAAGACTCCGACCACGGGTCACCTTTGCCGCTCACCCACATTCTCGAAGAAGGTATGTTACAGCACGATGTGAGCACAAAGGCCAATTACATTTGTCAGCTTACGGTCACGACAGGGGAGGCTCTCGACGCCATTAAATTCCGGCATTGTTATTGCCAGTACCAACAGCTATCCCAAGGAGTAAAGATTCTACGGGGTGTTGATCCACAACAAGCATTCAACGAAGGCGAAATGCCGATCCAAGGTAGCATGTGCTGATTAAATCAAGAGACAGAATGATCCATTGGTCACTTGGCTGCTGCGCTCCTCGTTCTTCTTATCTCAACTTGTCCTACAGACTGATCGCGCTTCCCAACCACATCCTGCTGCAATATATCGTGGGCGACTGCCGCACAAACCAACAGTTTCCGAGATCAATTCGATTCGATTTTGACATGATGACTGCACGATGGATTTTGCAAATGTTGATCGTGACTCTCGTGGGCTATACGATACTCTCTCGACTCTTAAGAGGTATCTGCCTGCAATATGCCTCTCAAAACCAGGAAAGACGGCTCTACTTCAAACGTCTTTACATTTTAAAACCTCACATGTGGCCCTCGGAAGACCGAAAAACCCAGCTATGGATGGGTTGTTTTGGCGCTCCATTTTTTCAAAGACCGCGCTTTACAAGTCTTGATACCTCGCCAACTAGGTGGCATCATTGACGGCATTTCATTGGGTTGGAACTACGGTCAGTTCACGTCGAGTCCATCTTTAGCTCCTGTTTGACCAATGCAGCAACTATAATGAACAAAGTTTGCATCTGGATTGTTCTCCAACTGGCTCGAGACTTTACCATCTTCAAGGCTGCAGCGGCGACTCATATATCCCAATTCGCCCACCGGAACATTGTGGAAGCCTTCCACGCTCATATCTTAAATCTCTCCATGGATTTTCACCGCGCTGAACCGTCCAGCGAGCTTTTAGCCGCCCTCGAACCGAGTGGAGCTTTCAGCAATATTATCCAGGAGCTGGCTTCATCCAGGGGAAAGAAAACCTTCAACTTCCAGACTTTCTTATCCATTCGGCCTAAGCAAAAGCGACCGGTTCTAACGCTGCCTTCACCCAATCCCATGTGAGTTGGAGGAACACGTTGCCATACTTTCTTAGCCATCTGGAAATTACTGTTACTTCGGTGGGTACCCATTAGGTGGCATCGTATTGTGCCCGGCCCTCGTAGTAATGTTCCACAGTGCGCAGTTCGCTTGCACCTGACCACCCCATTTTCTCGTTAAGCTGTTTGTATTACACCCATTCAGTGCTATACCAAAGAACTCCTGGCAGTCACTTAGCTCCACTTCGTAAGCTGTGTTGACGTCACAGCCGGGATCGTGCGAGACCGAGAGCCAAAGGTCATTTTCAGAGTCTGGGGCGGTGTTGCCTGCCACGTAGCCCTTAGGACCATACTGGCCGAGGGTGCTATTGACGATCCAGCCGCTGTTGGCGATTTGGGTGCAATAGTCGTTTATCTGCGCGGCAATCCAAGCTTGCGTAGCGGGCGGCTTATCGGCCGGTTCACCAGCGCAGGTAAGCTGGGGCTGAGTTACTTGAGCAGCGAAGTCAACGTAACTGTCATCGTTGTCGGAGACTAATTCAAAGTCACCCGTGCTCTGATTAACTCCTGGTGGCGCTTCTGTGACGGAAAGCGTGCTGGTTGGCGGTAGAAGTTGTCCATTAAAGAGATCCTTCCAGTACATGGCCAGCATGAACTCAGCGTAGCTGTCTGCATTCAGTGTATTTTCTGTAATGCCTAGGCCACTGTTGCCTCTGGCGGCTTTGGCGCAGTCTTTGGGCCCATAGACGCGTCTCTTCAGCGCACCAGGGAAGCTCTGGTCCATAACTGCCAGACGTTAGCGATGCTAGTCAAGCGTAACGAGGAGAATGTTACGCATACTATGTGGTCGGTCTTGGGTGATTTTGACAGTATGCATCATTTCATGCACCAGATATGAACCACTGGTCCTCATCCAATCAAGTCCCAACTGAGTTATATCTTTCGCTTTTCCGTAATCGAATGCTTGCTTGTTGTCATTGATAGTGAAGAATGCACCGCAACATGAAATGCAAGAGACGGATCCCCACAGTTCCATAGTGTTATTGACATAGCAAGCTACGGATCTGCCTGAGTCAGCATTATATTATGCTGTAACGGGCAATGTCACTCGCCTTGGATCGTCTCCGATCTTGCCGTTACATGCGTTGAAAGGATCGTCACCTATCGGATACGTGAGAGACTTTCAGCGCAAAAATAATGGTTGACAAACAGGTTAGAGTCTGGTCATTAGAATCAGCAAACGCACAAGAAATTTGAGAATTTTGGCCCATGGTGGACTCACGATGTAAGCATCGAAACCCCATCTTGGGTGGTCCCAATTTGCTGCTGCCTCGATGTTTTCTGTTTAAGTTAGTTTATATTCCTTTGGAAATGGCTGCAATAAAAACGGACTCGTGATATTTAGAGCGTATGCTTGACGATCGTCATCGCCCAGTCCCGGCCACATATATAGGTCGGAAGCGTCGGTACCAAACTGGGGCCACTTCTGTGCCCCTTGAGCTATTTGCGTGGCATCGAGGACTGCTTGTTTATAGAAGTCAAAGCGGTTTGCGTACTTCTTCGTATCGATATTCCTTGTGTCGGTTTTACACTTCCCGCTAATAGCAAAATATGACTGAGGTTCGATGAATTCGAAGCCTTGTTCGATGATTGAGTTGCGAACTTGCTGTGAACGATCCTGCGGAGAAATACTCTGTCGCTCTGAGAGGTATTGAAGCTTCTCATGAAAAGGATATGCTTTGCTTGAAAGGAGAAAGAAAGAGAGAAATACTAAGTAAACAAGAACTCTTGAGTAAGCGAGAGCCATCAGGATGCAAAGGGAAGCAGATGAACAACGAGAAACTTGATACCTGCCCTTTACTAAAATAATCTTAAGACCTGATCTTTATATACGTTCATCTAGCGGCCGAGGTGCTGTTAATTGGGCCGTAGGGTCTCGCATGAGCCGCGCGACTCATGATGATATTGATGAAAGAATCTCGTCGCACGATAGAGGTCTTGTTGTGGTCAAGAAAGCGCTGCGTTCGAAACACTGCCACCGCGCTATTTATGAGACTGGCCAGCTTGAGGTCTGCATAGTTGAGGTTAACTAAAGTGATCGACGTCTCTCCGCCAGCGAAGAGCCTATGGAAGTTATAGTCAGTCGCAATAAGAGTTGGAGATGTCCGCCTCACACACCCATCGACGGATGAGCCTTTGAGATGTGTAAGCCATCTTTGCAAAGTTTGCGGATAGCAAGGCGCGATATGCAAAGGGAATTAGTAGCACTTGGTACGTGTGAGAAATATGCCAAGACACTAGTAAATGTAGCACTCCCAGGCTACATGTGATGTCATGCGCTTCTAAACAGGGTAACTTTTTGTGGCCTGAGTAATGCCAAGACTTGTAAAGACCCGAGGTACGAGGTAAGATGCGTACATCTTCGAAAGGTATGTAGTCAGACAGCCCCCTGGACCCTCCGAAATAGGGCAAGTCCTCCGTCAAATCACAGGATTTTCGACACCGGATCGATGTATCGATACACTACCGGAGACTGTATCGGATGTCTCACCGATATTCTACTTGTGACGATATTTTGGGCCACAGCTTTCCCAGCCTAAATGCATACCATTGGACCATTTCTGCGACATTACCCTGGGGCCAAGATATGCCCCACCATAACTTTGTGGCAATCCCCACGGTTTCAACAGAGTTTTACGGTACTGCACTGCCGGCCGCGGCGAACCGCGCGCGTATCTACTTGCCGCCGAATTTTTCAAGGACACATCATCATTATGCCGGCCTATTATTAGTTACGGCTCATCTTCGTCGCCTGTTCACGAAATTGCATTTGAATGCCATCAACTTCTGATTTCAGATGCTGCCACTGCTAAAAATGCCTCCTTTATGTTCACGAGTTGTGCGAAATTGGGCATGGGTCGTATTCGCCTTGATGACCCTGATTAGTCTTACGAGCCGCAGTCTCGTTTGTGCGACAGTGGTTTGTGCTGAATGCCGTCCACTTAGTCTCCAAGAAGCTCCCGGTATGTGCTGAGAAGGACAATGCTCTCTGTCTCCCAAATCATCCAATGCTGAATCTTGACGTGTTTTTCCAGGAGTTGGCTTGTCATTAGCACCTGGCTACGGGTATCTACCGACCTACACAGGAGAGATCGGAAAAGCAACCTTGCTGATCTGTTCCAGTTCCGTAAGCATTCGATTTGCTAATGGCACGTTTTCGGATGTTGCTCTCGTGAAAGGAACAGAGGCATACCTCCGAGCTATGAAGCGTTGGCAGTATTTTGTCTCGGATCACCCTACTGCAGGAGGCAAGCACGAGTAGGCGCATACCCCTCTCACAATACTTCTATGGCTTTATTTACCTATGCTCAGTGCTGACAGACAAAAGTTCCAAGATGAGCAACTCGTCCCTGGAACGCCTTCGATCCTGGTTCCAGTGGGGACTGCCAAACCCCGCGGGAACCCTCTATGAGTCCCTCGACGATTCTCTTATCCCTATCGTGGAGATGATGAGAAAACTTTACCACGAAGCGAATCAGTCGGTACCACTGACAAACAACAACGTGTTCCTGGCAGTCCCAGACTTACAATACGCTATGACCTATGAAACCTCGCGGCATATCGAACCGCTTCTCCAAGCAGCGGGACTCAACGGCCTCTTTTACTTAAGACAGAGCCAGCTCTCATTACTACATCTATATAACCTAGACAACTGCTACGATATTTGGCTAGATGAAGTCACTTGGGTTCCAGATGAAGAATGCGAAGAATATCACGACAGAAATATACAGTCGGTATTTTCCATCCATCTCGACGAATCCTCCCTGACCTTGCGATCAATGATTCGCGATGACGGCCTCTTTCCCTACGAGCCCGGTGACGTCCAGTACTTTTGGGCAGATGAGGGTGTCGGACAAGACAAGCTTGCTTATTGGGACTGGCTGGAGCATTCTTTGCGCGGGTTTTTGCACGACCGCGACGTCGCCTATGACCTGTTGTTACTCTCCGGGACGCAGGCCACGGCCCTGGACTTCCAACAAATTATACAAAGCGTGTTGAAGGACCATAAGAAAATTGTGCCTCGGGACTACCTGCGGAGGCCAATCGACCACACATATGCTGCTGCGAGAGGGGCCGCTCAGCTCGCGAGGGTGTACTTATGCAGCTCCTCATGTATGTCTGCCCCGTGGTGTCCGACCAGTAAGCACTGTAAGAAGTGGGCACGGCACCGGGACGATGAGGGAGCGAAGAAGATAGAACTATAGGGTAGCTTTGGGCAACAATGTGAAATTCTGGCCTTCTGTGATACAACCGTTAGAGGAGCCTAAGTTTATAGAGGTGTCGGAACGTCTCAATGAGCTCCTTCTATAGTTGAGTGTGTCACTTGTCGTGTAGGAGTTCAGTGACGACAAGCCAGCATCAAGTGGATGGGCGGTGAGGGAGGCCGGTTCAAGAAGAAAAGAATGGTATCCGAAAGTGTAATAGGGATACTAAAGCTGGGTTATCCTGTTCCGATTGACCGTAGTACTCTCATTTATGAATGGCATCAACCGAATGCTGAGCTGGTGCCTTCCCACCACTTCGGCGTCTCTTTACCCGAATGAAATCCAGGTCCCACGTCTTGTAGCTCGAGATTGTCGTTATAGGCAATGTTGCGATCTCTACTTGTTGGTGCTGAGAGGACTAGACGGTGTCATGGAAGATAGATAGGCGGGGTTACGCCATCCATTTGGTCTCGCTTGAAGAGGATGGTTGCAAAGTGTGGTGCACCTTAAGACATTTTCCGTGCGAACCGGCCTCATCATGACTCCTCTTCTTACCGATGGGGTGTTCGGATCGACTGAGTCCATCCTCTCGGCTTCTGGCTTCGTTGTTTGACGTCAACAGTATTTCTTGAAACTCCACAAGCCAATTCAAACCGTTCCGGCCCTGGCGCCTTTGACAAGCGTAGTGGGAGTGTGCGAGAGAGTGGAGTGACCCTGAGAGGTACCGTCCGGGACGAAACCCAAATTGAGGTAATTGGCACGACCGTCGAAGCGGATGGCCCGGCTCGCGTGGGCAATCTCGTCCTGGTGCACCCCCCGGATCTTGAAGTGTAGTTGCCATTGAGATAGTTTATCTGGCGGAGACGTCTCGTGGGTGACTACCGATGAAGGGACTGTTCCCTCGACACACTGCTGCGTCGAGATATTCCAGACTTGCACTATGTCATTGGACAAGCACAATATTATCTGTGACCCTTCCGGCGACAAAACTACCCCATTCGTTTCGAGGGGAATATCACTGCGCGAGTATTTCGGACGGAATATCTGTGCCTGGGCATCCCATTTGCTCACGGCTGGCATCTTTAGGCGCAGGGTTTTGCTAGACTCGTCCGGCGACTCCAATCCCGTGCAGAGGATACCAATATTGGGATCGACAAGGAAAAGAAGCTCGCCCGTTAGCACATCCCAGACAGCCACATATATATCGTCGATGCATGCGGCGACTCGAGACCCATCCGTTGAGAAAACAACTCTAAAGGTTGCCTCGGGTAGACATGAGCATTCACCGAGGACGGGGTTGTATGTTGTGCGGACGACCATAGGGCAAGAGTGACTTGTGCGCCGGTCCGTCTGTAAGGCCCACGTCTCCGCAATCTTCAACAGCCTGTCTTGACCCAAAGTCGGCATCAAGGCAAGTGCCACACGCGACCCATCCGGCGAAAATACCGCGCTTCTGACTGGGATTGGAGAGGTGTGTAGGGTGTGTCGACAGTCACCTGTCCTCAAATCCCACACCCTCACCATCTCGTCGCTTGCGGCCGACGCGACTTGCGCCCCGTTCGGCGAAAAAGCCACGCTCTTGACGGCCGTTTCGTCCGAAACCCCAAGTATGTACCGGCAGTCGCCCGTGGCCACTTCCCACACCCTCACCGAGCCGTCGTCTGAAGCTGATGCGACCTGCACACCATCTGGCGAAAATGCGATATGATTGACCAATTTACAATGGCCCTTTAACGTCTTTTGCCATTTCCCCGTTTTCAAACTCCATAAATGTATGTTGGAATCGTCAGCTGTCGCCAGGCAAGACCCATCCGGCGACGATATGAGGGTATCCGGTACGAAGACTGGTGCCTGCATGGTACGCGCGCGCTCTTCGCGCTCGCGGGAGGAAACTTGCTCGCACTCCCGAAGGCGACTAAAAAAGGACGGTGACGGATTCGAGCGTAAGAGGGAGCCTGGAGGCAGGCATACGGGAGGAGGGTAAAGAAGTTACAATCACGTTCGAAATAAGTGGCTATGTAAAGGCAGTGCTCACGTAGGGGGCCAGTTGATCGAGGGAGAATTTTCGTGACAGGCACCAGTGGACACGTCTCTGTCGGTTCGAAAAGAGGGTCTAGCGCCACGGTCACGTGCGGATGTATTTTTCTATATGTGACTGTGCCTGACAGGAGATTTAACTGTGGGCTGTGCCTTCAAGAATGATCGAATTCTCGAAAGACGTCGAAGGGCGAGGGAAGGAGGAAGTAGATATCCCGCGGAATCCTCGACGACGTGATTGAAACCGGTATCTCACGTACGAGGTTATTGGGGGTGTGCATAGGTTAAGATGATCCAGGGGTTACTTCCGTCAGGAGACGAGGCGTTCATGCATCTAACGGTTCTCTGATGGCAAAAACGAGAATTTATTGTGATAATAACCAGTTACCGTTCCGCGATTGTAAGACAAATAAATCACAGAAACCACAACTCGTCCCTGGCGATTGTGAGTCAAGGCGGACGCGCACGACATAACATAGAGGTACGCCTACGACCTCAAGGAAGGCCTTATTAACGTCTGTGTGAAGAAGGAAATTTGGGAATGGTTTAGTACGGACCCCCACATTGTAGATTGCTATCCAGTCCGGGTCACCACAAAACCGACTGTGGAAAAGGCCACTTTGGCCGCTCGAAAGGCTCTACAGGATGAATTGGGGGGGAGACGAGACGTACGAATATAGGACGAGGTATATGAAGATGACGGGCGGCTAAGGATTCGAGCAATCTACAAAGATCCAGCCAACGATGTAAAGGCGATCGTTTGGGTGGAGGAAGAAATAGTTGACGAACCCATTAGCGATGGAGGCGAAGACCTAGAAGATGGTGACATAATGAGTGAGGATGAGAGTATGGATGATGATGACGTAGGAGGAGGATGAGGGAGACAGCGATTACATAGACAATAGTATATTATAGTTATCTCATTGACTACTGGAGGTAGAGCACCAGATCTTATTGTTCCGCTATTGACCAGGCTATCCAGATCAAGCTATATCTTGAGCGCGGAGGCCCCGGAAACCGCAGCTTAGTTCTCTGCCTCGAAGATTTGTTTACCGGTCGAGTAAGCCTTACCCTTAACAACAGTAAACGGGAAGGCGAGATCTAAGCCGCGTGGCGCCGGTACTAAGAGCAGCATCAGTTCAAGCGGCCCCTCTGGCTCGTGCTGCACCATCTCATTCTGGAGCCAGTTGAGTTTTGCGGGCGTAGGTAGTCGGCTGTAAAGCCGTCAGTGACGTAGTAACGAGGTAATGAAGTTATATAGAGCGAGAGCAACTAACTGCTTTCCTATATTCTTCGGCTCTTTCTCCGGTGATCAGTCGCGTTTTCTTCCTCGCCCTTGTCTCGGGCTGAATAGTTCCGTTTACCTGTGGTCATTCAGTTAGGTTGAATTCTAAATAATGAAAGGTGTTTCCTACGACTTGAACGATCAAGCTTAACCTGCTGGCGGTCAGCTTTGTCGTGATATTTTTGCGCTGCGCCTATGTCCTGTTTTGCAACACTGGCTGCCATATCTATTGGTATGAGTGGAATGGAGGACAAGTCCACCATGTATAGTACACGCAGAAAACTGAGACCGAACAAGCGTGGTCGCAGGCTGCTCTTGAAAGCTGCGAACCAACGAAACTCACGAGCACCTAAAAGCTTGGCGGCCAGGAAGCAGCCAATCATGAATTTATCGCCCCTAACTACAAGGCAACCCTCGTCACACACGAAACGTGATGATTTTCGTGCGGGCCCGTTTTGTCGATTCGCCCACTAATAGCTTGGACTGCGGGAAGACTATATTTAACACTGCTGCCAACAAAGCGAGACCATTTGATGTCCTCTCAATAATGCACCATGTCTCAATCTTGTAGTAGCCTGGGATAGCCCTGACAACGAGGCAAAATGCGCAGCATTTCTGGAGTAAGAGGATGTCCTATAGACATGACGACTGAATACATTGTACAGTATAATGGTTTACGCTTCAAACAGGACGTCGTCAATATAAGTGTGCAGGATACGGTGCATGACTTCCACAGCCTCTACTTCTGCGCAGTATACCACTCATACTACCATTTCTTGTGGGCTTCCCTTCAGTAGGTCGAGATAAGCGGACGGAAGTCGTGGTGTTTATCGAAACCGGTCGCCTGTTTTACGAGGTTATTCGCTTACCCTAGGGTCTTTAGTTGAACCATAACCGTCTATGGTCAATGCCCATTGTGGAGTTAGGGCGCCCTTTGAACCACTGTTTTTCATATTCTACCAGATGAGACTCGCCGATGCATCGACGACGGAAAACTATCCCCGAAACCGCCGACCACCACTTTGCGAGGTTCGATAACCTATGATGATGACTAAGAAGCCCCGAACGGTTCGGCGAAACCATTACCGTGCATGTGCTCTGTGACGCTAAATGGTTTCATAATTCATAGATTTGCCCAATCGGCTAGCTGGAAGACATCGTTTACCAACCAGTCTCTGTGACGGGTGGAGCCGAGGAGTTTGCCGAACCCAGGTTCTATTGGCCAGCTTTCGATTGCATAGTTAGATATCAAAATGTCTTGCCCAGGTCGTTGCAGCATAAAAACAACATCTACGCCTGTATAAGCCAGGTTGCTCTGGAGGCATTGCTCTCCCAATTGTTTGTTGTCAATAGAACAGCGCCTCCACCGCCCATGGGTATTTTTGAGAGTCATTTAGGCATGTCGTCAGCTGGCGTCTTCCCCGCCACCCCGAGCATCACTGACCCCAATGGCTACACCCTCCGTGACTATCCCCGTTCCAGTCCTAGTGATGCCCTTCTTCAAATCGACGAAGTTGGCTTTGACCCACAGAAATCCACAGCACTCAATGACTACCAAGTCTACCTAGCGTCGCAATGGCCTGAGTTCGAGCGTGAGGATGACTTAAAATCCTCAGAGAATCAAGTGAAGCTCGAGCCCTGCGAGACGGACAAGTTCGTCAACACGGTGTAACACAACCCTACCACAACCATCTCGCAGTACGGTCAACTAACACCACCACAGATCCAACTCTACTGCCAGCACCAACTCCAGAGAAGACGGATTACCTGCCAAGTCTCAACCGGCCGAACCACCACGAGATCGAGGGAAAGGTTGGCCGAGGAACTCGGAGGTGACAACAACTACCGCGGGGCGCAACCGAAAGCCCACGCGAAAGCCGTCCACCACCATTGAAGTAGGAGACTCGCCAGAAGAGCAGAAGCGGAAACAGTTACTCGAAAAGAACAGACAGGCTGCTGCAAAGTGGAGAATCAAGAATAAGGAAAAGACGAAAAAGTTACAACGGGAGAATGCGTACCTCAAGGACCAGGTGGAGCGCATGAAGAACCAGATCCAATATATAAATGAGATCCCAGTCGCACACACAAACTACAAAGGATACAAGTCTCCCGAAGAGATCCCGGCCCACCTCAATGCCCTTGACAATGACTTTTTCATTCAACAGCTTACCTTCGCCGGCTACGACTTTGGAGAATTTTCTCAGATGGACTTCTCTGGCCTCTCTGACACGCCTAACCGTCTCTTCTCAACCTCAAATCCCGGCGCAAGTATGTATGCGCCTCTCCAAGAATTCAATCCCACAGCAGAGTTCGATGTACACACTCCAGCAGCCGATTGAAAAAGACACTTTACGGCGAGATTATCATCCTTTCCCCACAACAAATACGACGCTTGATCTGTTTTGGTTTCCTAGGAGAGCTGGGGAAGGGGCAGTCGACAATGTTGTTTTCCGTCTTATGCCGACAGAGGAGGCTCGTGTTTGAAGATACCCATCAACAGAAGTTCGTTTGCGGCTTCAACTGCTATTCTTCGTCATCCCCGAAGATGGTAAAATCCCCATTTTCCCGCCTTTGGTGGCGAACAAGAAGTCCGCTGCCTAGATCATAAACTCGAACGCTATTGTGGATAAAAAAGAGTTTCCTTATCGCATGTGCATATATATAGAAGGGGTGCCCGCAAAGTTGCTTTTCAAACGGTGGGGCCTTGAAACAGGACGGTTACTTGCGCAAGAGTTTGAAAAATTATCAACCTCTCCGACATAGATTGCTCTCTCCTTTCTGCTTCCCATCGCTCTGCCTCTCGCTGTGTTCACAACTGCTTTCTCTCACGTGCGGTTTTTGCTGCCGGTTCTGTAACATTTCGGCCTGCAGACCAGGATTTATGTTAGCCTAGGTGAAAAGGGATGGACTGTAAACTTTCCTTTTTAGCTCTACACTCAACTAAGTACTGTTTGGTAAGCTTCTGCGCAGAGCGACGACCGTATGGATGTTTCTCGACACTCAGTCCCTTCAAGGACCTTGAGACTTCGTCATGGAGGCATCCATTTGGCTCGATGGTGTCGTCGGGTGGGAGTTGAACTGAGTCGCTCACTATAGTTGACAGCCTAGTGAAGCGATCAATGCGGTCTCGAGGTGTTGGTGACTTTGATGTGTCATAGGTTTGTTTGAACCCCATGAATTCCTGATGAATCTTTTTCAGTGGTTTCTCCGTCTTTGACCTATACATCTGTTAAATCTAAAGTTACAAATGGGTGATAAAGGCTCACCGCTGATAAAAAGGTTGAAAGACTGCCTGTTCTTGAGTGAAGGCCATCGCTGTGAGTGCTTGTGTTAGAAATAACTCGGAAGCTCGCAGTAAAACCTCAATCCATCTTTTTAAATAGGTAAGGGCCATAAATCTTGAAGGCTGGGAAGCTCGAGGGAAAACACGCCATGGACCGTGTTCGAAACGCGTGATATAGCCTCTTCCCACCTTTTCCCTTCTGGATCCACAACCTCCCAGCCTCTAGACGTCAAAATTTCGATGGTGGGGCGAGAGTCTCATGTAAGTCGCGTTAAAGTCGCGACACCCGCGACCTCTTAGAATAGCCTAGAAGGAGAACGGCTGGCTTTCAAAGACTGACCATTACCAAGGCTGCGTGCCCACTTTGCCAAACCAATGCGACTCGCAGGCTAGGCCACACCCAGTCTTCCAGTTTTTCCCATACGTCCACTCAGATTCGCTCAGCAAGCTGGTCTAACAAACAACGGTTCCAATCTTCCAATCGCAGGGCCAGGAGAGGCCTCGAAGCCTGGTTCTGATCCTGCTATAGTCGCTGTGATGGTGTGCGGGTTTTCGGCACTCGATGATCGATAACAGCAACCATCCAGTTCCGCAAGAGGCACGGACCCGTACTCGAAACCATTAAACGCTTCGTCATAGTTGTTGCCTGTGCGGCAGCCCAGAGCAGAAGAGAAGTGGACCATATCCATTCCCAAAGTTTCATGAACTCGACCAAGGGATCCTAGACTCTTGACTGCTGTTAGGTTGTGTTTTCCTCATTCTTGCATTCTCTCCTCTCCAACAGTATCATAGGACGACCATTCTGACGGTATGGAGACTAGCCTAGCTAGCGAGCGTACTGGGAAGGAGCAAAAAAACAAAAAACAAGAGAAGGAAAAAAAAAGCCAAACAAAACAAAATAAAAAGAGCGGCCGCCACTCTTCGACAAGAGCCTATCGTTTCAAAAAGATGCCAGCAGGTACCAGCGGATCAGCGAATAGGTGGAGCCCGAGCAAGAGCGCTACGTCGCACTCGACTAGCATGAACAAGGCTTTATCTCAGGATCTAGCCTCAGGACCAATTACACAGTCGAGGCCACGAGAGCTTTTGCGACGTTTGAACATCACCTCGACCACCCAGAGAGCACCACCCAGAGAGCGGATAATCCCTGCGGCTGGCAACGTAGGAAACCAGAAACTCTTCTAACCAACCCCCTACAACCATCTAATTAAAGGCTTCATCAGAAGATAGACCCACTCCATAGTTGTCCCACTCATCCCGAGAATGAAAAATGAATCTAGTGGCTGGCATCTGTTGAATGGAGGCGAGGCAGAACGGAGTCCTGAATGTGACTCAGGCAGCTCGTCCAAAGAGGAGGTGACATTCTCAACATGGTGTGGCGAGCAATGAATAAACAATCAGTCTAGTAATCATCTCAGCCTACCCTGCAAAGTGGTCGCCATAACGGTCGTTGCACAAGCAACAATAACGACTAGCCCCTTAACGGTGAGGGATTTAGGCAAGCTTTGCCTCAGTGCCCAGCCAACCGTTTGCGTTTCCCGCCTTCCAGTCGGAATTGATACCTACGAAACGGTTGGCTCTCGATGATAGATACGTTCCCATCCCTTTGAGAATCATGGCCACTATCGTCGAGTTGCCTACCTCCTGGGCTCCACAACATGATGGGCTTGGTAGTGTCTGATCTTCATCTCCTATCCACACCATTCGATGTGAGAGGACATTGGCGTCGAGCTCCAGCCTCTGGAATTCCCGGATCGTCCAGTTAAAAACGTTGTGGTATTCGAACCCTTGATCAACAGAATCAGCCAAACCTACCGTCGTTTAAGGGATCATCGCACCGATATCAACCATGGCCAAGCCTCTTAAATATTGCTTCCTGCGAGATGGTTGACTCTCGATGATCAATAACAGCCATCTTCGAATTTCACAGGAGGAGCATCGCTGCCATTCTTAGGGCCTTCTCCATAAAGATATTACGACGACTAAAGCAAAGTCGCTTACATCAAAAACATCCGACTCCCATCCAATCTATGGCCTTGTTTACTCCAACGAACCACACAATATTCTAGGTATCGACCACCAGGATACGCTAGCACATTCAATTAATTAACCACTGTCACCCAGTCAAGGACGTTAAGATGTGGGTCAGTGACCATTTCGGTATTACTATTGGTGTTAAGGTGCCTTGATCCAATTTGAACGCCTAGGGTGAGTGGCCTCGCGTCATACTTCTCTGTCTACTAACCGTTTATCTCTACCACCGTCCTACTTCGAATCGGCATAGCTGGTCGCCCGAGCATCACGTGACATAACTCCGCTGGCGTACTTATGAGATTTTGAAGCTGAGCTCGACCGAATGAAAAAAATTTAGAATTGAACGCTTGAGAAAAGACCTAAACTTATGCATTATTTGCGAAATACTGTCAGCTTCGTTGGCGACCTCACCGACAACTCCTTGGATATGGTACATGTAATTCCGCTTCTTCTCGAGCGAAGTGAAGTGCGGTGCGGCCGCACTCGATGTGGCAAATCCACAGAATGCACACAGTATGACTCTCACGGTTAGAGGAGTCGTCGAACTGTTTATGCTTGTGAAGCGCGAGAAAGAGCTTCATCGGAAGGTCCTCGCGTTTACAATCCTCCGACCGATCAGTGAGGATTTATGGCCATTATCCTGTTATCGCGGGCAAAAGGACCACCTATTACCGTCATCTAATTCGAATTCAGCTTTATCGCACTTAACGGGAAAGAAAAATGGACGGCATATAAGTTTACTAAGAGTGGAATGAGCGCTCTAGCCAAGAGCTAAGCCATGGCTGTCGAGGGCGACGTGGTCTCCCTCTAGGTCGCCCTCTGGGTCGCTTCTTGGGCTGATGTTTCTGTGGCTTAGTGGCCATTGCTTTTGTCTGCACCGTCTACAGACTGAACAACACCCCTCAATCCGGCCACCGCGGCCTACTTTATTCCTCACCCGGTTCCTCAACCGCTACACTTAACGCACCATGTTTGTCCTCAACGAAGACCTTCCTTCGAAGAAGCGGTGACGAGATACTCTCGAATCACTTCCTCAAGACTCCGCCGAGGACTCTCCCTCGCCGAAGAGAAAGAAACGCACATTAGAAGCGGAAATATACCGGTGGCACCGTACTCCCAGCTTCTGGAATCGGCTCTCCAAGGTCCATCTAACTCGAGTAGTCGATACTACACCTCAAGACCACCCCGATCGAGCCCGTTAGTTGAATAACCTTAGGATCTGGCTCGGCAGGCGATTCGAGAGGACTGGATCGATGGACGATCTCAGCTATGGCCTTACTTCTTATAAACAAAGCTGGAGTTGCCGCAGCGCTCCCCCGTCCGTTCGTATTTGTTCAGCTCGATCTGCCGCCAGTATTCTTATCTCTCAGTCAAATTGGGAAGAATCAGGCGCGTTACTAGACGAAGCGGTAACCCTCATCCCCAGCGTGAGCCCAAGATTATTACAGCATACCGACAAGCAGCACATGCTCGCAGATTTCGCCGGCTTGGCTTCGACGACAGCGGCTATCGCTCTAATTGCAGGAAAGGACGCCTATCACGCTTTGTAACTCCTCGAACTAGGCCGCGGTGTCATTACTGGCTTATTAATGAAGATGCGTGGAGATATTTCTGACCTTAAACAGGAGTACCCTGATCTAGCGGACGAATTCGTCTCCCTTCGGAGCGAGCTGGAGTCGCCGGCTGACAGAGTAACTGGTTTAACCGCTGATGGTATATCTTCCTGGGAATCACAAGCGAAACGACGGCGTGAAGCGGAAGAGCAATTCAGCAGCTCATTACAACGATTCGCGCTCAGCCTGGATTCCACGGCTTTCTTCTTCCACCAACGAGAGACGAGTTGATGGCCGCGGCAGATCCAGATCCTATCATTGTTATCAATTTGAGCTCGCACCGCAGTGATGCGTTTCTCATTGAGCGTGACCAAATGAGGGTCTTAGAAATGCCTGATTTAACCCTGGAAGTAGTCTAGAAACGGACCTAAGATCTCCGAACGGGCCATGTCAATATAAAATCGCTACTCGAGTGGCTCTGGGATATTATCGATCGTCCATGTTTAGAAGAGCTTGGGTTTAAGACGCCCGTCTCGGATGGTAACTGGCCTCGTGGATGGTGGATTCCCACGGGACTCCTCAGCCAACTACCATTTTATGCAGTGGGACGCTATATGCATGGCTCTACCGAGACAGTCCTTGACAGAGTGATGTCGTCGTACGACTCGTCGGTCAAGGTATTAGTATATGGACGTTGACACCAGATTCACAACGGTAGAGGACCTACGTCGGACTATGCTCTCTTGGTTTCTATGCGCGACACGCCAGGGTTAGCTACGAATCCGATTCTTCCATCTGCTGAGAAGGAAGTGGAGACGTTAAGCGACCTGTGTCAGTCTCATCAGCTCATGCCGGTTGTGCTGACGGAGCCGCACAAGGACGATGTGATCAAATACTTGCCAGTGTATAGGATATTCCACTTTGCCGGTCACGGACAGTCGAATCCAACAGAGCCCTCACACAGTTGTTTGCTCCTCAAGGATTGGCAGACGAATCCGCTGACAGTGGGTGACCTCCGTAACCACAGGCTCCAGGATCACCCGCCGTTTCTCGGTTACCTATCGGCGTGTTCGACTGGGGCCAGTGAGGCGACAAGGCTCGCCAACGAAGGAATCCATCTCATCAGCGCCTTCCAATTGGCAGGATTCCGGCACGTAATAGGAACGCTCTGGGAAGTATTGGACGAACACTGTGTCGATGTGGCAAGAATACTCTACGAGAGATGCTGATGGGGGAGCTGACGGACTTGGCGGTTTGTCGGGGTCTACACCTCGCGGTAAAGGCCCTGAGGGACAGACAGGCGGGGGAGGAAAGCAAGAGGGATGCGCAGCTCGTCCTAGATGTTGGGATTGGAGAGAGGATAGAAAGGACGCCGGCATTTCCTTGGGTGCCATACGTCCACTATGGTGTTTAGCGGATAAACGCGGTCGTGGCGCATGGAGAGCCGATTGAAGTGGCGCATTGGACAACTGTACGATGAAACTGTGAGCTGAATACTCCCGGAGTTTCGTTCGGTTCTGGGCTGGGTGCGATGATGGATCGAGGAAGGGGGAGGTATTTGTTCTCGAACTTGTGACGCTGGCTCGTGATCACTGCAATAGTTCAGATGGCCAGTCCAAATCTAAAGCGTCCGCAAAATCGTCCATTATGTCGAGTGGTGCTCGAGAGGGAATTAAGGTGACGAGTTGCCGTCCTAAGCGTTTTCAACTAGGAAGCACGAAGGCCGAATGTCTCTCCCCTGAACCCCTAAAATCTATCTATCTCATCACGCCGATTTTGTCGCCCTTAGATTGCGGAGCCTCGTGCCAGAGCCTCCTATAACCTCACACCGCAAATTTGGCCCAGTCTTTAGGCATCTTATAGCCGCGATGTAGGAAATGACTCAGTGTCGAAGCGCGTCAATCTGCTTCTACATTCTTAGCTACCATAGACACTAAACGGGGATAATAATACCTACCGGTTCAAGGGGTCGGGGTGCTTCTACCTTCCATTGGTTTAGTTGCCGGTGAAGGCTGTACTTGGATTCACCGAAAAGGGACTTGAGGAGTGTCTCAAGCCTTGATCTGTCGATATAGCGGCTGTCAAAAGTCTGCACGCTGTTGTGTTGTTGCAGTGGAGGCATGGTGCGTCGGTGGGTTGCGGGCTGCAAGCTTAGGGTCGGGTACCGAATGTGCAAAGATACTGTATGTACCATGTATAAGATAGAGGACATGAGGATTAAAATAAAAGGTCACTGAGCAATGATGCAGTCCTAATTTATCTTAGTAGGTATGTGATTGGGGCAAGCCGAGACACGTAATGACCATTGGAATGGGGGTCTGGGCCTGTCCTTTGGAAAGTATACACAGTATAGTCCCTGAGACCCCTTCAAATCCGCCATGTCCTCTAATTGAGTCATAAACGCCCAGACTAGGTAACATGTTACATCACATGAAAAGAAGATGGTTGGGCTGCAGGGCTTCTTGGCAAACATATGATGTACTCTAAACCTTCTTCGCAGGCCGAACCAGTCTTTCCAGAGTGCACTCGTGCTTTGTCGAATCCGTCCGATCGAAACTCTGGTTGGCTGTTGAACGGTGATTGTTCGTCTTGTCACGCGCCTGGCAAGGCATGTTCTCTGCGCCCGAAGGGGACAGGCACGACGCTTCCGACTTCGAACCATAAGCTTAACCGTATTTTACAAGGCTTCCATAGCGATAGAGATATGCGCTCGGTGCATTTCAATGGGTACGTGCCAAAGGGAAATGTTTCTTCGTCACGAAGCATGGTCGCATGGGCTTACGGATGGCGGTGCCTTTAAAGCTTGGCGGCCATGCAGCTGCCAATTATTCAATCGATCGTCCCTCAATCTATGAGGCTTCTTGTTACACACATGTGCGTGACGAAAAAGCCCAACGACGGCCATCACTCCTCTCGTATGCATCTGAAATGCTGGTAGCTGGGATCGTGGGCGTCCGTGCCTCTTGTGAAACTGGAGGGGGGCCGTTATCGATCATCGAGAGCCAACCATTTCGCAGGCAGCAATACCGACAGGGAGGCAGGCACCTCTGAACGAAAGCCTGTTTTTCACTGGTTTGGAGGCCGGCCATTAGTTGTTGCCTCGTGGTGACCGTAATGGCGACCACCTTTGAAACTTGGGATTCATTTCTATTTTCAACGCTTTCATCCAGTGCTGCGCAGTATTGCCACATGTTACAGCGAACCAACGTCCGCAAAACGCACTCGGCGAAAGCCCCATGAGACGAGTCTGCATACGATTTTCTTCTTCTTCGCTGGTTTCTCCAAGAAATCTTCATTCTCTTCCTCTTCATGGGCTAAGTAACGAAGATTCTTTGTGTCCTTCTTAGTTCTTTTCCTTCCATTCGACTCGCTTTTCTGCGGTTGAAAACATTCTCAAACACTCAGACAAGAGTACAGCTCAAAGGCTCGCTTGCTAAAATGGCGAGCGACTCGGAGAAGAGTTCGACCTACGATGATGTCGAAGAAATGAATGAAGGCGAAGCTGCAGCGTACAACTTCAAACAAACTCTCTTCGACCGCATCCAAGAAATCCAAGCGACAGGATCCTATGCAACTGGCAATGTTCTTCAATCCGTTCCAATTCCAGGCATCTGCGTGGATGGCGGCGAGCCTATTGCCATTCCGCTCTCAAAAGAAGCAGCTGAAGACCTCGCTAAGAAAAGTGACAAGGCACCCTTCGGCAAGCGCAGACAAACGGTCGTAGACGAGACAGTGAGAAAGACGCTGCAGATCGGCGCAGAGAGAATCAGCTTCAAGAACCCACAATGGAACGCGTTCGTCAACACACTTGTCCAGCGTGTTGTTGAGGAGCTTGGAGTACCACCTGCTCCTAAAGGTCCCACTGTCCATGCCGAGCTATACAAGAACCTTCTCTACCCGCCGGGAGCCATGTTCAAGCCTCACAAAGAGTAAGTAAAGACGTGTCTCGGCACATGAGCATCGTCACGGAGGGCTGACAGTCTAACATAGTACCGAGAAGGATCCGCGCATGTTTGCAACCCTCGTCATTTGCCTCCCTTCGGAACATACTGGCGGTACTGTCTGCTTGCAGCACGGGGATGCTTCAATAGAATTACCTACCGCTGAGACGTCGGCGTTCAACTACTACTACCTTGCTTGGTACACAGATGTCACCCACGAGGCAAGTCATGTCTTAGCTCCGAGGCGACCTAGTAGTACTAATTGGTACAAAGATCAAGCCAGTCCAGACAGGATACCGATGGGTTCTTACGTATAACCTCATCATGGGTGACAGGAAATCTTGCCTATCGGCCTCGACGCTGGATTCTCAGACCGAAAATCTAGTACAAGCTCTGTCATCGTGGGAGAAGCTAGAGTATAAGCCAGATTTCCTTCTTTATCCTCTCGATCATCAGTACACACCGAGGAACTTGCGTCTTTCCAGCCTGAAAGGCTTCGATTACCAACGCGCTCGCTGTCTTGCAGACAGCTGTGACCGGCACGGCGAATTCAACTTGCTTCTTGCCCAGTACAATAAGTCCAAGACTTGGGATAACGATGAAGGGGGTGAAGAAGACATGACTCGCAGGACCTATCTGGACAACGTCTGCAGCCTCGAGGGCTTCGTGCTATCTAATGAAACGGTGGACGTACATAAGTCTACGCTTTTGGTCCCTATCAACTATCACGACAGAGACCCGGACTACCGCGCCGGTGGAGAATATATGGGAAATCAACATCAAGAGATGGAGGAAAACTACGAGGATATGGTACGCTCCCTGAAGTCGATGCAACGAGATCATCACAAGCATGACGATTTTAATAATGGTTATTTGATGACAGGTGCTTGTTATTGTTCGGACAGTATGCATTGACGTCCCCCTCTTTGACAGCAAAAACTCTCCTCAAATTGCGAACAAGGTCATGACGCATTTACTGAGGAGTGTCAACGACAACGCCAGGGCGACGCTGCAAACGATACTTGTTCGTCTCTGGCGCGTCATCTTGGATGAGAGGATTGCCGCCAAAGAGGCGAACGACGTGTACCTTGGTTACGTCGCAGTCACTAGTGCGTCTCTCGGGGATTGGCCTATCTTCAAGGAAGCACAAAAGAACACTCGCAAAGCCTGGGACATGGGCTCCTGGTCCGCACTCGGTGGACTGATTGATCTCCAAGATGGCTCAGTTGACGCAAACGAGTAAGACTCACCCCGATTCCACTGAACTGCTTGTTGAATAGTACCGCTGACAAGCACGCCCTCTCAAGCATATATAATTGCATGGTCCAGTGTGAGAACTTGCGTCTTGTTTACCAATTTCTAACCCGATTCTACAACGGGTTCTGTTCATCCAACATTCGCCGAAAAGACCCAGCAAAGGCGGAGTACTGGAAGCAGTGGTACAGCGACAGCCTGATTAGGACGCTTAATGGGTGCAAGAATTGTACGGGAAAAGATGACGCTGTTACAATCAAAGAAATTATTTTGGACCTTGATGTCAAATACACATCATCACAGCAGTAAGAGACCCCGATGCCCCTGAGTTTGTGTTTTGGCCTTTTTTTTACAACCCAAATCATTCGAGTTCCCAGCGACAGATCGGACATCTAACTAACTACTCATATAGAAATGAAGTAGACAAGGCAGTCATGAATCTTGTTGATCACTTCAAAGACAACAAGACGTTCGTGAATGCGCTGACAGTCGAGCTCCTCCTTGTACTATCGAAGCCGGATAGTGCCCGGACAGATTTCCTTCGCCGCGTATTCGATGTAATTTTGGAAGCCGCAATCTCGACATTCGACCTTGAACTCTACTATGCATACGCCTATCCTGTGCTATTCTACCAGGGCTACTCTGACACACTCATTCGAGATTTCTACAGCCAGGCATTGGCGCATAGCGAGGACTCAGCTTTTGATCTGTTGCGGCAGTTTTCAAGCCAGGCTTCCAAGGCCAGCAAGGACACAGTGTCGAAGATTCTATTGTCGGTGATGAAACAATTACTTCCATCGGTAGATACAGGTTCCCCAGAGGTGCAGACTTGCTTTCAACTGCTCGTGGAAGCCTACATTACCCAGACCGTGGGCAAGGAGCCGCTAAAGCCAGAGCCAGAAGACTGGGCTCGCCCGGAGGAAGTGCACGAGTGCTGGTCCGGGTGTGAGAGGTGTCCACAGCTGAACGCCTTCGTCAAGGACCCCAAAGCGAAGGAAGAAACGATAGCCATGAGCGACAGTTGCCAAAGACATCTCAAATATTACTTTAAGTATCTCGAGTTTGAGAAAGGGAACCGCGAGGGTGAAGTCCGTATCACAAAGACGCTGAGAGGATGGGAAAGAGGCCACGAAGACTGGGAGTCCAAGGCTAAAAGGGTACAAGAGCAGCTCCGAGACATGCCAAAAGAGTTGAAAGAAGCACTCGGCGACAAGTACGACACGCTGATGGCACTCGACCTGATCAGGATTGACAGGAGCATTGCCGAAGAAGGTGGGATCAGCCAAGCTTCTGACAAGACCCAGCCATCCACGAGACCGAAACGCTCGCGTGAAAAGGACGCGCAAGACACTGAGCCGAAGAGGACTTCGAAGCGTACGCGACGTGGGGGAGCAGAAGTCGAAGGCTGAGAGATGGAAAGAAGGCGAAGGGGAATGGTGACTGACGGATATTGCACGTAAGAGGTGATAACGGCTCGTTAAGATTCGGGATAGATCGTAAACTTGGCCACCACATGTCATAACTACGCAAGCGGAGTTTTGGCACGTACCCGACAGATCCGACAGGGATACTTTGCTTGCCCCCAAAACCCTGTGCTGTACCCGACAGTGATTTCTTTCTTTGTAGTGATGGCTATCCTGAATTTACCCGCTACAGGCTTGCCCTCGAACCGAGCTGAAGGATTACGGTGGTGATTTAAGAGTTTATAGATGTTGCCGATCTCGATCTCAGCGTAGTTAATCTGAGCAACCTTAGGTTCGAAGGGGAGGTGACTTCTGACGAGCTTGATACACTCGATGGTTGCGATACATGTTGGGTGGTGCTAATTTCCCCGTCATATTCCCGATAATGGCACCCCGCTTATATTGCTTGATGGCGTCTTTACTGCATCCCTACAAGTAGGCTTCTGGTCATTTGGTGTGGCTGGGCTGGGTGCGCCAGACTTGCTATCGGGTTCGCTTTCGGCGGCTCAGCGAGGCTGTGAAGCGACGGTTTCGGATTTTCAGTGCTCGAATGACAGGGATCATCGGCGATGCTATCCCCGGCAGACCTCGAGAACTAGTGATTGTTGCAGCTTTTTTCGTCATCCATTGACCTGGATCATCTGTCTTGTGTCTTGCAAGGCATTAACTAACTCTATAACGAGACGCAACCTCTTCGATCCAGTACCTCCGTCAACATCTCTTCCACTGTGCTACAGTATTGTACCAAGCTACCGACTTTCAAGGGTGGCCGCCATAACGGTCGCCGTGCAGGCAACAACAGTGACCGGCGTCTTAACTGGTGAGGCATTTAAGGTTTGAAGAAAGAGTGCGGCATAGACCTTATGGGGCTTTTGTTCAGTGGTGTGCTACTGTAACACCGGCTAACGATTTGCCTTCGACACTTCCTGCCTCCCTTGTCTGTATTGCTTCCTGCGAAATGGTTAGCTCACGATGATCGATGACAGCCACCCTCTAGTTTCGTAAGAGGCACGGACCCTAGGATCACCAGCATTTCAGAGGCAAACGACTCTTGGCCGCCAGGCTCCAGCCTCTGGAATTCTTCGAATCGTCCCAGTCAAGGACGTTGTCACGCTATGATTCGTTCGCATCAGCTCTTCTTCGACGCCTCTTTCGGTCACGTCTGCATGCAGGGGCCCGCTGCGTCGTTTGCTCCCCAACGTTAGGACGAGGCACAGGACGTTGACTGCCTTTCAAACTCTCGAATCGTCCAATCGAACACATTGCGATGCTCGAAACCTTTGCGGCGAAAGAGGCGACCGAATAAGCCCCGGAGGGCTTCTGCTACCGGCTCGGCCAGGGACCCGATGCACCGTGGCCCTGAGACGTCGACGTCGGAGACTGTGTGGCTCATGAAGACAGATAATGTCATGGATATTGAAGAACATGGTCAGAAGACGCGTAAGGAGCGCCATAAAAGGCGCACACTGGTATCGCGTGCCCGGTCCTTTTATCAACACACCGTCTATTATGAGAATGTAGCAAGTATGGCTGAGCATTCCACTCAAATCATACAGAGGAATCTACTGAGAGCAGACCGGTCAATGCGTGGGGCGTGACTCACGTAGCTGTAGAAGGCGTGGCAGTCGGCATTAGCTGTCGCGGTAGGTGTCATGGAGGTTCGTTTTCTAGCCAAATCAAACGAGTTCCGAAATGCTAGATCCTGGTTGATAGCATGGAGACTTCCGAATGTGGTCGGGCAAGGCTCGTGGAAGATGGAATCTAGGTTTGGCCTAAGGCGCAGACGCAGGCGCGTGCCCACCTATTTCGACGGTTGAATACCCTGCTTGGGGGAGTACTGCACCACTAAACGGTGGTTGACTCTCTGAGGGGTTTTTTGAAACAAGGAGTATCGACTTTCTGAGTTGTGACGCTATGCTAGCCCTCTAACTGGTCAGGGATAAAGAACGGGACAAGCCAGCGTATGTGATTGGAACACCCCTGCTACTCACCGAGTCCCAAATTTCCTGGAATAGCGAGCGCTTGACCACCGTATTGCAGAGGAGCTCGAACAGGTAAGCTCTTCGATCCCATCAGCCATGTCAACTTCTCTTCTGCCCTGTCACCAAGCTTACCCACCGGCTTTCGAGGGTGGTCGCCAGAACGGTCACCGCACAGGCAACAACTATGACCAGGCTCTCGACCGGTAAAGCATTTAATGGTTTGAAGCTTGGTGCGGCACAGACCGTACAGTCTTTCGCTCGGTGGTGTGGTAGTACCAACCAATGATCAGCCTTCGACGCTTCCTGGCTCTCTGTAGGTATTGCTGCCTGCGAAATGGTTGGCTCCCGATGATCGATAACAGCCACCCTGCAGTGTCATAATAGGCACGGACCATAGGAACCGATCATCAGCTTTTAGATGCATACGGGAGGGCGCGAAAGTCATGATTGGCATGTCTATTGGTCCTCCTCATGCATGTCGAGCATATCATCACCTCTTTCGACGTGCCGCCTTGGTCACATTCCGTGCTGCATCGCCTGATGGCCTCGGAGTCTCCTCTTCTCGTCGTTCATCCGCACCTCCCGATGCAAGCGATTCTTGGGCTTTTGGCTCCAGCCTCAGGAATTCTCGAATCGTCCAGTCAAAGGCGTTGTCGTATTCGAACCCTTGTCGGCGAAACAGCTTGTTGAATATTTTCCGCAGGTGCTGATAGTCCGGCTGATCCTCGTCGCGCAAGTTGCGGACATAATTCATGTAGTCCTCAAACTCGCTTGGTAGACCTGCACAAAGTTCGTGCGCACTGATTGTCTGCTTCTTCTCCAAAACCAGCAGATATTTGGCATCCCGTTTCGCCTTGAGGCCTTGCCAAGGAAGTCTCCCACGCATGAAATACACCAGCATGTAGCCTAGTGCCTCCAAGTCATCGCGTCGGGATTGCGCTGGGGGGACAGTTAGCCGACCTTCTTGCATGGTTGAGCACAGTGGACGCGTCACCTACCAACGCCTAAATGCCCGTTGATGCTCGCGTATCTGCATGTGCCTAATAGCTGAGGAGGACGCGCTGTCACAGCACGGGGAGGAGTGGTACTCGAGCTCCACTGGTCAGGGCGGCGGTAGATCGCAAGACCTAAATCGGTCATGTAGACAACATTCCCCCGCTCACCCATACCCAGGAGGAAGTTTTCAGGCTTGACATCCCGGTGAAGGTAATTGTTTGAATGAAGACTCTCGAAGCGACGAAGTAGTTGGTCGGCGAGCATCAGCGTCGTCTTCAACGAGAATTGGTTGCCACAATATCGGAATAAGTCTTCCAAGTTCGGCCCTAGCAGTTCGAAGACCAAAATGGTAAAGTCATCTTGATGTCCATGCCAGTATACCTGAGGAAAACCAGCTTTCCCGGCCAGGGATTGATAGATGCCCACTTCCTCCTCAAGCAAAGATGGCGCGATACTGTGATGTTCGAGTTTCATGGCGACTTCGTTGCCGGTTTCAGCGTCACGCCCTGTTGAACGTGAGATTTCATTTGAAGCCACGGGCGTTGGGGATGTGGCCATACCCAGATAGACATTGCCAAAGGAACCAGATCCTAATTTTCGCACCAAGTGGTACCTGCCGCCGATGGCCATATTTTGAACACGCTGCACAAAGCTGTCCATGCTGTTGTCGTTACAATCGTCCGTCGTCGATATCCACTCATGGTGGTTTACTCATGACAGTTTAATCTTCGGCACTCGCTACACTTTCCCCCAGGGGCCTCATGTTGTCCATAGTTGCCTAGAACCCCGCAGGCTCAGGCCTGATACGCTAAGGCGGTTCACAACCTCTGATCCAATCAACCATTTCCTTAGCGCCGGAGGCTTGAAGTCGTGTCTCAACCTCCCATCCACGCGACCAATACCGTGACTGGATGCGAAGTGCTGCATCGATATCCTGCCACACTTCTTCTCTCAACATGCAACCCTGCCTAACTGGTCGCGCTATATCGTGTCCTTCTTTGAGGCCACCTCCTCACACCTTTCTCCTCGACTCTTTCTCTCTTCACTCATGTTCGCCCTCGAAGAACCCCAGTCGAGAAAGCGACAACGGTCCTCACAAGAGCCTGGGGATCTTGAGCCGGAGCCGGTAGCAAAGAAACAAAGATCTCTTTCGGAAAGCCGTGACCTCCCTCGCCATCGTCCTCCGACCTTCTGGGACACGTTGTCCAAAATTCGATTGAGTCGCGGCGCTCTCCGGGAGTTTGACCGCAGGAACATTGAAGAGAAGGTTCAGCCACCTTGCACACCCACACCGAAGGTCGAATATCCCCAAGGGCGTGCTCGCCTACGGCTCAAGAGGTTTGCTCGTCGTGGTGGGCCTGACCTATCACACCTTCGAGGGGTGCGTCTTTTCGTTTGTCCGATCGAGATCATGGTGTATGCTAATGGATGGTTGTGGCAGATTGCCAGCTTACCCCTTCGGGATCCCGACACAATGAGCGACTATGCCAGTTCTCAGAGCCTGAAACGGTCTTCCGCCTCTTCGAAGCCGACTGACTCCTCCAGAACCACCCCGTACAGCGGCAATTTTGAGCAAAAACTGATTGACACTGGCATCTACCCCAGCCTATACGAACACCCGGATGGACGCCTACCACAAAAGCCGGCGAATTTGAGCGACATCCAGGCCGCACAACGCGTCCCTCGGGCATCTCTCTCACCTTCCCGATTCACAGATGAAGATTTCGAAGCATTTCAGCGGGCAAATGCAAGAGCGTCCGGCGAGACTACGGGGATGTATAATGTACTCCCTTTCATTGCCGGAAATGAGGCGACCCATCGTTTCGAGATGGGCCTGCCAATGAGCAACCTGAAACCGTTCGACAAAGATCTCAGCGACCCCAGGCCCGACGTCTATCACGGAGCGGCACTCTCGACCATCCATCCGCGGGTTCGTAGTGACTTGGGACAATACATCATCCCATCGACGGTCGACTTAACTCGTCCGGCCGCTCCGAATTTCTTCGTCGAGGGCAAGAGCGCTCAAGGTCGAGCGGATGTGGCAAAGAGACAAGCCCTGATTGATGGAGCAATGGGAGCCCGAGCCATGCACCAGCTCCAGAATTACAAAGCCGAGGAACCAGAATATGACAACAAAGCACGAAGCTTCTCCGCTACCTACCAAGACGGCCATCTTCAACTTTATGCACACCATCTCACTGCGCCTCTCACTCCCGGAGGGGAGCCAGAGTATCATATGACTCAAACGGGTTCATACGCAATGACGCACAATACAGAGCGGTTCCGGGAGGGTGCTACTGCCTACCGGGGCGATCGAGACCTAGCAAAGACAGAGCGGGACAGCTCTATTGCCCACGCCAACCAGGTGGCTCGCCAGATGCCTGCGCCCAGCCCCAACACAAGCTTCACGACCAGCCGCACGTCCCAGTCGACGGCCGTTATTACCGGGTCTGACACCTCTGAAGACGAGCTGGCTCGCGACGAAGTAACCCCAGTCAAGCGCCTGAGACTCAGTGCGGCGTCATCTGTAAGCTACGATTCTACAACTAGACGAGATAGTCGCGCTACCTTCGAAACCCCAATGGCTATTAGCAGAGCACCCGTGACTTCTCCACAGAATACCACGTCGGCATCCAGACGCAGTGGACGGACTTCTGCGGAGGGAAGCATATTGAGGTATTCAACTACCCACACACGGAATGGAACGGACGGATCTTCAATGGAGAGACCTTCAGACCTCTCCGGGCAATCTCAAAGCGTGCAGGGCTCGGGACGAGGTCGTCAAACCCGTCCAATGGTTGAGGTTACTTAGAGCGGATGCGCTATAAAGATGAGTCGGGTTGGTGCGTCGAGCACCGGGGCAAGTCAGCGATTGCGAGAAGGATGGACGGCCGACTCTCTACTGCGCTCGTCTCAACGTCTTCACGTATCGGCCCAATGGCAACAGGCGTCGGTGAATGCACTAAGAATTCTAAGGAGGCGGGAAAGCGTTAGTGTAAACGAGGTCAGCATTGCTCCGCATGACATCTGTGTTTCCAGTCACTTTTAGTCGCCATGGGATACATACTGTAGTGTTTGGGACTTTTCAGCAATGTCTCTCGTCGATTCAACTATACTTGTCAGGCGTAAGAAGAAAGTCGACTTTGGCGGTCTTTGCCTCCGCTTCACGTTGATGCCCTACTTGATGAAATGAGCCTTGGTACTTCCTCCGATCGACGGTATCCCAATCCTTCGTTCGCAGAATATCCTTACATATGTACCAAGACTTGACACTTTCATGCCCGGCTTCCGTGAACTGTCGACAAATCAGTCAAACTGCCATGGAAGAATGCATATCAGCAATGTCCCGATAGACATGGATCGTCTCCTATCAGGTTTACAGCAGCGTTCAGGTAAATATGACCGAGCAGGTGCCGGGCCTTAGTGTCTGTGGCTCGTTGTGTTATCATCGAGAGCCAATCATTCCCGCCGTGATGCAGGCAAGAGATACTAACCCCACAAGTAGGCGCGACTGAATGCTTCAGCAGCATGCCCTGCTTGTGCACATCGGCCACACACTACCTCGTTCGATTGGCACCGAGCCTCTTGGTGGCCGTATTGGTGACACTTCTAACATCTCGTAGGGACTTGTCGTCTTTCATATCGCCGCGTGTACGCCATCTCCCTGCCGATGTCCATTCTCCCTCTCGCCAACAGTGCAGCCTCGTGCGGGTGAGTCAAGAACATGACGACCGATCCATACATCTTGTGTCGCTCGGCTGAGCCAGCGGATCCGTTCAATTTGTACTCCGTTTTCCTGTGCCACCGCCTCCGTCGCTTCTTTGGACACTGCCAGCGTCCCATCCGGGCTGAGGATGGCGCGATGGACTCGATCAACCTTGACCGGATTGTTCTCCGAGCATGCGGGCCTGGTCAAACCGATCCGCTTGCAGCCACTGGACGTGCTGTCGCGCTGTCTTGGCCATTTCCTCCGAAGCGAAGGAGAGCTTGACTTGGTGCACCTCTCCCGCTCGCCTCTGCACGTTGGTCTGACTGAGATCGACTATAATGTCGGACTGCGATAAGTTCGACGGTTGGGAAGCGGAGCTACTAGGGTTCACCGAGCTTCTGGGAGGAGACGGTCGGGACGCCGGCCGAGGAACTGTTCGCGGCGGGCGCATTTGCAACCACCTGGGCCCAGCTTTGTGTCATCTTGATTGTTCATTCGCACTGTTCTTGATCAGTTCCATCATACGTTGATTCTGGGTTTCCAAGGCCACAATGCGCTCCACGCTCCACGTTCTTTTGGCAATCTCCAGTAATGCCTCAATCTTGTTCTCGTACGCCTTCAGGCGGTCTTTCATTTTCGTCTCGTAGCTCATTGCCATGCCTTGAACCAGTTGTAGGACTTGGGCCATGGCCAGGGTGGATGTTTCGGTTTGGACTTGCGCCTGTGGTGATTTCGGCGGTCGACCACGCCGACCTTTCGTCTGTGGTTCATGTTCCGTGTTCTCGCTATCAACGCCTATGTCGCTGAGAGTTCCGTCATCAATCTCGCGCGCGCGTTCCGTTGGCTTCTTGGGCCGTAAGGATCATCGTTGAGTTTGCGGAATTGACGCGTCACGGGCGTTCGAGCTCGTTGGAGTAGTTGGAGTGGTGTCGATTCGAGTCGCTGGGCCTTCGGTGGCAGAAGAGAAGTGATAAAGAGAGGCTGGGGCCTCCCCCAAAGCAAGGGCTTCTACTGTCGCCATCTCTCTCCTCGACTGTGGCAAGGGGTTATAGAGTAATCTTCTGATCGGTGTGGTCGTGCTGACCGTCTGGCAACTGAACCAAAGCCTCACCCCGAGGGGCTCAGTTTGCCTCCACACGCAGGACCATGGCCGACCAGATAACTTCTGAGCCCTGGAGAACGAAACGACCATGATGACAAGGCTGATCCGACGCTGGCTCATCATCGCCTCCAATTTGGATCTCGTCCGTGTGTTTGCGAGAGGTCTCTGGACGACGTCCAAATCATCTCTGGTCAGAGAATAGATACGAGAGCGCGGAGATGCCGCAAGTCAAACCTATTTCCCACTCGCTTTGGAACTTTGATTATTCCGTCAGGTATTTGACCTTGGTCCAATCCCACACCCAGCGAGGTGGTATCCCTTGAGAAGGTCTACTTCCGACGACCGCAGTGGTTGCCGACCCCGACTGAAGATCGTCGACATCCGTCACGTTTATCAACATAGCGCGGAGGGCTGTCCTCACCTGTGCGTGCATTTCGGTAGCTAATGACATGCATACGCTGAAAACACGCACGGACCCTAACATCTAGCCACCAATATTCCAGAGGCATCTGAGAGGAGTCATGGATCACCGTTTCACATCCTGGACTAAACCTGATACAACAGTCTACTCGCCTGTTTTTGCGGGTGCACCTCTTAGTCTCTCAGTTATCCTTATTTATCTCCTATCCTGTTTACCAACCGCCACTGACCGGTTGCGCCTTTGATCTCTCCCTCATCTCCTCCGCTCGTCAGCGGCCATCGCAGCCAAACGCCCAGATAATCCTGATGGGATGCCCACGAAACGTCAGAAGACAGCGGGCGGAATGGATCCTAAAGACAATCCTTACCTTGCTCATTGGCACGACAATGAAGCGAACGGGTACACAAATGGCTCCTCGACCCCACCGAACCGCAGCGACGGACCCCTCGCCGACTTCCAGCGGCACAAGACCACCGCTGCCATTAAGGTCGAGTCCCTCCTCGTTTCGCCCATCTCGAAGGCTTCTGCTCAACAAAGACCTGGTTGTGCCGGTCGTACTCGGCCTAGAAAGTGTTTCCGGCTGTACACTGAAGGTGCCTTCAAAAAGGAGCTAATCGAGCAAACTTACCCTGAGATCCTCTGTTTCAATCTCTCGTCTACCATCCTGGAGCTGAAGAAACTCGGGATTGACGACCTCGTGCACTTTGACTTGATGGATCCTCCTGCTCCGGAGACCTTGATGCGAGCACTGGAGTTGAATTATCTCGCATGTCTGGACGACGATGGGAACTTGACAACCATGGGCAGGCTCGCGTCCGAGTTCCCTCTAGATCCGGCACTGGCAGTCATGCTCATCTCACCCGAATTCTACTGTTCGAACGAGATCTTGAGCTTGACCGCTTTGCTCTCCGTACCTCGGATCTTTGTAAGACCTGCGCCGGTTTGACACCGAAGAGGCTGCACAATGGATAAAGGTTCACGGAATAGTTTATGGTCAAAGACACATGGGCGTGTCGGCCTACGACCCGGAAAAGAAGAGATGTTATAATTGCCACGAGCCCGGGCATTTCCAGAGAGACTGCACAAGACCAAGGAGGTGTCGCCACTGCAACGGCGAACATGACCGACGAGACTGCTCATTTGACGGAGAAGCCAGAGGCAACCACGTCAACGGGCCAGAACAGACGGAAGCCGGTGATGACAATGGACCTACTCCGGCAATCCGCCATCAATGAATCAAAACACACTGAAAATATTGCAGTTGAACATTATGAAATCACGCGCCGGTGTGGAGGCCCTCATCAATGACCAAGCAACACAGGACCTCGATGTACTGGTGATACAAGAACCATCAATCACGACTTACCAGACATATGTCAACCACCGCCTCTGGTACACATATCAACCAACCAACCTAGATGGCCATATCCGAAAGCGTAGCCTTATCTACGTCAATAAAAAAGCCTCCACCTCAGCACACCGCCAAATAGCCTGTAACCATCCAGATGTCACGGCAATCAAAATCCGGAACGAAAGGAGGCAAATACTGGCGTTCTCGGTATACATAGAACCTATTGACCTGCATCGTGTCCACGAAATACAAAGCATGCAAGCCACCCTGAACGAGATCGTGGCGACAATCGAAGAACATAGTCGAAACTGCCCAATACCAACCAGCCTCATCATAGCCGGGGACTTCAATCGCCACCACCCGGCATGGAGCGGTACATACGTGTATGCTCGTATCATGACGCATGCAGAAGAACTGATCAATTTCATTCACGCCAAAGGACTGTCGTCGTCTCTTCCTAGCGGCACTCGACAATGAATCAGACCGATCTTCGCATACTGCAGCTGAACATCATGAAATCGCGCGCAAGGAATGGATGCACTGATCAATGATCCCGCAACACAAGACCTCGACATTCTCTTAATACAGGAAAGAATATTGAAGACACTGGAATACTATACAGTGCTCCCTCTTCCTCCGCCGGTTTTGGAAGCACCGGAACCGAAAGTCTCACGCTGTAGGCATATATTCCAACGAGTCGTGACTAGGCTAGTAAGCTCTGAGTGATAAGCTCAGAGTAAAGAGTAAAGAGTGATCTGCACAAGGCAAAGTCGATCATAAACACCTTGAAATGACCAGTGAATCGGTCATTTCGAATGAGGAAATCCAGGAATTTCATGTCTTCATTCAGGATGCCTAGATTTCCGAGCTTGCGGATAATCTCAATAGCAGCTTCGCCGATCTGCTGCCATTTTGGCCGTGGAAGCCAATTCATAAAATAACTAAACCGATAGATGACCAGCATCCCCGAATAGATTTTGTCCTCAGGTCAGTCATACCACTCGCCCTTGCATTGCCTTGGGGCACATTGCTCGATGAGTCGTTCCTTCGCGGTCGATAGTCCTTGTTCAGGTCAGGGATGCCGTGACGCGTCGCTGCAATGGTGTGTCGGACTCGATCAAGTCCGCGCCTTCGGGAGAGAGGATTGAATTATGCGAGACATCCGTGGTCTTAAAGAAGGCGACGTATGAGTTTCCCAGGGGTTCTGGGCGGAAGTTGCGGCTCAGTCTACTAGAGCTATGAATGTGGCCAGGCTGTCGACCGCGGGAACTTCGAGGAGTGGTAGGGTTGTTTCCAAGGCCGAACTGTAGCAGGAATCGGCTGATGAAGGTGACGAACGACGACATCGCCCTTTTGTAAATGGATTGCAAGAGTCTGTTAAGTTCTAGTTTAGAATATAAGAACCTGTCTACTTCCTTGTATGGCTTACCCGAAGATAAATGAATGCATGGAGAGCTCCGATTGTGCGTGAGGAAGATGTCCTTATTGGGTGCCCTCGCGTTTCTCTCTTTTACTGTAGATCTTCTCACTGGGAGAAGATAGGTCTCTCACAGGCGAAGACATGACTAAAAAAGTATTGAAAGAGCCCTCAATCTGCACCAGACTTGACATTGATACCTGGTTGTTCCTCAGTATTCTTATGCTCGGCCGTACTTATTACATACTGCCTTAAAAGAGTTAACTCATCTGTCGCAGGTAGACGGTGTGTGAATAAAAGGACTGGGGATTATGCTTCGACCATTCGTAACCCCGATCGGAAATATCGAGCCGAACGAAGTATGGCCAGTGGCTGTTTCATGTTGGGAATCGCTGGGCGAGGATATGTATCGTCAACTTCTTTTTCGCTTCAGTGCCAGACCTACCCACCGACTTCCAAGGGTGGTCGCCATTACTGTCGCTGCGCAGGCAACACCAACGACTAGAGTCTCAACCAGTTAGACCGCACATCAGCCTGCCTAGACTACACAGTGGACGCCACGGTCGCCGCAGACAACAATGACGACCAGCCTCTCAACCGGTGAGGCATTTCATGGCTTTCAAGCAGACTTTCGCTCAGGTGTCTGCCAATGCCATCCAACCATTTGCCATTTAGATTTCCTGCCTCCTGTCGGTATTGATCCCGGTGAAATGGTTGGCTCTGGATGACAGATACCCTCCATCCCCATATTGAGATCTTCCCTTTCGACAAATTGCCTCAGGGCGTCTGCCTTTTTGTCCATTCATTCGTGATTATTGCGCAGTCGGTACGACAAAGCTTGAAAAGGCTGGACATTGACTGCCTATTGTTCTTCTGGGATGCCACCTGCTAGCCTGCGGGTCTTTCTGAGCCAAACCGTAAAAGTTGGCCGGCCTTGATGCCAAAGGAAGACGGGAGAGTGCAAGGAGGCGCAGCTGTCTGACATCAAACGAGAAGCATAGGCACTTTCCTTGCATGGCAAATGCCGACTGCCAATGAATCCGCCATGCCCAGCCACCTTCACACAACCATCTTTCTGCTCGACGAGTTTCAGCTTTCAGGCGTTTGGCGTAAATGGTTGGGCCCTGGTGGCCCGACTCTTCTTGCAACCCTTTTGAGTCGACGTGTTCGGATTGCGCCCAATCTGGACTCCTGCAACGGGGATGAGAGTTGACTGTCCCGGGCTTTCGAAGACATGGGTCGAGGTACCTGCCAAAACTCCGCCGGCGTAGTTATGCCACGTGATTGCAGGATAGCGAGCAGTTGAGGAGGATGAAACCCGGCAAGATTCTATCAATACCTGAATGTGAGCGAGTGGAAAAGCCTCATTCTTCGCCATCTTGGCCTTCACGAACCCAATCAGTGGCACTGTCGCCATCCACGCTGCAAACATTTTGAAGACTCCGCTTGATTCTACAGTGGCTTCGACAAATCAGCCGTACCCGCATGGAAGCTGAAATGTGAACTGTGTGCCATAGAGACGATTAAGGAGATAGCCCATCGCGGTTATGACGTGACCCGGCTTGATCAGACTTTTGCATCCAGAATGATCTCGTAGAGGCGGTTAATCGTTCTTGTGTCCGACGCACTCTTCCTCTCCGATGCTCTCTTCCTCTCCGATGCTCTCGTCCTGTCCGATGCTCTCATGTTTCTGATCGCTCTCCTCGCAAAATGCGTCTTCCTTCCCTTCCTGCGAAAAGTTGTGCAGCTTTAGCGCGTTGACAAAGCCATGCCGCTCAACATCATAGCGGAATAATTCAAATTCGGCATCACTAGGCGGAGGACTGTCTCGCGGCTTTTCCAGAATTTCCCTGATCTGCTTAATCTGTGCTTCGTCTAGTGGCTCCTGCGTTTCGGCCATGAATTCAAGGCTCTGGTTCACTTCATTCGCAATGATATGAAAGTGAATGCGTGGGAGCGAGGAGGTCTGCTCCCATACAAAAGTCGAAATAGTGCCCTCTGGGGGGTGGCCTTGGTTCGTCTGCGACATAAAAGCTGCGTCAGACAATGTTAGATTATGGATCTTCCGGTACAGATATTTCAGATTTGTTAGGATATTTAACACTAAGGGCCTTTCAACTAGAAGAAAGGATAAATAAAATACTCGCATAACGTACCTGGTGAAGCTTGCAAAGAGCTGCACAGTTTAATCGCCTACTCTCGGTATTTTCTAAGCGAGAGATTATGTTGAATTGTGGATAGATTATAACTTGAAATTGGACGAAACTCTTATTATAAAACTTTGGCACGAGGCACACCGTGCTATTTGGAAAGCAGGGAGAGTCACAGTTGGTAGGTGGGTGGGGTTCAGGCTTCTTCTAATACCCTGGTTAGTGGGATTAATAGCCCGAGACAGATAGATCCAGTTGTTGGAAGCATTGCTGGCACACAAATTTCCAGCTAGAGCCATGTCTTTTGAAATGATAGGCCCTAGTTGAGATCATACAGGCCGCGGATTCGTTTTCGGGAACAATTTAATGGGTTTCGAGCAGGCTTCGCTCAGTGGTCTGCCAATGTCAGCCAACCATTTACAATTTACATTTCCTGCCTCCTGGTCGGTATTGCTCGCGGTGAAATGGTTGGCTCTCGATGACCGCAGTAATTCTTGCAAGGGATTTCTCTGACATTGGTTCTGTAGGCTCTGCCTATTTATGAAACAGTTATTTCGACGAAGGCTACACAAAAAGAGGTCAGGAGCCAGCCTCCAGACGACTCGAAACCATTGGAATAATTCTCCCCTCTGTTGTTACAACTCGGCAAACCTTCCTTCCCCTTCATCCCCAGTCTGTTAGCCCCCACGGGTGCCTGCGCGGGTTTGCTTGTGATCTTCCCTAACACCGCGGACAACTCCAGCACAGCAGCAACCTGTGGAAACGCCTAACCCTCGCAGAAGCAAGCCACTGCAACAGCTGATGAAGCAAATGTCATCGCTCAAAGTCAGTGCGCTGAGCTATAGCCACCGAGCCCACTTGCTGAACTTTGTTCAGAAGGCAACCAACTATAATATAGGATGCCTCAAGACGTCAAACGAATGCCTCTTTCACCGCTATTTGTTTCCTATTAAGAACCATTTGGGTCCCTCTTCGATAGTTCAGCAAACCGAGTGAAAATATTCATATTACTGAAATCCGCAGTGTCCGTGCTGTGCCACTAACCGCTGGCTTTTGCGTAAGGTACTGTTTCTACTCGTGGCAGTCTGTTTCGTTCCGGGACTTCTTTTGGCGATCGGACGCCCCCTCTGTGTAGATTGTTGTCCAGAGGTCACATCTCGTTTCGGAGTCTTAGTGACTTTCGCAGAACGAACGGAATGTAGAACATTCATATTAGGGACTTGCCTTGTTTGGCGGTCCTTGGACGGTTGCAATCGTTCGCTTCGGCGACGGGGGATAGGCTTTTCAACAGGATGTTGCTGTGTTGTGCTCGGTGATAGAATCTGAGCGCGTATGACCTGCCTTGTGCGATCCGGCTTTCTCTTTGACGACTTCGAGATCCTAGAGGAAGAATATGGACTGAGAACAGACTTGGTCTCTACATCTTTTCGCCGATGCGGCCGAGCACGCAGTGTCTGCTTCCGGCCAATTCCCCCGAAACGTTGGGTCACATTGTTCCTGCTGTCATTGTTAATATATCCGCATTCGGCCGCGATGGCGGGATATTGGGCGTCGATCCACTTCACAAACACTTCCCATCTCTTGACATCGAGCTGCGCCGCCCTTAGCTCAGCTCCAGCTATAACCACGACCTCCTCAGCGCATTGTAGTTCAGAGCCATCACGGAGTCTCCTCATTTCTTCAGATCCAGATACCTGCTTCAGGTTATCTCCTGCAGAATGGAGTTTCTGTTGCGCTATTTCAATTAGCGCGGTCTCTTTCTTTGATTTGTTTCGTTGTGCGGCCTCTAATTCTTTCTCTGCTGATTCCACTCTCGAGTTCGCCTCGGCAATCGCTCGTCTCGAGGCCACAATGTCCCCTATTCGAGCGCTCAGAACTTGAGGATCGCTGATGACATCGGTCAGTCGTGATTGGGCATCCTTCAATTGCTTCTCTCTGAGCAATAGGTTCTGCTTCGCCGGCGCGACCAGTTTCTCATATGCTTTGAGCCTCCGGTAGTAGAACGCACGAAACTCGTTCCAGTCCTCCAACCGGTTCTGCTGGTGTCGGTCCTCCAGCACTGGGAGATCCCATTTGCATCCTGCGTCTGCTTGACTTTCCCGAATGAGGGTTTCGTACTCTTGAAGCCGATTTCGTGGGACGTAATATCTCCGCTTTCGATCTTGATATTCCCGGAATTCCCTCCACTCAATGAGTTGATAACGGAATTCAGCGTAATACCCGCCATATTGAGAATGCCAAAACCAGAGGATGTCTCTATACTGCTCATACTCTTCGGGGTTGTCTATCACGTCGTACCCGAAAGTCACAGGATGAGACGGTCGACCTCCTTCGGCCACTAAAGCATGATAGGCTTCCACTTCCTCTTGCCAGCCCTCCTCTTTATCTTTCTCCGGGTCGATAGTCGAAGCGGACGACGAGCGGTAGCCCGGGGCTGGGGGTGACACTCTCGAAGAAAGACGGCTACACTAGAAGTCAATAACTTTTATGTCAGTCGGGGAGAGGAAAATCGTACCCTAATCGGTCCCCAAGTTCGCCCGCGTCTATGGGCCGCGACTGATCTTTCTCGGCGCGCTGGTCAACAAGTTTTCTAAAGAGGAAAAAAAGGCCAATCATCAGCATCGCAGTCCGTAAGGGTAAGAAAACCAAATAGATTCTCACCGTAAATGTGCTAGATGTTCCTCAGTTTGGTTCTCCGGATCTTTAATCCCAACAAGGCTAAATTATCGTCAGTAACAAAAAGATGGACGCAAAGGCAGTCGATGATTTTCGTACATTTCATCCCCCAAGTCATCCACCGTTAGGCGGAGGAGTTCGTGGGCGTACACTTCGATCGTCATGGCGATGGTGAATGAGGTGGTTAGAGGGGTGGACGTTGAGGGGGGAACAAAAGAAAAGGTGGTCACAGTTAATGTCGCCGCAGTCACCTGACCGTATTAAAGGTGCTGGTGTGGCGCCGTGGCTGGGCATGAAAATGATAGGCTCCTGGTGATCCTGGCAAAAGACGCTAAACGTTAGCGTAAGCGCCAACCCGGCCCAATTAGAGGGGATAGGTATGTATTGTATTGTGGATTTGCCCCGCGGTCGGGCAGCCTGACTGTTTAAATGTGTTCAACCGCCCTGCCGCAGAGGACAATCATTCTCCATGTTCTGCTCCGACAGAGATGGATGACCCAAATATCTTCTTGACCCTCACCCCCTGTGATAAATGGGGACTGACCGCCGATTCGTTCCGTTTACCACATAATGTTGCTCGATATGTCCAGCCGTGTCCTATCAGCCGCGAGACCACGCCTGGTGATTCTGTCCACGACGAAACTCCGGTGAACGAACTGGAATACTTCCACCGCATCCAATTGCGTTTTGACCAGGAGACCAAAGTCAAAGGCCGTGTCACATTTGGAAGTGATCCCGAACTGTGTGATGTACTTCTTGATTCGAGAAGACCACGATTTTACATCACTTTCGATAGCAAACAACGACCCGTGATCTGGGATGACTCCAACAATGGTTTCACTGTCAGCTATGACGGGCAAGCTAAAGACGAGCGGCGAAATCACTTTAAGTGGATCTTCTTCACCGGGTATAAGACAATCAGAGTCACGATACCGCTCCGGAAGGAGAGACAACTCGCCTTTGACGTCCACCTCCCTCCGCACTACAAGACCCATCGAGAGGAATACAAAAACAACGTGGAGAGGTTCATGGCTGATGCTCCTCAAGACTATGACGTGGCCTTCGACAACCTAGCTCTCCGCAGCGAGGGACCCTCGTTCGCGCCGAGTGAATCCCTCTCTCCAACCAAACGACCTATTTACTTGAAGGGAAGAGAATTGGGAAAGGGCATTTTCGGACGGGTGTGGAAGGTGCAGGACGCTTCTACGGGGTTTGAATACGCTGGGAAGAAGTTTTTCCATTCGACAGGCTGGGAGCGGGAAATTGAAATCATGAAAAAGCTTCGACATGTATGATAACAACTATCCTTCGGTCTTCCTAAGTTACTGACACTCTCTAAAGGACCATGTCGTTCGGTTTTTCGACTTCAAAAGGGACCCGGGACCACTTCTCGTGATGGAATATGTGCCACTAGGAAATTTACAACAGCAAAACACAGACAGCCCGATTGCCGTGGAAGAATGGTCAGTCCTGCTATATCAATGTCTCACAGCTCTCGATTATCTCCACCATCGCAATATAGCGCATCGAGACCTCAAGCCTGACAACATCCTCGTATGTTCCAGGACCCCCTTTTGGGTTAAAGTGGGAGATTTTGGTCTCGGCAAAGAAGACGAAGATGAAGACTTGAAAACACGCTGCGGGAATGACCGATATTCAGCCCCAGAAGCCTATTCCAATCGGCCTTACACAAACGCAGTGGATATATGGCAGTTGGGAGTGATTGTCATGGAAGGTCTCTATGGACTCCCTCGCGATACACGACGAAAAAATGTGAAACAGCCTAACGAAATTCAACGGCAGGCTCTTGGCTGGTGTCAGCTTATTATTGAAGCAGCAGAGGACTGGGAGTCGGATTCAATGATAGACTTTCTTAGGGGATGTATGATCATATGGGAACCAGCAAAGCGACTCCCCGCGGACGAATGTGTTCAAAAGGGATTGGAAGCCGGCCTTTTCACCGGAGTATTTTCGCAGACGGGAAATGTCACCCCCCGATTACAACCCGATGGAGGCACTGGCGATGTCAATATAAAAGAAGCGTCGACCGTCATGGGACCCTTGTGGCAAAATGTCAGGACGTCCCCCAGAAACGAAGAGCGTACATTGCGATTACGAGGCACTCCTTCTCCGCCGCTCCACGAATGCGAACAAGTACCACAGTCTCATGGAGGCATAAGCTTGAACGACGACGAGAGCACTTCACTGGTTACTCCAGAACGATACGACAACAGGTTTGCTAAACGCAGACGGACCACGGACGATTTTGAGCCTAACCTTCAGTTTCCTGGTTCAGTCCAGCAACTTGGCTGGCCTCAGCTTCCCCAAGTAGCGGCTAATCGCGGTGAGAAGGGTTCAATGGGTAGGGAAGGGTACACCGCAAGACCAGCCGTGTCAGACGAAGACCCAGATCAAGATGATGAGATCACGGAGATTCCGCCAGTCCAGCCACCTCTTGAGCGACGCGGCAAATTTATCGTGCAGTCCACTGAGGAACACCAAGCCCTTTTACGCATAATAGATGGCCAAGTGAACTTTACTATGGACACGTCATCAATTGCTCCTTGGATCGATATTCACACTGCACGGGAGCTATGCTCAATTGCCAATGTCGGTGCAAAGTTTCAACCGCTCTTTTCTTTTGGAGAAGCCCGACAAGCTCAGGTCCCGGTGATCCGGCCCGAGCCGCAACAGCAAATGATACAGAACGGGGCAGGGCTTCCTGCATTTACGCCTCTCATCTTTAACGGAAACACTGTTTTAGTCCGTAATGCGGACTCTTGGATCAATGCGACTCAAATTCTTCGAGCGGCCGGGTTTAATCGCCCCCCATTTAGTTGGCAGGATCAGAACTTCGCCTATGAGAGAGTGGGGCCCCTGGGAGTCTTTGTAAATGTCGATATCGCCATCCGATTCTGTGAGCTCTACAACTTACCGGAGCTTGGCATGATTTTGCGAGGAGAATTCCAGGGAGAGCATCAAGATCTAGTGTTCACGCGTCGACAGCGCCAGAAAGACAAGGATAAGTTTCACCTTGTCAGTTGCGCGAAGGACACTGTGGCAGTCAGGCGGAGTGACTTGAAAGTCAACTTGGCTCATATTTTTAAAGCGTCACCGGCGCATCGCAGTCATCGTGACGCTGCATTGAGGTTCAAGAAGAGGAACCCTTTTTCTGTCGAGGTTGTGCGAGGCGACTCGAAGACTCAAGGTTCATACGTCGACATCTCACTAGCAACCAATCTTTCTCAGTTACTTGGCTTGCCCTTGATCGCCAAAGCCCTCGTTCAGCTAATCGGAGAGAATTTGTTACCGCAGCGCGAAGGACCTTCTACGGCGGCACAACCCAAAGGCATCCTAGCACAACCTGGACCGGCCAAAGATATCAACAATGGTGACAACTCAGGCCCAGACATGACCATCTCCGAGATCGATAGGCTATTGAACGTTTCTCAGCCGTCCTTTAGGTTCATGATGCCATCACGGCACTCACAATCGTCGCGCTTAGGAATGGATCATCCGCAGAACAATGGAGGCGTGCAGAAGCCAGGTGAATGGATGAGCCAAATCAGCTTGTCCTCCCTCATCATTCCATCCGACCTTTCATGTTTCAAGCAAGACGAGCCAGAAAACTTCCCGAATCAGGAGCAGGATCAGGAGGAACGGGAAGCTTGTCCGGACCAGCCTGGTGTAGCTGCGCCCTACCCTCAACCGGGACCAGGTGTCCCAGGACCGTCTCCAACTTCCGCAACATCGCAAACTCCTCAAGTATGCAATCATCTACTTCCGTTCTTACAGCATATTGCTAATGACTTGGACCTAGAGATTCGTTTTTGTGCCGAATGAACAGCCTAAGAGGCCCCGTCGAAAACCAGAGGAAATCGAGAGGCTGTACAAATGTGGGTGGAATGGTTGCGAAAAAGCTTATGGCAATTTGGGTCACCTGAATCAGCATGTGTCGAAACATTCTCATGGACCAAAAAGAAAAGGTGACAATCTTCTCGCTTCTCAATATATTATCTAACTCGACACTAGGCCGGGGGGATGGCTAAGTATAGGTGGGACTGTGTACCGGACGGGCCGGGCAGCAGTCACATACTTGCAATTTGCGAGATCAGGGCCGTAGGATGACGAATGAGGAAAGGTCGTGCCATTCCCTTAAGGAAGTGTTACTTCTAGGATGGGAGTTGGCAAGTAAATTCCCGTACGAGGCTGGTTGCATTATCTCTGGTATAACCCAGATCGACTGGTAACGGGTGCGCAGCCATATAAGGGGGATGTCTATATTGAAGGTCAGCAGCCTTAATCATACTGGCATCATCTTTTGTAGAACCTGGGCTAATTTTCCGCGCAGGCCAACGAATTATGAACGTTGGGGAAGTCCCGCAGAAAGCACAGCTTATGCGTGATGCTAAAGTCAAGGTGATTGACGGCAGAGGTCGTACACTCATGTCTGGTCTTGGTGATGCGCATACGCATCTTACTTGGAATGGCGATATAGGTTAGTGAGACTACCCCACGAGAAATCGATATCGGGAGAGAATAAAGCTGACAACCATTCCAGCGGGTCTAGGCACTATGGGTGTAGAAGAGCATACCATTCTCACTGTACGCTCAGCTCAAATCTACCTAGACTCGGGGTATACAATGTAAGAGGTATCCAGGTCGACGTTGATGACGTATGGCGTTGACCATCATTGCTGCCAGGTGTTTCGGCGCGGCTTCGGCCAAAGACAGACTTGACTGTGTGGTCCGGGATGCCATTAACGCTGGTGACATCCCCGGCCCCAGATACTTGGCCAATGCAAAGGAAATAGCTCGTCGAGACGGGACGCTGCTGCCAAGCATTACCGCTTTCGCTGACGGTAAGGTGACTCTCATTCTTCTACTTGGAGTCTTATCGTCTAATATATCCATCTAGGTCCAGATGAAATGCGGGAAGTCATTCGTCGTCATATCGGGTTCGGCGTAGATAATATTAAGCTGAGTATGTCTGGCGAGGAAGTATGGCCCCCAAATTCCTCATTCCATATTGCAGCCGCTGACTTCGCCGCCTCAAAAGATTACAGAAACGATGCGTGCTGAAGATAGCTACTTTTCTGAAGAAGAAACTGCAGCCTGTGTTGACGAAGGTATGTTCTACTTCTATCCTTGGCTCCAAATTATAGGCACAATGTACTGACTGCAATTGAAGCTCATAAATATGGGAAAAGGTAACATTACATTTCGGAAAGGACAACCCAATACTTACAGAATGGGAAGGTTGTGCTCTCACGCGCGCTCAGCGGAGTCAGTCAAACAGTGTATCCGGCATGGCATCGAAGTTATCTTCCATGCCAGCTTCATCGATGACGAAGGCATGGATATGCTCGAAAAAGCGAAGAGCAAACATGTCGTTGCACCAGGCCTCAACTGGCTGCATGCAATGCTCTACGATGCCGATTCTTTCGGCTACAGCTACCAGAAGGCTGAACAGGTGGGATATAAGAGAGAGTACGACGCTGCAATCCGAGGATTGAAAGAGATGCATAGGCGCGGTATCACTGTACTACCGTGAGTCATAACATTACGGCACCATATGTCACGATGAATATACACGGCGGTTGTCACGAACCTGATAAGCATAACTATTAAACAGGTGCAATATCTGCTACGAAGTAGCAGGATAGACTGTCTTTTAAACACCCCTTAAAAGAGTTGGCACCTGTTCCTGACAGCGGTTCTGCTCTCCTTTCATGTTTTCATCACTCCTTTTGGATGCATGAAATCGGGATCGCTGTGTCTTCAAGGTCCTCTCTGTCGTTGACCACAGCTGTTTTCTTCGACAATACTCCGCGGGTGATTCCACTTTCGTCGAAAATATGATCGAGATCCTCTAAACTCATCTTCGCTGTCTCGGGAAAGAAAAAGTACGTCACTGGTACTATGATTACCCCATTTAGGAGAATGAAAATGATCCATCTATGGTAAGATTAGAAGTATCCATGTTGTGATGCATTGAGAGGACTTACATTTTGTAGCCGATGTTGTGGACACAGATAGGGGTAATCTCCACTACCATGAACTCGATAATCCACGTTCCCACCGAAGCAAAACGAGAGGAGTGATAAGTCATTCGTTAGGCATATCCACGGTCCTCTCCATCCCCATGTTAGAGAGTTTCATCACTTTCGACGAGTTGCCTCAGTCACATCCCGGGCTCCAGAACCTGATGGCTTCGTTGTGTCCCCTCTTCTTTGTCCCTCGTCCACATCATTCGATGCAAGCTGTTTTGGGGGTTCAGGCTTCAGCTTCTGGAATTCTCGAATTATCCAGTCAAAGACGCTATCGTATTCGAACCCTTGTCGGCGAAACAGCTGGTTAAATATTTTCTGCAGGTGCTGATAGTCCGGCTGATCCTCGTCGCGTAAGTTACGGACATAATTCGTGTAGTCCTCAAACTCAGTTAGTAGACCTACATAAAGTTCGTGCGCACTAATTATCTGCTTCTTCTCCAAAACTAGTAGATATTTGGCATCCCGCTTCGCCTTGAGGCCTTACCACCGAAGTCTCCTACGCATGAAATACACCAGCATGTAGCCTAGTGCCTCTAAGTCATCGCGTTAGGATTGCGCTAGGGGGACAGTTAGCCGACCTTCTTGCATAGTTAAGCATAGTGGACGCGTCACCTACTAACGCCCAAATGGCCGTTGATGCTCGCATACCTGCAGGTGCCTAATAGTTGAGGAGGTCGCGCTTTCACATTACGAGTAGGAGTGCTCGAGCCCCAGTAATTAGGATGAGAATTCTGGGGAGACGGGAAAGCGTTGGCGTTGAATAGCTTAGCATTGCTCCACGTATTTACGTCTATATCTCTTCCAGTCACACTGGGGTATGTGACGTTTTGGAATTTGGACCATCACCCCTCGCACACAAAGCCGGCGACTATCACACACAACATGCATAAACTCTCTGACCTTGAAGACAAAAATGTGCGCCAGTCGGAGAGCTTTGATTGGTTGAGGGAATTACTAGAGCTCCGATTATTGCGCTAACCAGATCTAGACTTCCTGATATCTCGACTATTCTTAGATTCAGATCGCACAACGCCAGACTGAGTGTATTATGTATCTGGAGAAGGGGCCCGCTGCAAGACGGGGGAATATCGAGGTGCCCCAGCTCCAAATACAAAACGAATTCTTTGGTGACATACCGTGCTATCAAGCCTCCACTTTTGACGGGACATGCACAAGGAAAGGATGAGCGGCTGTTTCATTTTGGCCCCATTGATGCACACGGTTCGCAAACAGCCAAACATCAGTTAATTATTATTAGGCGCCCGTTTTGGGCGCCAGCCCCCAATTCCTTTCATTGGGCCGCAGCAGCTTGAAATTTATATGCCACTAAGAAATAGCGGAATGCAAACTTCCAAACTCCGTCATCAGTTAAAGTACAATAACCCCAACTTAAGCGCCTTCATACATCGCTGTTGGAGGAGAGATCTTTACAGCCCCTCTTTAAACTGGACCTCCTCGTTCGAACTCGTCCTAATATTATTAAAGACATTGTATAGATTGCCCGAAATGCGCCAATTTTCGTTCGTTTGTGCATTCTCGATATCCTGCGACTGCCGCCCCTCCGACTACTTCTCATCTCAGAGGTTTAGAAGTCCTCCATCGTACCTGCCTGCGTTATCCTCATTCGTTGATCCTAAATCCTCGTTCCTACCTCACCTCTCCTCAGTGCATCTGCCTTGACGTGCACCTCCAGTCACTAAATGAAAGACTCCCTATATTTACAACAGCCAAATACCAAGATTATGATTCTGAAGGCTAGACAAAGCGATACTCAGAAAGATATGGATTTACGTCCGCCTCAGGCTGGGAGGCTAGAGAAACGAAGGAAACGCTTCCAGTCGCCGACGGGCGTAGGAAGTAATAACGGTATCAAGCGGCTGCGATCCACACAATCATCGAAAAATGATGGGGATTCGAGCGAGTTGGAGTCGCTGCAGTCTCTAGCTAGCGGCGAAGACAGCGACGACTTCTCAGAATACCGTCCCTCAACGGACAGCGAATATTCTTCAGACGGCCACGCCAACGCTCCTAGTGCCATAAGATGTAAGCGAATCTCCGAGCTCCGATGTGGGTCCCAATGCTAATAGCTTAGATTGTGGCTTGGTGATCAGGAAAGGACAGTTCGTTTTTGTCAAGAACGACTCTCCAGAGGATTGGATCGCTCGCGTGGAAAAGTTCCACCGGAAGCAAAGGAAACTTTACGTTCGCTGGATGAAGGAAGATGGTCCGGAAATTGTGATGGGTGATGGTTATGCGTGGCTCTCAGTAAACACCATACAGGATATTGCTGAAGTCGAAAGGCGCGTCACCGACCCAGACACTGAGGAGCGGTGGGTGCATAAAGTCCCGGTCCAGCCCGCTTCCTTGTCGCCTACAGGAGATCAACAGAAGCTTTTGCAGACCGTTTGGGCAGAGGAAACCATTTTGCGTCACACCCCCTCTCTAGACTGCTGCTTAGCAGGGACAGCCATATGTCCGCTTGCAGGTGATGATCCCGAGGGCGATCGCAATCTTGTCCGGCCAAGGACCACGAAGATTAAGTTGGCACCATTTCGGCCATGTGCATCTCGAGAGGGAAGTTTGCCTTCACTTTGGGATGCAGTAGGTGATTATCGTGATAATCACCCTGGGTTGAGATGTGCTGAGGTTTGATGGGGTGATCAATCGTATCTGTGAACATTCACAAACACTAGCCGATCACTGCTCAGTAGATTCCTCTGTATGATTTGAGTGGAATGCTCAGCCATACTTGCTACATTCTCATAATAGACGGTGTGTTGATAAAAGGACCGGGCACGCGATACCAGTGTGCGTCTTTTATGGCGCTCCTTACGCGTCTTCTGACCATGTTCTTCAATATCCATGACATTATCTGTCTTCATGAGCCACACAGTCTCCGACGTCGACCTGCCGACAAACTAGCAATGAAGGGGATGTATGAGGGTATGCACTCTACTGAGTAATCATTGCACATCCAGGCTTGAGTGTAGGTCTCCCCCTATATGGCATATGTATCTGGGGCAGCATCGTGGAATAGATACTGGTCAAACCACTCTTCAGCATCAAAGATAATTGCCTTTGTTGAATAAAGCTCGTTGAGCACACTGTTCAGTTCTGCAGAAGGAGTAAGCCGTGAACCATGAATTTAAAAATTAAGGCTCACTGGATGGCTCTAGCTGGTGCAGTGATTAGAGTGAGAACTTAGAGCCCTCATGTTGAGTCGAGGTTGATCGGTTTACACATACATTGACTCCTCTCGGTCCAAACAACAGTAAAAATACTACGCAATTATTTTCGAAACTTGAAAAGCGCGTGTTTTGTCATACCAGAGAACAAAAAAATCCCAGTCATTGGCTTCCTCGACTAGCTACACAGCACCGGAGCGCTTCGTGCTGCACTGTAATTTCCATGCTACCCGATTCATGTTTGATGGGTACGGGACAAGAGGACTGCGTTTCCAATGACTGCTCCAGGACTATTGGGATGCCAATGTCTTGACCGGGATGTGACGGTTGCTAATCGGGCAGCCGTCTCCTCTTTGGGAATTTAGACCTGGCCCCAGTCTGCGGAGTGCTCCAGTCAAAGACATTATCTTGGACATCTTCCGGAGGAGCTGATAGCCGAGCAGACACGAGCGCGTGATGAGCTCGAACCCGTCAGCCTGGGCCACACGATGGTCGCCAACGGTCGCCGCACAGACAACAATGACGACCAGCCTCTCAACCGGTGAGGCATTTGATGGCTTTCAAACAGGCTTTCGCTCAGTCTGCCAATGCCAGCCAACCATTTGCAATTTAGATTTCCTGCCTCGCGGTCGGTGTTGCTCCCCAGTGGAATGGCTGGCTCTCGATGACAGATACTTTCCACCCTCTAACGAGTTGCCTTGGTCACATCCTAGGCTCCACTACCCTGATGACTTCGTGGTGTCCTCTCCTGGCCTCTCGTCCACGGCCTTCGATGTAGAGGGCTCCTAGGCGTCAGGCTCAAGCCTCTGGAATTCCCGAATCGTCCGGTCAAAGACATTGTCGTACTCGAACCCTTGGCCGCGGAAAAGTTTGTCGACATCTTCGGGCCGATCCTCATGACGCTTGGCTAGACCCCGCATAGAGCCACAGGTCGCCTGCTTGTTCAAAACTAGCAGTTGCAAAAAGAAGGCAAATAAATATTCATATTACTTGTATCCGCAGTGTCCGGATTGCTGTGCCAACCGTTGGCTTCTGCGTAAGGTTCTGTTTCCACTCGTGGCAGTCTGTTTCGTTCCAGGACTTCTTTTGGCGATCGAACGGTCCCTCTGTGTAGATTGTTGTCCAGGAGTCACATCTCGTTTCGAAACCTTGGTGACTTTCGCAGAACGAACGGAATGCAGAACGTTCATGTTAGGGACTTGCCTTGTTTGGTGGTCCTTAGACTGTTGTAATCGTTCGCTTCGGCGAGGTAGGATAGGCCTTTCAACAGGAAGTTGCTGTATTGTACTCGGTGATAGAATCTGAGCGCGTCTGACCTGCCTTGTGCGATCCGGCTTTCTCTTTGACGACTTCGAGATCCTAGAAGAAGAATTTGGACTGAGAACAGACTTGGTCTCTGCATCTTTTCGCCGATGCGTCCGGGCACGCGGTGTCTGCTTCCGGCCATTAACCCCAAACCCTTGGGTCACATTGTTCCCACTATCATTATGAAGGTACCCGCATTCGGCCGCGATGACGGGATATTGGTCGTCAATCCACTTCACGAACGCTTCCCATCTCTTGACATTGAGCTGCGCCGCACGTAACCCACCCTCGGCGTGGGCCATAACCTCCTGGGCTATATGTAGATCATAGCCATCACGCAGTCTTCTCATTTCCTCAGAGCTAGAAACGTGTATCAGACAGTCTCTTGCGGACCGAAGTTTCTGATACGCTGCCCTAATCAGGCTGGCCTTTCTCTTTGAATTGTTTCGTTTTGCGGCTTTCAATCCATTCTCTGCTGATTCCACTCTCGATTTCGCATCAGCCACCTCTTTCTCTGAGGCCGTAATCTCATGCAATCGGCTGTAGAGGACTTGCGGATCAGTAATGACATCGGTTAATCGTGTTTGTGCTTCCACTTCCTCTAGCTTTTTCTGATAGTGCAAGAGCTCCCGCTCAGCGGGCTCGATCCTTTTTCGATAGGCTTTGAGTCTTCGATAGCAAAAGGCCCGAAACTCGTTCCAGTCCTCCAACCGGTTCTGCTGGTGCCGGTCCTCCAGCACTGGGAGGCCCCATTTGCATCCCGCGTCTGCTTGACTCTCTCGAATGATGTTTTGATACTCTTGAAACCTGTTCCGCGGATTGTAAAATTCTCGCATCCGATCTTGAAACTCCCGGAACTGCCTCCAATGCCCGAGTTGGCAGGAAAATACACTTAGGAAGCCGCATCCACCGAAAGATTGCCAAAACTTGATAATATCTTGATACTCTCCAGGATTATATAGCACATCGAAGCCAAGATCAATAGGGTGTGATGGCCGGCCCCCGTCAGCTTTTAGAGCACAATATGACTCCTCTTCCCCGATCCAAGTCATTTTTCTGATTTCTTCCTCAGTAAAGGATGGAGTGACGGACAATGAGCGGGAACGGGAGGAGGGCGTCGACTTTCGCGAAGGGAGACGGCTATGTTCGTAGTCAACAAGTCTGAGCTTCTATTTCAGCGAGGAGATGCTCGTACCCTAGCCGATCCCCGAGCTCGTCTGCGTTCACCGCCCGCGAGCAGTCTTTCTCAAACCGTTTATCGATGAGTTCTCTGTAATACGAAAAGTAATTATCAGCACTAGAGTATGATAAGGAGAGCGAAGTAGATCCCGACCGTAGATGTGCTAAATGTTTCTCAGTTTGGTTTTCCGGATCTTTGATCTCAATAAGGCTGAGTGTTCGTCAGTAACAGAAAAACAGACGGAAAGCCGGTGGATGATTCTCTTACACCTCATCCCCAATATCTTTCACCGTTAGGCGTAGGAGCTCGTCGGCATACACTTCGATCGTCATGACGATAGTGAGGTGGTTGAGGGTCGATGGCGAAGGAAAACGAAAGATGCGCGGGGGTTTGATGTTGTCGCAGTCACCTAAGTGCAGTTTGAGATGGTGCTGGGCATGGAAATGATAGGCTCCCAGTTACTCTGGGAAGGGCCGCTAAACATTAGCGTCGGCGGCAACTCAGGCCCAATAGGAATCGTGTGTATGTTGCGATCGCCGATGCCCACAGAGTAGTTCCCTACAGCCTGAGTGTTTAAACACATCCAACCTCCTCAAGTTGTTAAGGCAGAAAGCAAAACTCTCCAATTTTATCTTGGACGAAGATGGATGAGCTGAATACCATCGTGACATTGACTCCCGCGGACAACCTCGGGATCGCGTTTGGTGCATTTCGTTTACCGCATAACCGTTCTCGATATGCGGAACCATTGGCATTCGATGACGGCCCGAGCCGTGATACGACGCCGTTCGGCCCTGGGGACGACGAACCTGCCATCGACGACCTGGTATACTTTCACCGCATCTGCTTGTCTTTTAACCAGGAAACCAAAGTGAAAGGTCGCTTCGCATTTGGAAGTGATCCCAAGTCCGATGTGCTGCTTGCTTCGAAGAGAAGGCACTATGGCATCAGTGGGCTGCACTTTTTCATCACGTTTGACGACCAACGACGGCCCGTGATTAGAGATATGTCGAAAATGGGTCTTTCTGTCAGCTATGACGGGGAAGCAAAAGACGAGCGACGCAATCACTTTCAGTGGATCATCTTTCCCGGGTATAAGACGATCACCGTAACGATACCGCTGTTCCTTAACGGTCGGCAGCAGGGAGAACTCGCCTTTAACGTCCACCTCCCTCCGCATTACAAGACGCATCCGAAGGAATACAAAAACAACGTGGAGAAGTTCATGGCCGATGCCCCTCAAGACTATGACGTGGCCTTCGACAATCTGGCTCTTAGTGAGGGGACCTCATTCGCGCCGAGTGAATCCCTCTCTCCAACCAAACGACCTATTTACTTGAAGGGAAGAGAATTGGGAAAAGGCGCTTTCGGACGAGTACGGAAGGTGATGAATGCTTCTACTGGACAGGAATATGCTGGGAAAGAGTTCTTCCGCGACAAAGGCTGGGAAAAAGAGATTGAAATTATGAAACATCTCTACCTGACTAAATGGAAGTATGCTCATGTGCGCGCTCACTAAGCAGTCTTTCCTAATTGTTCAGCCGCCTGCTAACTCTCGAAAGGACCATATCGTGCACTTCGTCGACTTCAGAACGGTGCCGAAGCCCCTTCTCGTGATGGAATACCTACGGTTAGGAAACCTGGAAGCACAACACAAGGTCTCTCCGATCAGCGACAGCGACATGATAGTCGTCTTTAAACAGTGCCTCCAAGGTCTGTGTTGTCTCCACGAGCAGAAGATTACACATCGAGACCTGAAGCCAGAAAATATCCTTGTGCGTTCTAGGACGCCTATCATTCACATCAAATTGGCGGACTTTGGACTGGCACAGGACAGATCGGATTTGAAAACTTTCTGCGGAAGCCCTATGTATGCCGCTCCAGAAATCTTCCTTGGTCAAAACTATACGAACGCCGTGGATATCTGGTCACTTGCGGTGATCATAATGAAGTATATATATGGATTCCGTCAAAACATCGAGTCTGAAAATCTCGAGGCGACAGCAGAACTACGATTACGGGGTCAGGTCTGGTGCAACTCTCTGATAGAGGAGGCTGATGACTGGGATTCAGATAAGGTGATCGACTTTCTTACTAAGTATATGCTTAGGTGGGAGCCTCGGGAACGACTTTCCGCAGCGGAATGTTTGAGTACAGCGTCAGAAATTGGTCTATTCGACGATTCAATTCTGCAGATAGGAACTCTCATGCCTCGACTAGAATCCGACTGGGACACCGACAACACCGACACGGACACCGAAGAAGCATCGACCATTAGAGAACCCTTATGGCAAAGCATCGGTACACCAGTGCGAGACGAGGGGAATGTACCACGACCACCAGGCCCTTGTCCTTCGTGTATCCCTGACCAGGACCAAGTTGAACAGTGGCCTGTAAGAGCTGAGGCCCGTAGTGCGGATGAAAGTGTTTCACCCGTCTCCTGTCACAACCGGTCTACTGAACGCAGACGGACTGTATACGGTCCGCCTAGCCTTCAGAGGGCTTTTCCTCTAAAGTCCGCCAGGACGGGAAGGAGGAGGTGAGCGAATACGTTGTCAGTTCCCATACGCACTCCATCCTTACTGACCAGATGTCCTAGGCGTCCTGATACGGCAAAACTCGAAAAGTTTTACCGTACCAAAAAAGCCCCCACAGCTAGCGATTATGAATACCTGGCCACGGAGACAAAGATGGATATGGGCGCTATTCGAGTAAGGTCCAGTGCCCCTTTATGCCATGGCAATAAAAGACTGAAAAGAGCAGACTTGGTTCCAAAATCGAAGATACAAAGATCGACAACAACTGCGCGAATTGGCTTTGGTAGAACCACAGCTGGGGGAAGGCTTTGCAGCCATTCGAAAGACACAACCCCATAACCAGCCCCATATCGCCCCTAGACCGCTCTCTCTGCCGGACAAAACTCCCTTTGCAGATGCAACTTGTCATATGCACCGGCCTGAGTGGGAAGCTGAGCAGTCGAAGTACTTGTCTCTCCAATGGCGTGGTGGGACAATTCCCATTCGAAGGGCGGATCATTGGATCAGTGGAACTCATCTTTTCAAAGCATCCGGTCTGACAGGACAAGAGATCAACATCCTGAAAACGACATGGGACTTCGAATTAGAAGTCGTATCAGGCTCTTTCCCGTGGGCCGGGACATATATCCATTACATCACCGGGCTTCAAATCTGCCAACTATACAATTTCCAAGAGCTTGGAACTCTTATTAGAGAGTCTACACCGGCAAGATTAAGTCGAGATAAGCTGCCACTTCAACCCGAATTCTCGGTCATCGGATACGGTGAAACTCTGATCTCGGTCAGAAACGATGGTTATGTGAATATTTCTCACATTCTGCTGCGAATTGCACAATGGAAACATGCAAAGATACAGAAACTGAGACAGCTGAAAAAGGAAATTGACTTTCAGGTTGTGCGAGGAGGTAACCGAAAGCAGCAAGGCACGTATGCAGAATACTCGGGAGCACTTGAGATCTGCGAAGAATATCAACTCAGGTCCGTGGCTGAATGCCTCAGAAAGTTCGCATCTAGATGGAGCTTTGGCACCGCTTCATGCGAGATTCCACCACTGCCCCAACTACCACCTAATTGCATCGACCATTCTGCAACAGCTAAGGACGACACTCCTCTTTCTCCGCCGCATCATTGCGGTAACCACCAGGTGGATTCATTTGTGGGTATATCGCAGCAGTCCCATTTGAGTGGGATACGGCCCACTTTAGAACCACGAAGTTTGTCCTGGCACTCGAATCTATTTGAGGCGAGTTCCTGACGGACCATGGCAATCTTTGTGCCCTTTCACGATGGTCTTGTATGGAGTGCACGAAACCAAAGCCGAAGGGCACAGTGTTCAATACACCAGATCCACCTCCCACCGCAGTTGAAACCCCGTTACTCGCCGTCGCTATCAACCGACAGGACTTCTGTTGCCCAGTCATCCTCAAGTACAGTAGAGGTCACATTGTCGGACCCGAGGTAGATATCCCGGATTTCACTCCCTCTCACGATCTGTCTACAGAAGGGGTAGCGTTTCCCGGGCCCACCAGCAGTGTAGTCATCCGTCGGCTACCGCAGCCAGTGGGTCAGGCACTCTTTACAAAAGCCGTGACTACACTTGGCCACAGCATTTTTGATGCTGTCTCTGCAGATATTGCAGCGCAGATGGTCAACCTGATCCAAATCTTTATGCGCAGCCTCCAGATCACTCTCCCAGTTCTTGGTTACGGCGGCGCCGCGACCGATTTGTGGCTCTGCACTGCAGCAATTTGTTGCCTTGCGTTCGCAGCTTGTTTCGTGTGATGTCAGCAGAGATTTTGTGATCTGTCAGCTCTTGTTAATGTCGAGTGATGAGATAGTCGAGCTCGGCTTATTTGGCCAGCAGTTCGGTCTGCAATTGTCGAGCCTGGCTCACGATGAAGGAAAACTTTCTCCATATCGAGAATGGGAATACTGAAACCATTCCCTACTTTCTTGTCTTTTTTTAGGGAGGAGCGCCCCATGCCGCGCCTTGTAGCACCGATTGGCACTCAGAAACCAATACTCCTGCCCTTGATTCCTGCAGGAAGGGGCGAAGTTTTGGTCATGAATGGGGGCCTCTGTCCCTAGCAACATCAGCGTTCTCAGCTCAAGGTGAAGGTTCATCGGTTTCTCACCTGTTTGCCCCATCTTTGTGTGGCGTGAAATTGAAGGGTGACACTATGCAAATTGTATGGACAATTATCAGGACGCAAGCGGGATGCTTAGTATATGTTGTCTCTTTGCTGTGGTTTCATACAGTTGGAGACAATCTCCGACACGTTTCTTGATCGCGCCAGGGGTCTTTAGGTATGCTAATTTAAGCGAGTCACGCGGTTCTTACATGATTCCGAGGTCCCTATTCGCCTTATCTTACCCTGATCGAGATAGCCTTCTACGAGTTAATGGAGTAGTTGAGGAAGAACCGCGACCTTAGTTATATATATAAGTATGAATTCGAGACCTTTCTATTCCTAGGGATAGAGGTAGTTTATCTAGCGAGGACGGCTAGGAAGTACTTTAGATCTTACGACTATAGTCTATCTATAAGGACTAGTCAGGAGGACCACGAGGATCGAGGCGGTGGTGAAGATACTGATGGATGCGGGGCTCCTGTGGGCAGGTCTCTTATAGTCAAGGCGTCGCTTCGAGAGTCTTCATTCAAACCATTACCTTCACCGGGATGTCAAGCCTGAAAACTTCCTCCTGGGTTTCCCGCATTTCTAAGGACATTGTCAGCCTTTGTGACCTGGCGATAGGTTGGTTGTTTGCGATGGTATGCGTCAGAGACGATAAGGTGGTTACAAGTGCCTTGCACAATTATCTCGTGATAGGGGAGACAAATGGCTTGCTCGCCCTTCCCAGCTTCGACACAATTACCACTACAGTGATGTGCGAAAGTGGTGTCCTAAAACCCATAAAATTCGTTGAAAGGCGATCGCGTCTGCTCCACTGTGGGGCTGCGCTTAGCTAAAAATGGCAATTTTTAAGATTCGCTGTTCGACCAATGAACTTGCCACGGGAACGGGTCCGTACCGATCTTACTTTACATACATTATTCCCCTCCGGTCATTTGAAGCTCATTATTTTGCCATGTAATTTGCCACGGAGGTTCTGGTCGGAGTCCTTGGGCAGCCCTGCAGCTCGCCAAATGGGCAGAGAGGGGGTGTAAGGGACGGAACAGGACTTTGCCAACTGATGACGTAACGTGCATCCCTACGCGATGAAATGCCCTGGGTGCAGATCCACTTTTAATTTGCACACCTCTCTATCCAACACCAACGCGAATGTCGCACATTGAATGAAAGGAGCTGATAGCGTGGATGCTGAATTACCCATATACCTGCACATTGTATAAAATTACCACGCTGGTGTGACTATAACGCCCGGAAATCGGCCGTACCCTTTCGGCTCTCTTCTTTTCGGGCGTCTCGGCCGGAGCAATACGCTTCTGCTCAGCATAGTAGACAGCAGTTATGGACTGTCCGCTCATTTATCTTGCACGTCAACAATCTCCGAAATGGAATGACTCAGTCGTTGGTGAGTACTGTGGTGCATTGCCGATCTCGTGGGAGGTCTGCATGCGATAAAGTGGGTCTCCGGTAAGAGCCGAGGACCAGCCGAAGTCCCTTGGCATGGACGTAATAACCGTGCCGTTGCGGTAATGTTATGGATTGGACCAACTAAATATATTGGTCACTACGTCAAAATGCAGCTCTATGGGCCGTCATTTGAACGTGCTTTCGCGTTTTACTGTATTAACCTTACTCAGTCCATCTGGCCCACGCCACAATCGCAAAGGCGGTGCTGGGGTTGACGCTACACATTTCAGCCCCCCATCCTTATGCCTTCTTGCTGCGCAGCCACCACGCTGCCTTGCGCCGGCCACATGCGCCGTCTGGACGTACACCTGCAGCCTGATCGACCGTTCTTCACAATGCGTCTGTATAATCGCTGGGTCGGTCTTGGCCATGGTCCAGCATTGAAAGGCCGCAAGCCGTTGAGTCGCCTCTCACTGTCCAGCGTATACCGCGCCCGCCTCCCACCCAACTGGCGTCGTTACCGTGCCCTAATTGCAACCACGACGACCGCGTCTCTTCGATCGCACGGCTTGCCAAAGTGGCATCCCACGGCGGATCACAACGAGCACTGAAGCTATTTTGGAGCCGTGAGAGGCACGGCTACCCTCCGCTTGGCCAATCTGTTCAGCCTCACGCGGCTGGGTCTTTCTGAACGAAAACCCAGCTGGAGACATGACCTTCACTCGAACTTTTGGCTCAATCTATTAATCTGCCCTCAGTGTACGAACTTGATGGAGAGCAACTCTCAGACTTGTCGAAGTCGCCGTCGCAGTCAGACTCGAACCCTCTTCCACCTCCCTCCTGAGCCTCACGACATCCCTACTTGACAATGCGTCTTTTGGAAGCACTGCCAGACGGACGGTTTCGTCTGACCGAAGACCTCCCCGACCACGCCGTCCCTCCCTATGCCATCCTCTCACACCGATGGGAAAATGATGATCAGGAAGTCACTTATGGAGACATAGTCAAAGGTCAGGGTCGAGACAAGGCTGGATATGACAAGATCCAGTTCTGTGGAGAACAGGCGACCAGAGACGGCTTACAGTACTTCTGGGTGGACAGTTGTTGCATCAATAAATCGAGCGAAGGTGAACATCAGAAAGCTATCCAATCCATGTTCCACTGGTATCGCCGAGCGAGTCGCTGCTATGTCTACTTGTCGGATGTTTCTGTATTTCCTGGTGACAACAATGATATGCAGCAATGGGGACCGGATTTCCAAAACAGCAAATGGTTCACTAGGGGCTGGACACTCCAAGAGCTGCTAGCCCCAGCTTCGGTCGAATTTTTCTCTCGCAACCGCGCACGACTTGGTGATAAAGGTTCGCTCCTGCAACAGATTCAGCAGAAAACGGGAATTGATGTACGAGCACTTCAAGGAGAACGCTTAACTCGGTTCAGCATCAACGAACGATTCTCATGGATGGAACGCCGCAAGACCACAGTGGAAGAAGATAAAGCGTACTCACTGCTAGGCATTTTCGACGTCTCCATCCCTATTCGTAATGGTGAAGGTATGGCGAATGCGTTTAAGAGGCTCGAAGACGAGATTAATAAGCGGTCGAAGTGTATCCAAGACCTACGCGTCACGGATCCCCGTGATGACAAGAAACGGATTGAGGACACCAAAGGTGGCTTGCTAGCGGACTCATACCACTGGATCCTGGAAAATAGTGACTTTCAGCGATGGCGTGGTAACCAGCAAAGTCACATGCTGTGGATTAAAGGCGACCCAGGCAAGGGCAAGACGATGCTTCTCTGTGGCATTATCAACCAGTTGAGGAGTAGCATGCCCAAATCCCATCTCTTGTCCTACTTCTTCTGTCAGGCAACGGATTCGCGAATCAACAACGCCGTGGCAGTTTTGCGAGGCCTCTTGTTCTTGCTTGTTGACCAGCAGCCTTCGCTAGTCTCGCATATCCGAAAAAAGCATGACCAAGCCGGCGAAGATCTTTTCAAAGACGCCAACGCTTGGGTTGCTTTGTCCGAGATCTTTACCGACGTTTTGCAGGACCCGTACCTGGAACCTACTTATTTGATAATCGATGCGCTCGATGAATGCACAGTAGACTGGAAGAAGCTCCTGCGCTTTATCGCTGCTGGCTCGTCGCTGTCTCCACGTGTTAAATGGCTTGTATCGAGCCGCAACTGGCCTCCTATTGAGGAGCGGCTAGACAAGGCCGAGAGTAAGGTGAGGCTATGCCTCGAGCTGAATTCCGAGTCCATTTCTGCGGCTGTCAAAATCTACATCGAGCATAAAGTGTGTCAGCTGACGCAGGAGAAGAAGTATGACGACAAGACGCGAGATGCGGTGATTGAACATATGTCCTCGAACGCAAATGACACATTCCTCTGGGTTGCTTTGGTCTGCCAAAGCCTCGAATCGGTCCCTCGATGGAATGTTCGTGCAAAGCTGAAGACTTTTCCACCCGGGCTTGACTCTCTCTACCAACGAATGATGGGACAGATTAGTGATTCGGAGAGCCCACCACTCTGTAAGCGGATTCTTGCCTTGATCGCAATCGTATACGAACCCATCACTATGTTCGAATTGACGTCACTTATCGACACGCTCGAGGATATGTCCGAGGATCCAGAGTCATTACAGGAGATTATTGGTTTATGTGGTTCGTTCCTGACCATTCGAAAAGACACAATCTACTTTGTGCATCAGTCAGCAAAGGACTATCTACTCTTGAAGGCGTCCGTTGAGATCTTTCCATCCGGGAAGGGAGAGTCCCACTATACGATCTTCTCAAGGTCACTCGAAGTTATGTATAGGACGCTACACCGGGACATGTATGGCTTTGGTGATCCAGGATATGCGATTGAACGGGTCAAACAGCCAGACCCCGACCCATTATCGGCGTTACGCTATTCCTGCATCTATTGGGTTGATCACCTCTACGAATGTGAAGCTCACAGTCTAGTAGATCACCAAATCGACCTACAGATGTTCGTGAGAGAGAAATTCTTACATTGGCTTGAAGCTCTTAGCTTATTGAAAGCTATGTCGAATGGAGTCCTTGCAATGGCGAAACTCGAGAAACTTGTCCAGGTAACCTATGACTATCGTAATTATAGATGTATACTTCCTCTAATAAAAATCTAGGATAGAGCAGACGCACCCGCACTACTCGAGCTGATTCACGATGCTCGTCGATTCCTCATGTACCACAAGCAGGGAATAGAGATCAGCCCTCTTCAAGCATATACCGCTGCACTCATCTTTAGCCCAACTAACAGCCTGATAAGGCGTCACTTCAAAAAGGAAGAGCCAAAGTGGATCGCGATAAAGCCGGGTACGGGAGAACGATGGAGCGCCTGCCTACAGACGCTCGAGGGCCACAGCGACTTTGTCAACTCGGTAGCCTTCTCGCCCGACTCGGCCCGGCTCGCGTCGGCGTCAGGGGACTGCACGGTGAAGATCTGGGACACTAGTAGCGGCGCCTGCCTAGATACGCTCGAGGGCCATAGCGGACCTGTCAAGTCGGTGGCCTTCTCGCCCGACTCGGCCCGGCTCGCGTCGGCGTCATGGGACTGCACGGTGAAGATCTGGGATACCAGTAGCGGCGCCTGCCTAGAGACGCTCGAGGGCCATAGTAAGGGTGTTAACTCGGTGGCCTTCTCGCCCGACTCGGCCCGGCTTGCGTCAGCGTCGAGGGACTACACAGTGAAGATCTGGGATACCAGTAGCGGCGCCTGCCTAGAGACGCTCGAGGGCCATAGTAAGGGTGTCAACTCGGTGGCCTTCTCGCCCAACTCGGCCCGGCTCGCGTCGGCGTTAGGGGACCACACAGTGAAGATCTGGGATACCAGCAGCGGCGCCTGCCTAGAGACGCTCGAGGGCCATAGCGAAACTGTTAACTCGGTAGCCTTCTCGCCCGACTCAACCCGGCTCGCGTCGGCGTCATGGGACCACACAGTGAAGATCTGGGATATCAGCAGCGGCGCCTGCCTAGAGACGCTCGAGGGCCACAGCGAAACTGTTAACTCGGTGGCCTTCTCGCCCGACTCGACCCGGCTCGCGTCGGCGTCATGGGACTGCACAGTGAAGATCTGGGATATCAGCAGCGGCGCCTGCCTAGAGACGCTCGAGGGCCACGGCAGCTTTGTGATCTCGGTGGCCTTCTCGCCCGACTCGACCCAGCTCGCGTCGGCGTCAGAGGACTACACAGTGAAGATCTGGGATATCGGCAGCGGCGCCTACCTAGATACGCTCGAGGGCCACAGCGGCCCTGTCAAATCGATAGCCTTCTCGCCCGACTCGACCCGGCTTGCATCGGCGTCATGGGACTGCACGGTGAAGATCTGGGACGTCCGTAGCGGCGCCTGCCTAGAGACGCTCGAGGGCCACAACGGCTCTATCGACTCGGTAGCCTTCTCACCCGACTCGACCCGGCTTGCGTCGGCGTCAGGGGACTGCACAGTGAAAATCTGGGACATCCGTAGCGGCGCCTACCTAGAGACACTCGAGGGCCACAGCGACTTTGTCAAGTCGGTGGCCTTCTCGCCCGACTCGACCCGGCTCGCGTCGGCGTCATGGGACTGCACGGTGAAGATCTGGGACACTAGTAGCGGCGCCTGCCTAGAGACGCTCGAGGGCCACAGCGACTTTGTCAATTCGGTGGCCTTCTCGCCCGACTCGGCCCGGCTCGCGTCAGCGTCGAGGGACTACACAGTGAAGATCTGGGATACCAGCAGCGGCGCCTGCCTAGAGACGCTCGAGGGCCATAGCGGACCTGTCAAGTCGGTGGCCTTCTCGCCCGACTCGGCCCGGCTCGCGTCGGCGTCAGGGGACCACACAGCGAAGATCTGGGATACCAGCAGCGGCGCCTGCCTAGAGACGCTCGAGGGCCACAGCAAGGGTGTCAACTCGGTGGCCTTCTCGCCCGACTCGGCCCGGCTCGCGTCGGCGTCATGGGACCACACAGTGAAGATCTGGGATATCAGCAGCGGTGCCTGCCTGCAGACGCTTAGTATTGGCACAGTACTCGATAACATATCATTCGACATCACAGGATCGTCTCTTTATACTGATATCGGTATCATCGTCGTTGATACATCTGCAGCTTCAAGCATAACGCCGGACAAAATGGAACATCAGAACCCGCGATATGAAGGCGTGAGCCTGGGTCCAAATAGAGATTGGATTAGACGAGATTCAAAGAACATCATATGGCTACCATCCGACTATCGGCCATCATGTTCAGCTGTGTCGGGGAGGACGATCGGCATCGGGGCAGGATCTGGAATGGTGTGGATGTGTAACCTTGAGCGCACCGGCTTTGAACATTGTTAGAGCCATCTGTGTGACAAGTTTGAATTTTGTTATACTGTGCTGTAATTAATATTTTTATTATCTTTAATTCATAGAGGGGTCTGGGTTCCAGCATGAATAAATTGCCTGCATGCTCAAGTCGAAGCTTCTGGAACATTAGCACGCACGCCCAGCTTCAAAGCATCCTATCACATCGTTACGCCACTGATCGTGTAAGGGGGGAGGGTTATCTTTGAAGGTCTCCGGTCAGGCTGAGCTCGCCCTTGTCGAATTTCAGAAGGCGCATTGTGTCGGGTGCGCTCTGGCGGCACGTCATGAGTAGAGGTGCGTGCGGCCTAGACAAGCACTGCGTGCCTCCAATGGCTCCAAAAAGCTTCACTGCTCGTTGTGGCCCGCCGTGGGGATACTACTCTGGCAGCCTTGCGGGCGAAGAGAGGCAGTAGTCGTTGAGCAATGAAGGCGTGGTAACGGCAAAGTTAGGTGGGAGGCGGGCGCGGTAAACACAGGGCGCGATAGACGACTGAATGTCTGTCGAGACACCTAATGCTGAACCATAGCTAGGTATGATCCAAGGATTATAGAAAGGCATTGTGAAGAGGGACCGATCAGGCCATAGACATCGGATCTGGTCTGCGTTATGGCAGCCGGGCTCCTGGGCAACAGGGTCGCAGGCACGAGGAAGGCTTGAAATGTGTGGCCTGAACCCGCGTGAGCGCCTTTGCTGTTGTGGCGTGCGGTGTAGACTAGTAGTAATAATACTGCAGAGTGGGAAACTGCCGTTCAAATGACAGGCAGCTACAACGCGAATTCGACGTGGTCGCGGCATCAAGGGTCGTCCAACCCGTGACAATACCGCAACGATAACTGTATTACGTTCGTGCCAAGCGATCTCGGCTTGTCCTCGGCTTTTACTGGAGGCCCACTTTATCGCATGCATACCTTGCACGGGGTAGGCCATGCACCACTGCACCCACCAACGACTGAACCTGTCCATTTCGGACTTCTGCAATGTGCAAGAGGAGTGGCCCTGTCAGTGCGGGACTGCTGTCTAGCATGCTGAGCAGGAGTATATTAGTGCTGCCGAGACGCCGGAAAGGAAGAGGGGCGAAGTGGCATGGACTATTTCCATGCGTAATGGTCGCACAACTGTGGTACTTTTAAGCATTATGCGGGGATATGGGTGATTTAACATCCATACAGCCAGTTCTGTCCTCCAATGAGCGATATTCGCATTTGTGTTGGATAGAGAGGTGTGCAAAATAAAAGTGGGTCTGTACCTAGGGCATTTCATTGCATAGGGATGCACGTTACTTGTGTTCATCGCAGGGTGTTTCGTGTCAGCACGTGACTAAAGCGCAGTTAGGATGCTGGTCATCGCAGGGAAATCTCACTTTTGCCGCCACTGCGTCCAGCTCGTCCAGACCCTAGCTCGTACACGCATACGCATGATGGTATCCGTGGATGTCTGGCAGGGAATCGACCGTTTGGCATTTCACGAAAATGCCATTCTACTCGATGTAAAAGTACGATCTCAAGGCGATCCCATCAGATCTGCCATTCACAACCACGACCATGTTGAATCTCAAGATGGCCTTACCCCTCAGATTATATGCGACGTCCTCGATGACTTTGCACTTGTGTTATCTGGCAGTGGTGGGAAGGACAACGTTTCTGCGGCCTGCATGGAATATGATGAAGAGCTTCGTACAATCACTCTTCGCATCTCAAGCAACGATGGCATTGAGAGACTAAAGCACGCAGATCTACAGAGACTTCTGCAATTGATCACAAATGTTTTTGGTCCAAACACTGAAATGCGAAGGGAAGAAGTGCTGATCTTCATCCTACAACAGTGCGCTACCTCATTTGTGAAACATGTGAATAAATTCATGAATGAACTCAAACAGGCCCAATGTCCAGGCACACACCTACGGTTCCCTGCCTTTTCCCTTCATGACCGCACCGCTGAGTCGGCAACCGATATAGACCACCTGGGACCTTATAATCACGACAGCCACCAAGCATACATGCGGCTTAGTTCCGAACGACTGCAAAATCTGCGAAAGATCTCTGGTAATTTGACCACCTCAGGAATTCAATCAGACGTTTCAGAAATGGGGCGGTTGGCCAAAGCAGCCTATGATGTCCAGCTATCCAGCTCATTCTATCATTTTTTGCGCTACAACCTTCTTGCCAGTAAGAAACCAATGGCTGTGCAGTTGATGGCTCAAAGTCTGAAAGAGCGGTTAGGGAAGATGTCAAGATATTGGAGAGCTGCAAAGACTCTGACGGCGTTTGGATCGGCAATGATAATCCACGACTTTACAGTCAATCTTTTGTGTCTGCCTACTTCCAGACAGCCGGTCCGGGAGATTTGCAGGCGGACCCCTGCGCAGCTGCGAAGTCGCGGTGGCCTACACTTCCAGTCGTGCAACAATGGGCAGCTGCAAGGAAAACTTGAACAATGGCAGAGCTATCGCCTACATTGTGAGATGCAGCTTGTCGTCTTCTACGAGGAAAATCCACATCTGCAGCTGCGAAGTCATTACATCGGTTGCAATAAACTGGCATGTTACCTGTGTTATAACTTTATCACCAACCACGGACAATTTCAGGTCAAAGGATGCCACCAGGGGCTGTACTCGTTGTGGACAGTGCCCCTCACCATTAACTTTGCGACGCATGAACGAGCAAGCGAATTCAGCAGTGCGTTGAGACAACTGGCCCATATCCTCGAAAACAAGGTAGATTTGATTCGCAGGGCGTCCAAGTCACAGTGGAAATATAGGACAAATAATGAATCCACAGCCAATCTTTCTCGTATATCCCTCCAGTGGCCAAGTTTAAGAGGAGCAACCACCAAAGCTACAACTGAGGTTTCCGCTATCAATGAATCTAGACTGCTGTCCCAGCCAAGAAACCAGAGCAGAAGACATGATTCCAGCGAACGGTATCGGAACAATCTGGAAACCCCTCCTTCGACAAACATCACGGGAGATAGATTAGCAATGCAACCAGCTCAATATCCAACGCTGGATCGTGTACCGGTTGTGGTAGCCAGCACTACCCAAACTCGCGGCAACACCGGAACTGACATAGATGTGCAGCCAACGTGGAACCTCGGCGCCACTTTGCCGGCTCCAAGAGAATGCAGAAATCTGTCCACAGCGGCGATCACCTCGCCAGTACCTCCCTTGTTGCACATCGAGATAAGCAAGAACGATACTTCGATGGTTCCGCGGTCTCAAGACAACGCACCCGCGACAGCTTCACAAGAGATCGGACGATCGCCTCTGTCACTACCGTTGGACTCAACAAGCCTTGTACCGCAGATGTCTTCCTCGAAGGAAGAGAATTACTCGCAGTGCCAGGATGAACAGGGAGAAGAAGAGTATGTACAAAGCACACATGATTTTTCGTGAGGAGCGCCTCAAAGACTGACAACTCTTCAGAACCAGCTCACCTGGACAGAGACAGGCGCAGGTTCGACTATCCACGGATCTCGTTTATGAGCAGAATTATCATTCCGCACATATCATTGGAGATCATGAAAGTCGAACCTCCGACATGCCGTCCAAGCATGGCACGCGGGAAGAACAAACGACTGGTCAATTCCGCATGCCATGTTTGAACGGCATGAGTCGAACATTCGACTTTCATGAAATGGGTCTCTTCCTTGAGATTGAGTGCCCAAGAAGCGCACAAGTTAATGTTTTGCAGTGTTCAAGACCGCAGAGATCGACAGCTAATCCAGTTGTTGAGGTCGATAAAATTGAGCCTGGAGAGTCCGTTGATTTTGACATGGGGGAAGACTTCTCCAAGACCCGATTAATGTTCCTTATAAAGCGCAACAATAACGGAATCGATCAATGGTTGGAATGCCGTTGGAAGTAGGGTAAGGAATACACACTGTGTTGAGAAAAGTAGGGAAATAATGGGAGGATTGCAATTTGCGAAGGTCTTTATTGTGCGGTCTATCGATGCCAAGCCGGCGTCTTTGGTTTCCGAAAAATCATTGTTGCACAAAGTGAAAATACTGTAGCCGAGGCGTTACTTCGGAAAATTTCCCGACATAGTTTCCCCACGATTCGCAGAGGGGACGACATGCTCCTCCAACTATATTATAAGATCCCACACTTGCTCGACCTCACCTGCACCTCCGACCTGACTTTCAAGGACAACAGTGCAAAGAAACACCGTGGGTCCTACCTCACTGAACATCATGGGGAAGAGCAGACGGGGAACACAGGGTAAAATATGCTGCATCAACTCGCAATTGGCCTGCGAAGAGGAAAGAATTGCTTTTACTTCGCTTCCAAGAGGTGTTGCTGGACACATGGTTGTAGTTCTCAGTCAGCCAGATTGTTCCGACCATGTTAAGTTTGCGACAGTACGATATGTTGTACCCTGAAGTCCGTCCGAACAATTTGACTTACTCGTGGTGATAGATTACTTCAAGTGCCTAAGGCGATGTTCAAGGGAACCGGTATCCTTTCCAGCTTCACCTACGCGATTACAATAATCAATTCCTCGCCCCCCCCTCTTCGGCCCTTCCTTTACGTTCATATCTAAGGGCAGAAGAGCATGTGGTCTCGTTGGAGACACTATTGCCGGTTGAAGGAGATTTCGGTGAGTATCTAACGTTGAAAAAAGAGTCGGTTAATAAACTAGTGTCTGCACTGAAGCGAAGCGTACAAGGGCAATCGCTCATACCCTAGAATAAAAGATGCTCGGATGGTCGCATCTCAGGCCAGTAGGGTGGAGTAGAACCGTATATGGGAATACTATAGCACCCGTCACGGGAAGACCTCTCCGAAGCATTCTTTCCGGCTGCGTTTTTTAAGGCCAATAGCAGTGGAACGGCTTGCTTTTGCTGGCACAGTACCTGTCCCCTAAGCTACTAGGAACGAGTCCGGCCAAGGGAAGAGCACTCTTTGACTTGCTGATCGAGCAGAGAAGCATAGCCCATTTATCCATTGTTTGATCCTCAACCGCGGAGATCCGGTTCAGCGTATGGGTTCCCTTCAACCTCAAAAAGTCCATGTTTGTCCATTGGCTCAAGGGGTCTTTCCATTCTCTCGCTGACGCATTATACCACCAGGTGCAGACCTATCGGGGAAATGAATGTTTGCCAGTTGGAACAAAAATCGTGTAGCAAGACTGATCTGACGCGGTGACGCACTGCGGGGTATCCTCGGCTATTTTAGGATCAGGCAACTGTGTCAAAATGTCGTCACGTGATACTCCGGGTGTCGCTCCTCCAATCGATATAAGAAAAACTATAGCGCTCTATGTTATTCCCTCAATCCTTTCCGTACTTGGGATGCTCCCAGAAGATGTCTTTAGATAGTAGCATTGAGCACGCCGAGAGATTGCTTCACAATCTGAATATCGCCGAGAACGTGGTTCAGAGTCGTCGACAAGGACAAGAACAGGAACGCTCAACACGCGATCAACTGGTCCCTCTTCAGACCAGCATTCGCACGCTTTACCAAGCGACAAATAACGTCACCTCACAAGTTCAGTCTGTCGAATCACTAGCTAACGATGCGAACTCAGCCGAGGGCCTGTCTATTGCAGAAGTATGCTCACTCCATGGCGAAATCAAGAAGCTTGAGAAGGCCGCTTCCAACATTCAAGCCGCACTTGATGCGCTCCATGAGGTCACCCATCATTCCATTTTTCTCAAACTCAGTTCGTATGGAGGCCGGGGCGGGATCGTTGGTAATAAGATTTTACCACATTTCGAGAAGCAGGTAAAAGACATTATTCGCGATGTCTTAAATGACAATGGCGATACCACGGCGTTGTGGAAGGTGGCTGAGGAGTGCTATGAACAAGCCACGAAACCTTTTGGAAAACTCGATGCTGAGAACTACTTCGCTCCACTCGAAGAAGCCTATCTACAATGGCCATACGATCCGGATTTCGAGAGCGAAGAGTACTATGAGCATGAGAACCGCCTTGACGTGGACGAGGATTACGCTGCAGCTTTCCAAGAAAAGATCCAACGCAGATCCGATGCGCGCCAGCAAGACCGTAAGGCTTGGCCCAAATTTTGGATCGCAGTATTGAATGAAGTTCCCGATGGACCAACCTTGTTCTGTCCACCAGCCCGTTTGCATACACCATTATCATTTCTGGAGGACGTCCCGCGATACTTGTTCCGAACCTTCGACGGGACCAGCTCGGGGAAGAATGACAGTAGCGTTGTGGCTTCGATAGCGAGCGTTCTCATGCCAAGCAAAAGCCGGCACGATCTTCTCTCAATGGACGAAGATCGTGTCACTCAACTGCTGTATCAGCACCTGAACAAAAGTTGCTTTGGAGGCGATGGATCTGATAATTTGATGTCCTGGACAAGCTCGCTTCTCTTCGCTATACAATACGGTATTTGGAGGGCAAACATCCGCGGAATTTCGCTCTCTGACATCAAGATCTGTGCAGTCGACACCAGTAACTTTCCGAAAGGCCAGTTCGTCCAAGATTTATGTTTACTTGAGGCGTATCGTGTAGCTGCCCAGGACGCGGACAAGGACACAAGAGAATTTTTCCGCTTCCGACTTGAGACTGACGACTTCTATAATGGCGAATATCTTTCTCAGGGACAAGTTAACCATGCCGGACGATCATGTGTAGCCACTCTTGAACACCTGCTGAACTCTGGACTTCGCCAATTATACCCCGAGTTCGAGGATCCCAGAGGTGCTGAGAAATGGACAAAACGAGTACTGGAACTGCGACGGAACTGGTCTTCGGAACAATTCACGACTGACCAGGAGATTGAACTTGCACTTGAAGTGGCACGCAGATGCTTTGAAAAATACAATTCATCCGAGATCGCTTTAATCCTCCTGGGTTTCAAGAATCGCAAGCACTCCAGGCTAGAATCTACAGGTGAGTGGCGACTTTCGAGGATGTCGTTCGGTTTGGATTTCTCTAGCAGTGACTGACCTATCGAAGACAATCCAGGTCAATTCAACAGAAGGCCGCCAAAATGGGCCGAAAAGCCAGTGGAAGTCCATCGATACTGGATCGCCACTGAAGGACTTCATTGCTACAGTCGATACCCACAAGCGCGGATCAATGGTTTTTTTCTACAACGCCACAAAGCACTACGAGAGATTCTCAGCTGATATTGTAGTCGCAGTGTCGTCTGCGCGAGGATTCAACGAGACTACCAATGGCTGTGCGAACGATTTTCGAACGCGATGTTAAAGGGTTGCGCAGAAACCAGTCAGTTCTAGTGTGTCGGAGGAGCAAGATGAGGGACGCGGGACGGCGGAGATAGGTTGGCCTATTGATTGCCTTATCACCAATCCTCAACGACCCTGCCATTGGCGCTGCTAATCGAGGCTCCCAATGTCGGACTCCGGATGCAGGGTCGCATACAGCAATGCAACCAGCGGCAAGGCGTGGCTAAGCAGGCTTCGTGCCTCAGAATCATGGGAGCGCCAACACAGCGAATAAATTGCTGGTCTGTGACCAAAATGCCATCACAGCACCACCAACGACGCGTTTGCTGGAGATCTAGGCGTAGACAAAGAAGTTCAGCGAGAAGAATTAACATGTCTCTGGACCTGTGTGCAGCGATTGCGTGCCCACTGGAAATCCGAATAAATACCAGATCATCAATCCCCGCGTGCAAGAGTGATTCAAAGAGGGAGGATCTCAATAAGTGTCTAAGATAAACTACAAGTCCTGAGAGAGGAGCGCATTTCGCTTCGCTAGGCTGGTAAATCTCAGCTTCGAACCAATAATGTGGCTCCACGTCGGCACATGACGAATCGTTGCCGCCGCACCTCGTTGAATCACTCTTCCAGTGCATCGCCGAAAAAGCAGGAAGATATATGTTCGCTGCACGTTATTCCTGTCGGATGAGTGGCGGAAAAAGTGTAGTGAATCGAGACAGTACGCTTTACCCGACCAACCCCACGAAAACTCGTCAGGAGCTACTTTCAACAATTATACTAGCTGACTGTCTGAAATATGAGAGACTGCTTGAACTGTACGGCGCAGAACCGCCAGTGTGTCTTTGCGGATGATTGGGAGTCCTGTCTAACCTGCAAAGAAGCCGATAGTGGCCAGTGTGACGGAGTTCTGAACCTGTCTGATATCTCTCTGGCCAACACTGATTTGAGAAAGGCTGAAAAAGAAGCCATGCAGCTTCTGGCACGTGCAAAGCAAGACGCTGAAATTCTCAAAAACCTGAGCGCGGATCTCAAGATAAAGCAAGCCAGCTTCTCCGCCTCGAAGGCATCCCATACAGAAGACCAGGATTCTGAGCGTCTCAAGACGGAAATTCAGGCGATGGCCTTGACTGGAAAACAGGTCTCCGAACGCCACAAGACAGACAGAATGGCTTACAACCAGTCTCTTCAACACATCAAAGAATTACGAGAACGCGCAGAGAATTTATTTCAAGAACTCTTCATCCAGGTGCATCGTCGCACGATCAATGACTGTTTTGAGTGTCAAGATACTGGCAAAGCCTGTGCCTTTTCGGACGAGTCGGAGCAATGTTTCCCGTGCCAGAGCCCCCTTCGCCGGCGTTGCCAAGGGAGTTTGGACGACGAAGATACTGATCGGATGAGAGTTGCGCTGGAAAATCTTGATGATCAAATCGACCAGCGTTTATCTTGCGAAAGTCTCCAACCCGACCAGTACCAATCGTTGAAAGCGCAACTCGTGCAGGCGAAAGAGGTTATGGCGGGTTACAGACAGCATCCTGATCCGACGCCGCAGCAGTGTGCCGATTATGCTCGTCGTCACTCGCTTTTGAAACGGGCAAAGAAGGAGCTAGAAGATTTTCGCAATCAAAGCATGATAGATGACCCTACTTACCAAGAGCTCCGAATTCGAAGGCGATTGGTGGATGAGTGTCACTCCGAACTACTTGAACGTGGAGTTTTTTACTACGAGGAGCTCGAAGAACTTGCCGGACACCCTGAACGGCGTGGTCACAAAGCAGCAGAGCATATGGATCATGATGAGTTTCGTGCGGCAGTGGAATGGGCTGCCGAACACCATGAGGAGTGGACTCAGTCTCCTCTTCCTACGACGACGCTGTCAGAGGGTACGGATGATGATGACGCATGGGATTCTGGCATAGAGATCTAACGCCGACAAAGACCGTTGAATCTACGTGTTTCATGAGATTGTCGTGTGTTAATCGTACCGTTTTTCGGCTATCTACAGCGCGGTTCATCCGTGATACGATGTGACCGTAGAAACGTCACGGAAATTCAACGGTAATGATATCTATTCTGAAGAGCTCCCTTTAAAAGATTCATCCTCCATATCCCGTCGCTTGGAGACGTGTTCTTCAGCCTTAGCGTAGGCATCTTCGTCTCCGTCGTTAAGCTGCTCTTCGGGAGTCTGCGTTCGCCGGCGCTTTTTTAAGCGCATGTTTGGTTCCTGCCTCGTGGATTCGGCAATTCTCACAACAGTTTCCGCCTCTACCAGATACCGATACATCTCGTCGCACGACACGAAAATGTCTCTATCTAAGTCCTTGAAATGTCGGCACGTCCCTTCATCTGCAAAATCCTCCAGGTGCAGTCGTAGGCCGAGGGTTTTATCCGTATTTGGGTTGCCGTCATCATTGCGGAACACCTGCTATTCGTCAATCTTTTGCCAGACAGAGGATTCAGCCAGACTTATTTGGTTCGTGACCGTAGATTCAACAACCCAAAATTTGTCAGCTCCAGAGCTCTGCTCTTTTGCCCGCCAGACTGAAAAGACAGCCCTTTTGTTCTTGCTGTACTCAATGTCAACTCCTACCACAACCCGAATCACAAGATCGTTTCCGAAAATGTATTCCTCCGCAAGATTTCTCAATATCCTCCCATTCTGTGAATGCGCTACCTCGATAATCACCGTGGGTAATGGCGATCTAAGATGCTGGAAGGAACTGTCTGGATCGTGGCTCCCGTAGTCCGGATCTCGAGCCCTTATCGTAGCAGACCCAACGTCTCGGATATCTTTCGCAAAATCTGCAGCTGGCCCAGACTCGCGGGATAGGAGACGCAGCTGTTCACTAATACGCCCACTGAGGCTGCGCAAGAATAGCTCATGAATTTTTGTGGGCATACGCAGAAAGAGGTGCTCGCTCGAAGGAAAATAATCGAAACTGTGCCTCGACATTATTATCTTTTGAACCAAGACTGAAAAAGCTCCGACATACTGTATCTTGTCGTCTCGTTGCAGCAGCTCTTTCACAGTATTCCACTCTCTCCTGTCAACCTTGAGTATTGTCTGGCTCGAGCTGCCAGACTTGTGATGTGCGATCTGCTGCCGAATGAAGGTCGCGTCACGCGCCACCTTCTCGTCTGTCGGAGGAGGAGAGGGAGGATGACGAAGACTCGAAGGGGGAGTAATTTCTTCCTTATCGTACGTCGGACCGCTCATCACAAACAACTGCGAAGTCAGAGAGATGTAGCCGTTCGACAGAGGCTCAAAGACTCTTTGAGGCCGCAGGGCATCTACCGCGGCAAGGCATCGCGGGATATTCTCGGCTATTCTGGCCGAGTGTCAGCATCACGTGAGTATCACGTGATCACAACGGTCCAGCTTCCCGAGCCTAGAACATTCTGGGATCTTGCTGCCACGGTGTTCACAACTAGTAGCCTGCGGGTGAGCGCAGTTTTGTACAGAGTGCTATACTACTTCACTGTACATACGTGCTGAATAAAGGTTGTCGAATTTGCCTGCGCCGGACTTTTGTCAGCAAACGATGGCTCCGAACCTCGCTGTCGCCCAACATGCGGAGACCCGTGACATGATCGTCAGCGGAGAACTTAAAGATCGGGAGATCGCCCAAATAACGCAATGCAGCGAACGAACCATCCGGCGACATCGAGCGAACCTAATGTGTTTTGGCAGCACCTCTGCACCCCGAAATCGTAGTGGGCGACCCTCCTCGATCACCTCCCCGATGCTGGCGGCACTGCGTGAACACCTGCTTGAGAAGCCTGACGAAGATCTGGACGGCATGGTCTTGTTTATATGGGATGAGTTCGGAAAGCTTCTTTCACGGTGGTCGGTGAGAAGGGCGCTGTCCTCCATTGCTTGGTCGCCTAAAGCAATGCGACGCATTGCAAGGGGCAGAAGTGCTGACTTACGCGACTACTATGCACATGTGGTTTCTGAATTCCCTTCATGGTGTCATTTGTACGTCGATGAATCAGGGTGTGACAAAAGAATCGGTTTCCGTCGTTGGGGGTGGTCGCCACGGGGCGTGACACCAGAAAAGATCGCACAGTTCCAGCGTGGACAACGATACCAGATTCTGCCTGCCTATGACCAAGACGGTGTTGTTTTCTTCCGCATATTCCAAGGCTCTACTGATGCGGCTTTCTTTCTGGAATTCATGGAACAGTTGTTGCCGCACTGCAATCCTTTCCCCGGAAGACGGTCTGTCGTAATCATGGACAATGCATCATTTCATCGTAGCCCCGAAATTGACGCGCTGTGTGCGCGTGCTGGTGTCAAGCTGGTTTACCTACCTCCTTATTCGCCTGACTTCAATCCCATCGAGGAATTTTTCGCAGAGCTCAAAGCATTTATAAAGAAACATTGGGTGGTGTTCGAGACAAATCCCGAGTACGAGTTCGAGACCTTTCTCGAATGGTGCGTCGACGAAGTCGGAGGGAGAAACCCGAGCGCACGAGGACACTTTCGCCATGCTGGGGTGACTATTCAGGAGCATGATGGACAATGAGTTCGATGCTAATAAACTAAAATTACATACATGAAACTTTATAGATCCTGTTTGAACACTCAGATGCTGAAGAACGACGCCAAGAGTAATTGATGCTTAATGGATGGAACCATGCTCTGTATGAGAACAATCATCATGCGCGGAGTCTGCGTGATGATGGAGCTTACGACGTTTGGCGTAAGTTTTAATGTCTCGATAGTATCGCCGAGCAATACCTATAGGAACTTCTGCTTCTTCGGCGAGAGACTGAGGATCCTGATCTTCATAGAGAAGTTCTAGGTCAAGGCCTCTGTCAACGACAAAGTCAGTAGCCTTTTGAAAAGCCGCCTTTAGTGATGGCTTTCTGACTTGGGTCTGCTGCCAGTCACAATAGTCCTGCACACTCTCATCACGAAGGCCTGAGATTTCGATAGGACTCATTTTTGTCTTTGGTGCTGTTTCCGCTTGTATTGAGGCAGGACTTGGTAGGACGTTAGTGATCTGGATCGGCAGCATTCCAGAGGACGAGCTCGCGTTCTGTGTCTGTTTGCGTCGTTCGTTCTGTTCTTCTTCCTTGTAAATCTGTTCTCGTAGATCTTCGGGCATCTGGTCATGGGTCTCTAAAGGCTTGTTGCTCTCCTTATGGCGGATGAGGGTCCGGAGATGGTGGCTTTTCAATCCAAATCGCTTGTTCTTTTGAGAGTCAAACCAGCACCAAGGTTTCAAATCGCAAGGCGGACCTGGACAGCGAAAAAGAGCATATACATGCTGCCAAGCCGCTGGCCGGCCAGTCGTGGCTTGTTCAGCATTAGCTTCAGCAGTGAGTTCTGTCTGCATTTGCTGGGTCGCAGTACCTCTCACTTGCTTGCCTCTTGTCCTGGAAGTGTTAATTGCTGCCACCGGACTGACTTCTAGGTAATGAAATATAATGTTCACAGTCAGCTTCTTGCCCTTGCGGAACAAATCACTCCACTTAAGAAGGCGTCGCTCAATTTGTGCCCAGTCAATATTTATCGCCTCATACTGTGCCACAAAATCATCTCCGGGTCTACCAATCACCTTTGCCACCACATCCGTATCGTCTGGTCGAACAGGTTGGGAGCGGGAAGTCTTCCGTTTCAACAATTCTTCGAGCTGGGGTAGGAGGATGCGAGGCCCGAATGAGGTTGGTTCAAGGACGATGTCCTCTATGGTATTTCTCGATACCACCGTCTTTTTGATCATCAGTCTCCAGTCGATTCGGTAGTGGATGTAGGCGGGAGGTATCTCGTCGTAGGCCGTATCACGGTTCCAGTCTTTCATCTGCACGAACCCGAGACTCTGCGGAGGAGGCTCGATGACGCTCGATGACACTGACCGACTCCATCTGGGCTGCCCTTGACTGTTCATGTACAAAACAGGTGTCGGAGCCTCCCAGAGTTGGGAAACGTCCCCTTCTTCATGCCAGGGCGTGTCATCACGCTCCTGTGCAAAGGCGCAGTCTTCCAAGGATGATGCCAGCGGCCAATCCGAGCCATTTGGCGGGGTCTCCATTGAGAATGTCGTGCAACTTTGGTACCCAGCGCTCTCGGGGGAGGTACAGACTCGCAGTTCCTGTTCCTGCATTGTCCATATGCGCAGTTCGGTCCACGCCCAAACGGGAAGGAATTCTCCACCATTCCACACTCCGCACGTGACTCCATTCTCATCTCGCTGGGGGGAAGAATCGCAGCAACAGACCAGCTTCCACAATGAAATTGCTTCGCCGAAAGGAGACATCGTTTTTCGCAATCGTTTCGGTCTGGCTACGAAGGCAGTTCTGTCGTTCCGTCAACTTTGAGAATGCCAGTCAAGTGGCGACGAGGAGGGAGAAAACATGCTCAGAGGTTCGAGAGGACGAGCGTTTAGAATGAATCTGCGCCCGCATATCAGCTATTCATGCATCAGCTCATTAAGATGGCAAGATGTCGTCAATGGCACAATGTGAGAGGAGTGCCGATGGGATCGAGAGACACATCTAGGAGGTTGAGAGTTGCGCCACGCAAAGTGGCCATCATCTGGGAACTTTGTGTGCGTTTTAATGTACAGCAGTATATTTAAGATATAAATCAATTTGATCAGCTGAATCTTATGGTGGAAAGGAGACTTCGATAATATATTGGCGGGGTAGCATGCGCAAAACCTCAAAAATTAAAGGGGTCCAGCCAAACCGGGACACTAGAGAAGGAGCCGACCTCGGAAACCTTTGCCAAGGCCGCTTTAAATGACAATTCTGTCTTGTGCTTTGTATTCTCACATACTGTAATTAAAGCTGAGTGGCAGTGTCACGCTTAACTATTTATAGTAAGGCGCCTAATGTCAGACCCACTCGACTCAATCCAAAACCCATCTTTTGCTAGGCCAAATAGGACACCAATTTCGCACATCACTGTACCATTTGCAAGGTTGCTGCAGTTATGACCCTGGGCGTCCTGGCCAATAGCTGTCTAGATCATTGCCACACAGAGCCCCAACTGAAACCTAGCCGTGTGCACGCCTGGCGTACAAGGCTCCTTCACGTAATCAGACGTATGCCTCCCTTTTTGTAGGGTTTGAGGTAGAAAAATGAAAATAGGAGGGGGAGGGCCGGTTAACCCTGATAACCATTTGAAAACACCACGGTTATCTATAGTTAACCTCGACCATATCAATTAAGTGATAGGGATCCTTTAAGTTTTCTGGTTCTGGTGAACCTCGGAAAGTAGTAGTCGATTAGTTCGGATTATCAAAGTGGCAGGGATTATCGGCGGTGCTTTCCGGCAGGCCTTAAGTTCCATCACCTAATGAAAAATTGGCATTTAAATGAACCATTATTCTACGAGGTTTCTCGAAACTAAGACTAATAATTCGGCCTTCGCGAATACATACTGTACGGTAGGGTGGGGTTTCTCGAGCAGTACGTCAGTGGAGTTGACCACAGATAACGCTGGTGTCTTCTAACGGTTGTCAGGGGCCAAGTCAACGATCCCTCCTCCCATTTTCTTTTTCTACCTCAGAAGCTGGGGGGGCTTTATATTACGCCTCATCACGTAGCTAACACTGCTTTGGTCTAGCGGCCTTAATGATCAACGAGCATCATCAGCAGGTAAAACATCGGTAAACCGCAACGTCACGTGCCATAACTACGCCAGCGCAGTTACGAGATTTGGGCAGCCTCGCAGGCAATGGTCGTTTCCCGCCGGATCACCATCGTTTTCTTCCTGCCGAACCATTGACCTCGAACCTATTCCAATTACAACCTTTACTCATGGGTAAAAAGCGAGGAAGACCTTCCTACGACACATGGACTTAACCTCTATCGTACACTTTTGACCGACAGCCGCCTGTCTTAAGCGAGCCACAGGAAGAGCGCATGAAATTCGCCAGGTTTGTTTTTTCGCTCTGCAGAAGGGCAATGATTAATATCTACCGCCAGTCACTTCTAATCTACTACGGTGTGCGTCTTCGTTAGGCCCGAAAAGACGGCATATTACCTCCACTCTCAACTCCTGAAGGACAAATGCCCATTTTTCCGAGCGACGGCTAATTTTCACGCGAAGAGCCAGTCGAATGGGCGAGAGAGTATCTCCTGGGAGAATATGATAAGCTGCGAGATTTTCAATATGTTCGTCGAATATCTATACAGATCTGAATACACAATTCCGGCCGGCCTTAGCGTGGCTGAAACATGCGACCTCACGCGTCTCTATCGTTTAGCGGATTATTTAATGATGGACGATCTCAAACACACTACCCTGGGGAAAACAAAGGCATCACTGAGTAATAACTGCTGGGTTGGATTTCAGAACACAATAACCTCCCAAGATATCGTTCGACTTCTGAGGAATGTGTACGGTCCTACGATCGATAGGGAAACCGGCAGGAATTTGACCTGCGAAGAGGACTTCTCTTCAAGCGTCATGGATGAAAGTAAAGACATTAGTACAATCAGTACAAGCGATCAAATGCTAGCCCTGGCTGCGTCCGAAACGGCTAACGACTCCAGTACGGCAGAGGATCGGCCAGATCCGATGCAGGCTCTGATTGCTCAATAGGGAAAGACGACATTTTTAAGAACATGATCTACGACGGTGGTGACATTACAATAGGTGTAATGACATTCGTCCAGCTAGGATTTCCCTTATAAAATCCCCCGCAGACGAAAGGAGTAGCGGACAAGCAGCTGAGCCCGTACCTACGTAGGAGACTTCACAGCAGCCGAAATATCCCCAAATTCAACATTCTACGCCGACTTCGCTAGACAAAAAAAATAAGTAAATCAGGTCAGGTACTGATCATGATTTCCTTCTGCTATGAAGAGCTAAATTAAGTTCAGGCACAAGTTCAGGAGGTCTTTCAGGACGCACCGGGTCACACTGCAGCTCGGGGAAGAGCGTCCGTCGACGCTAACGAGCATGAACAACCTGGCTATAGCGCTAAGCCATCAGGGGAAGTATACGGAGGCGGAGGAGATATACCGAGTTACACGATCCGGTACTTGTGGCGAGCATCGTATGCGGAAGAACGTGAGACTCATGATTCTTTATTCAGGTTTGACATTTCACTAATGAGAGCGATATAGTTACGCGGAGTTTCGACGGAAACTCCGCGTGTTACCAGGCTCAATCCCTGAGTCGTTTCTGGCGCCCCCGTCTATGGACCAAAAGACCCTGAAAGCACTCTCGTCGGTGGGAATCTGCGTCACCGACCCCGTTCTGACGCCGGGACTTGAGAGTCCTCGATCTGCATCAGTTAAGGACGATACTAGTGAGACTTCGAGCTGTTCCTCAATCTCAACTCCAGACAATGACCTATCTGGAGATGGCGCTCCTCTAGGCGAAGTGCCAGGCCGATGCCTCGATCGGTGGCATGTTTCTCGAGAATATGAAGCGAATCGGGTCAGTTACTTCAACATTAGCATCGGTGACTACTATTCTCTCGAGTATGACGTATTACGATCAGTTTCCGTAATACACAACCAAAGACGAGATATCTTAAGTCTACTTCACAACAGTCTTATATCCAAGAGCTTACTCTAGATACGGTGTTCTCATCAGCACGACTATTGTGCATCTTGTTATTGTTGCCATCGTTGTAATGCTCTTCATCCGCGAGGCGAAGGTTACTCTCCTAGGGAATTCTTGGTCAAGTATTCCTCAGATTATGACACCAGAAACAGAAGAAGTCATCCAAAACAGCTCGAAACTTACTAACTTAGGGGGTCAAAAAGATTTTAGAAAACGAAGTCAGGTGGGTTTGAGGGTTTTCATTGCAGCGTAGGGGCATAAGATTAGGATACTAATGCCACGCGTATGCCGAGGGGGAAGGGCGTTTACATTTTTCCTCCCGAGGCTCACCACTATGCGAGTCGGATCGGGGAGTATCCAGCAACATTATTTCTGTCCATTAGGTCAACCCATCTCAGCTTCCACCAATCTTGGAGGCCGGAGACACCTTTCATCGTCAGGTACAAAAAGTCCCTATTCACTCTGTTCTCATTGATATCGACAGTGACTTCTGCTCCAATCATGATATCATCGATGTTAATTACCGGCACCATAACCGGTGGATTCGGCATTCTACATCTTTTGATCATGTAGACTGGTACCGGCGAGCAGTTGACTTCCTCGAACGGCCCTCCATGAAACTCAATCCCTTGTTCCTCTCGGATGTGGGCTTGCGTGTCGACGAGGCGGCTGTCACTCCTTGCTAGCCGTCCACACCTTGATTCAGGGAGTAGAGCTTGACTTTCATGACCTCGATTGTCAAGCCCCTCATAAAGACGATCCTCCTCGATAAGGTCAATGTCTTGTTGAAGTGGCGTTATGTCCTCATCTTCTACTCCGGTATGCTTTTTGGAGTCAGAGAAGTGGCTCACAGTCTTATGGTCTTGCCGATCGGAGGGTTGTGCTGGCTGGACGTGCGAGGCCGAAATGATGGGCAGTACCTGCGTCTGTAGAGGCTTCGAGCCGAGCTCAGATGTAGTTACGAGACTCTTGTAGCTCCAGTTGAGCTTTTTCCACCTGTTGACCGACCTTTTCCCGAATTTTGCAGCCCAATCTTGGGTTTTGTTATCTGGCCAAGCTTGATAAGTGATATGCGCTGCACCATCGACCGTTGGATGTAAATAGTCTATTCTACGAACGGGAAAACCACCGCAAAGGCCTTTGAGAATCGGCTCTTCAAGATGTTGATAGGTGTTGTTCTCTCTGCTACTGTAAATGTCGGGCGGAGGGTTCGTCAGGACAACGACTCGGCAATGCTGGCACGCGTACTGCGCGAGTCGACCGGATGCACCCTTCACATACCTGGAATATGCCTTTTTCTTCTTTCGTGCCTTAGGGCTGTTAGGATTTGCTGCATCCATGAGTGGCCCCATGGCAACTGTTAAAGTCTTCAGTTTCCATATCCTGGCCCATTTCTGCACATGGGCCCAGTCTACACCAGTCCAGAACAGCACGACGTCCAATCCCTTCAGCGCCAGAGCAAATTGCGTGTCGATAGCGAGCAACTCTTCTGCAGTCATGTAGTCCAGCGGATCGAAAGTCTGGGCCATGCTGGTATCGGTTTTCATTTGAGTCAGGGTTTTAGATGTTAGTCCTGGAGCCTGTCGTTTAGAAGCCGGCTGTTTGGGAGCAGGTTGTTTGGGAGCAGGTTGTTTGGGAGCAGGTTGTTTGGGAGCAGGTTGTTTGGGAGCAGGTTGTTTGGGAGCAGGTTGTTT